GTAGAGCTGCAGCGGTTTTTGATGTCCCCCGCTCCACGCTCTCGGCGCGTCTTAATGGCATCACCTATGGCGCCGAAACTCGCGCCAACAGCCATAAATTGACTGTTTTCGAGGAGGAATCGCTTTATAATTGGATCCTCTCACTCGACGATCGTGGAGCTGCTCCTCGGCCTCGTACAGTACGAGAAGCAGCTGATTTACTACTTAAAGCGCGCGGGTCAACTCCACCTATTACTGTCGGCGAAAAATGGGTCGAAAACTTCGTTAAACGGCACCCTGACCTCTCTACTCGATTCTCGCGATCGTACGACTACCGGCGGGCTCAATGCGAGGATGAAAAGGCGATTTTAATGTGGTTTAACTTCGTGAAAGCTACGATCGAAAAGTACGGCATTGTCGGCGACGATATCTACAATTTCGACGAAACTGGCTTCGCCCTCGGCCTTACGGCTACTGCGAAGATTATTACAAGGAGAACGTACGGTCGGAGAGCCGTTTTGCAACCTGGAAACCGCGAATGGGTGACCTCAATTGAAGCTATTAGTGCGGGAGGGTGGGTGCTTCCGCCATGCGTCATTTTCAAAGGCAAGGTCCTTATGGAGGCATGGTTCAAGGATACCAACCTCCCATTAGACTGGCGCTTCGAATTGAGTAATAATGGATGGACAACCGATGAAATAGGTCTTAACTGGCTCCAAAAGCTTTTTATTCCATCGACTACAAGCCGGACGAAGGGGAGGTATCGTCTTCTTATCCTCGACGGTCATGGCAGCCATCTTACGCCTCAATTTGACTCGATTTGCTCTCAAAACGATATTATACCAATCTGTATGCCGTCGCATTCCTCTCACCTCCTACAACCTCTCGATATCGGCTGTTTTGGGGTACTAAAACGGGCGTACGGGGAGCTAGTAGACTCGCAAATGAAGCTTTGCATTAGTCGTATCGATAAATGCGACTTCCTTACAGCTTATCCTCGGGCCCGGAGAGAGGCATTTAAGCCGGAAACTATTCTTAATAGCTTCGCAGCTGCTGGCATCGCTCCTTTTGATCCGAATCGCGTGATTTCGAAGCTAAATATACGCCTTATTACTCCTCCACCTCCTCCGAGTCGAGGAAGCGATTCTAGCCGCAATTTTACGCCGAAAACCCCGTATACAGTGAAGGGCGTACGCCGGCAAGCTTCCTCTATTAAGAAAATGCTACAAGAGGACCCCTCGCGCGCCGAAAAAGCCTTTGAGCAGATCGTGAAAGGCTGCCATCTAGCTATACATGGCGCTACGATTATGCGCCAGGAAAACCGCGAATTACGTGCCGCCAATGCGAAAACAACCCAGAAAAGGAAGCGTACGAGGAAGCGAATAGCTCATAAAGGTGGAATATCGGTTCTAGAGGCTATGTCAATAGTTTCAGGACCGGAAATAGTTCATGAAGCTAGCTCAGGTCGAGATGGAGCTGTATCGCCGACGCCGAATCGGACCAATAAGAGGAGACCACAACGATGCAGCCTCTGTAAAAACCTAGGACATAGGAGAAATAGGTGCCCGGAGATGTCTGAATAGCTTCAATTTTACTGAATTTATGTTGTGGTTGAAAAATTCAATAATAATGGTAGATTTAATAGGTGGGTGGCCAGCTCGCATGGGGTGGTCAGCTCGCTTATCGAATACGTTGAGATATTTATAATAAAGCTTTGTTTCACTCAATCAATTATGCTTTTGATAAAGCATAATTATTCTCAGGTGCTGGATCAGTTCTAGATGCTGTACCAGAAATTCAAGATTTTAGAAAATACAGTGGTTTGAGAGAATTCTTACCTCTGACATACTCAGTTATATTAACGTATTTCACAAGCGTGCCGCCATCTCCAAAAGTGTTCGATTGCTTCAAAAATGCTTTGCGCTACTATAAATGCTCATCGATACACATCCACTAGCAGTGGGAATTAAGTTTAATTGTCGTGGTTGAAACATGAAGCTGCAATCTAACGCATTTACTATGTGTTTTGGGGATTGGCGGCTCGCATGTGAATTACGTTAGCTTCAATAAGGTTGATAGTTGTACCTTTCATGGCAGGACACAGGACTTTATTCTAAACATTTTACATGGGAATTTTTCTACGGTCAATTCTACTTAGCTAGTACTATGGTTTACTATATAGCTATTATAGGTGCTATGTTTACTTTATTAAATGATAACTTATCATCTAATAAATGACATGTACTATTATTTTGTTTTACCTAGTTATATTTCTTTTTAATCAGATATGCGCTCATAATGAAGTTTATGCTCAATACTATTGAGATTCATGGCGCATCCAGGCTAGATGCCTGACATATAAGGCATGAATCTAGTGATCAGCATTAGACCTACCAAGCAGAGTATGGATCAGGAGAAGGGTTCTCATTTATATAGGGTCTTTCACTTATGGAGAGAAAGATCAGATTTAAACAATCTCGTTGGCCTTGATATTGATGCGTCCCAATTCAGTAGACATCCAATTTCAACAAATACTATCTAATGCTCTGCCTTTAAGACGTGATACAGATATTCTGTTCTGTACTCGGAAAACTCGGGAATAGGTATCATAATCTTATTTTACTAAAACAAGAGACCCGGGTAATGGTCAAGACTGGTAAAGGCATAGCACTTTCACTGTCAGTGCGGGGGTTCAAATTCCCCTTAGATTAAAATAGATTAATCATATATAAGCGATTAGCACAAATTAATGTAGCCTTTATATAAGTTATGTTAAACAATATAAGTTATATCTATTCCATCTATACAATGCCTTCCCTGTTTATTATTAATAATTGCATTGTTAATATAAGTAATTATATTAGGTGGGTATAGTTCAGGCTATATGTGGCACATAATTCCATACCCTAGTTCAATACTACTATCATTATATAGCTATCCTTATTCCTTTCAAAGTCTACCTAGGTAGCTCAGTTATTTCAATTAGTTAAAGAAATGCATTATTTTTTAACAGAACTATTGTAGAACACAATAGTTTTAGATTCTTGTATTTCCTTTTTGCTTTATAGTAATGGAGATTAATGATAGTTCTATATTGAATAACACAATCGTAAGGAAATGAGAAACATATTAAAATTTGGTGTTAGTTTTAATTTTTAAATTATGAGCGAAAAGTCATAGTTAAATATATCACAATTAGAAAATAGTGCCAATTTTCTTTTTAAATATATAAGATTCAATTATAAAACCATGATAGCTTGCTGGTATGGTATAGCCTGTTAGATTTACATACATATATTTCTTCATTGAAGTAATTCATATATTGAAAACCATAAGACCATATCTTGTCTCAGTTAAATTTAAGTATAACTGTATGTTACTAAAGAATATTTCTTAAGGAGGAAACAGGTTAAGACACATATCGTGTTAGATTATTTCGAAACAACAATGGATTTTAATTAAGGAGAATTTGTTGTTTGTTAGATAATACCTTCAAAATTTAGTTAACTATAAAAATTTATAACGTAGTTCACGGGCGAATGGGCCACCGCAGAACATCACGTTAAATGCTGTTTTTGACAATCTTGTACCTCAACTATCAGGACCCGTTTAGATGGTAATCTTTAAGGTCATATATGGTTTAGTACCCAAGTGAAATTTAGGAGATTCTGGGGTGAAAATACACGATATATATATTTCTAGCTTATATGGCTAAATTACGACGTAATTTATGGTATTATTATTATGCGAATCTTAGAATCTTTTGAAATCCATATATATTATAGAGAGAGCCTACCTTTAGTAGTATACTTATGCTAGACTAAAGTTGTAGTTGTTGAGATATAAGATTGTCAAAATCAACATTTAATATGGTGTTCTGCGGTGGCCCACTCCGCCTGTGAATTACGTTATATCACTTGTGATTACTCATTCCAGGTTTTAGATTTAAAGGAGCAAAAAATTAATATATACAGATAGTCACATAATCAATCTTTCGGATTTAAGAGCCGAAATAGGAACATCTGAGCTACGAACCTAGATCTCTGCAAACTCGAGATTACTCAACTACAGTTAGACCTGGCTTTGAACCGCCCATAGGTTCCAAATCTCAGAACCTGAACCTAACCTCTTGAGGTTAGGTTCCAAACTTTTTAACCTGGACCTAACCTTAACCTCAAGGAGGGTCGTTGAGGTTCAACCTCATGAACCTACATGAACCTGCATATGCATAATTTTTTGACGCTTTTCCTCTTTTGGCTGGATAAAAGTGATGATTCATCTCGGATTTTTACAGCTGTTTTGTTGACCTGCCGGCGTTCGTCTGATTACTCTGTCAACGTGGTGAATTATGAGGAAATAATTGTTCAGAAGTAAACAGAAGACAAAGCCACTGATAAATTACAAGTAATATTCGATGATATCGACGTGGTAGGTGGTCAGTAGTGGTCATCGGCGAAATTGCATGTAAAGATGCAGATATATATATTTTGAACACTGTAACCCATGTGTATCTTGACCAGCAGAACTACATGTTATCGAGAAAACCACGAAAATTTAGATGAAATCCCCTCATTTTTATACAAAACAAATCGTTATGCCTCCCTCTATGAACTTGTCTCGAAGGATTTAGGTCAAATTATCTACATCTGTCGTGAATCCAGTTCAAAGATTCTCATCGTTAGACTTAGCCATTTAAACAAGACGATTTTCCTAAGTTAAAGTTAACCTCCAGGTTCTATGCGGGTAAGTCAGGTTAAGTTCTAGGTTCTGTACGGATAGATGAGGTTAACTTTCAGGTTCTATGCGGGTAAGCGAGGTTCTCTTCTAAAATGATCCACTATAATAGCCAATCAGACACAGGTCGGTAGATATAAAAGACGATAGATCAATTCTAGCACGCAGAACAGGGTCAAACGGATCCCCCAAGAATATCGCGCATCTTTTCGAAAGAACGAATAAGTAAGATTCTTATTCTCTTCCTCCTCAGTAATCATACCTTCTACTGGTTTACTAAATCTATCATGTCTCAGCCCTTCGGCGCCTACACGTCGTCTAGCTTCGATACCACGGACGGTTTACCATTAGACGCGCTCCAATACCTTCTCCCCGACGATTCCATATCCCAGCGCGACAGCCAGAGCCAACTACTATCCGAAAGCCAGCTTGATTCAGTTCCAGACCTTCCAGACTATCGATCTTGCGTGGCTTATCAGGCCCCAAGCACCCTACCGCGAATCAAGCCCGATCGTATTAACGAATTCATTGTTTGCGCGCCAGAAATGACCGCGGAATTCGTTAAGTGGTGGCTTGATACTGGCTATGGCAAGTCGAAGCGGATCAACTGGGATGGGAACCTAACAAGCCGTCGAGCACAGTGCTGGAAAGGGTTCCAACAAGTTGCAAATGCCAAAGATGGCAAGCCAGGCGTTATGTGTAATAAGTGCTGCACAGTTCTCACGCATCCAGCTACAAATCATACTGGAACTTCATCGATGCAGAAACATCTCGATGGGCCAAGGTGCCGAAAGCAGCTACCGAAGAAAGGTGCTAGTAGTATCCGACAACTACTTAGTGACGCGGTATGTTCTACAGGGTCTGAATCCTATATTGGTACTAACGATGAACTCACTATCCTATAGGCCGGGAAAAGACCAGCGCCTACCTTTACACAACAAGTATGGGAGCAGATGCTTCTTGATCTAATCACTACATCGAATTTACCCTTTCTGTTTGTCGAGCATCAAAAATTCCGTGACCTCTTTTCCTTCGCACGGCTAGCACCCGAACCACCTAGCTTTCCGTCAAGAAAGGTGATTCGCGAGCGCCTCCGGGGTTTCGTGCTACAGTATCAACAGGAGACACTACAAACGCTTCCACCTGGTGCAAAGCTATCACTCGCACTGGACTGTTGGACTTCACCATTCCAGGACGCGTTCATGGCTATCACAGGATACTTCCTAGACAAGGAATGGGAGTATCGCGAGGTCCTCCTTGGGTTTGAGCCACTTTCTGGAACTCATTCTGGCGTAAATCTTGGCAAAATTGTTCTCCAGATTCTACAGAATCATCAAATCACTGATCGTGTACTGGCGGTAACAACTGATAATGCGTCTAATAACAAGACGCTTATCACTGCGATTAATAATTCAATCCATGAACTACAGCTAAAGACGGATTCAACGATTATTCAAGTGCCCTGTCTTGCTCATGTCATCCAGTTAAGTCTGGTTGAATTACTTGGTAAAATAAAGGCCTCGCCAAAAAATGACAACACTGAATTGGAATGGTCCGAGGATCGTGTTAGATCACTGCGTGCGCGCCAGCAGAAGCGAGATATCACCGATACCCTGAACAAGGTAGGCTTCTCTTGAATAACATTCTCTATATTTAATACGCTAACTATTATGACAGGTTCGAGGCCTTGCGGTTTTCATTAATGGAAGTCCTCAACGCAAAGAAGCATTTCTGAAACTTGAGTCCAATGGGCAAAAACTTATTCCAATCCAAGATGTTTGTACGCGGTGGAATTCAACGTTTCTTATGCTCCGCCGGGCTAAAAGGCTTTCTACCACCTTTGACGAGTACTGTTCGCTCTATCACCAACCCTATTTTGCATTAAATGCGGAGGGGTGGCGGCAGATTGACTATCTACTTCATATACTCCAGCCCTTTTTCACATACAGCACACTAGTCTGCCAGACTAATGACTCGAGTATTCACCTTATCTTTAGTATTTACAACAGGCTCTTTGATCATCTCGAAAGATCGATGCATCAGCTTCGTCGAAAGAGAGTTGCCTGGAAACAGCTTATGCTTTCCTCCCTTGAGGCTGCAAAAGATAAACTGTCAAAGTACTATAGTATGACGGACCTTGTTGAAGGTGATCTCTATGCTATTGGAACGATCCTAGATCCGTCTAATAAAATGGAGTTCTTTTCAACAAGTGATTGGGCCCCAGATGACACAGGAAAAGACTACACAAAGGAATATCGTCAGAGCCTCCAGTCTCTTTTCGAGAAATACCGCCTACGTACACCATCAAATATATCACTATCGGATGGTATATCGTTCCCAGCCAAATCAGCGCTCGAAAGGATTCTTAAGGACAATTCCTTACAGCGATCAACCAGTCCATATCAGGATGAGCTTACCAAGTACCTCCAGAGTGGTAAGTGAGTGAGCCGCCGATATAAATCATAATACTAATGTTCTTAGCCACCGTCAATGAATCCGCTCAGGTCTTCTGGAGAAACCACGAGAGAGAGTTCCCTATTCTTGCAAGCATTACTCGTGATGTGATGTCCATCCCAGCGACTGGTGCCGGTGTTGAGCGTCTTTTCAACTCTGCCCGGGACATTTGCCACTATCGCCGGGGGTCGTTGAGCCCAGAGACTATCCGCGATATCATGTTATACATGTGTACAACAAGGTTTGATACCAAGGAGGAGCAGCGACAGGTTCTCCAAGAGTATCTTTCAGAGCAAGAGATCGCAGCTTCGTCCGAAGAACTTCATATTGGAACACATTGTGCCGAGGCTATCAGTGACACTGAGGAAGACATGGAGATGCACCTTCATACCCCGGCCATAGCACCACTCTCAGCCGTTGCCGCTGGAAAGCGGCCGGCTATCAATTCTGAAGACGAGGAAGACTCTGATGCCGATGACATTACGGATCCAGAAGAGACCTCAGCATTACCATTACCTGATACGCAGCAGCGTGTATCAGGTAGAATGCGGAAGAGGTCGAGACTCTTGGATGGATATATAGTTTAAGTTTTAACAGGTAAAGTCTAAGAAATCTATGTTCTAGATATAATGTGTGAATTACTGATATCTAAAAGCCCTATCGAAGATAAAGCTATAACATGCAATATAAGACATACAGTATGCTTCTGTAAGGCTATACAGTAATCAAATTTTGGTTTGCAGTTACAATAGAATACAGCCTGTTTCGACATATTTTATGCAACTAAGCCCGAGTCACGTTTTTTAGGTGTTTGTCATGTTTGTTTAACCTGAGGTTCACCCGCGGGTGAACCTGATGAGGTTCGTTCCTCGGTTGGAACCTCCCTCAGGTTCGAAAACCCAGAACCTGACCCGCCCAAATGGAGGTTCAGGTTAGGTTCTTCAGGTTCACCCGCGGGTAAGTGCCAGGTCTAGCCCGCCAAGAACCCATAAACCCATAGGTTACCCGCTACACTTAATACATTCCCTTCAAGTTGGTCCCGAAGTACTGACGGCCATCGAAAAAAGCTTGTACGGTATATAGAAGGCTTTGTAGAACACTATAACTTAATAAGCGTATTAACTGACGGCCGTCAAAAGTACTAGTGCGATTGCTTATGGTCTATAGCACCCTTTTTGTGACGGCCGTCAGAACTTTGATGCCTTTGTTATAAATATCCACTGAGTTCACTGCACGTCTCATATATATATTTCCTATCTACAGAGCAGTATTCCAACAAGCATTTTTTTCACTACCACAATTATATAGAAAAACGCCGAGAGCAATGTCTATAGCATTACCACGAGTCCACGACTTACTATTCTGAAAACAAGGCAATTTCCTGAAATTTCACAAAAGAAAGAGAGGCTTTCGGGGAAGAACAGCAGACGTGACTGGAACAGAGGTAAATAACCGTAATTTAATTGACTTAATCAGCAGCTTTATCCATCTTGGCACGGCCTATTTTAGGATAGTTATGCTGCAACGGGTTCTTGGCGGGTAACCCGCGGGTACCCGCCAAGAACCCGTAAACCCGTGGGTTTGGGTTTGGGTTTTGGGTCCATACCCGACCCATGGGTATGGTTCCTGAAGTCGTACCCAAACCCGACCCAAAGCGAGGTCTAAGCAGATGATATCACCGTCGCCCACGCCGTTCGTTCGTTAGTCTTGTTGGGTAGAAAAGAAGCTTTTGATATGTGATGGGTCGAAGCAAGTCTTGATTCAAACTAGCTAAGCCGTCATGCTGTCTTTCAAAAGCTTAAGGAAAAGAAGATCTACGTGGCCGTGCAGCGGTGTAAATATGCACAGTCACGTGGTTAGCACGTGATGTATACGGGCCCTGGCCCGTTACAGTTTTTAGTCATTTAAGTTTGTTCATATCTATGCTATTTTTAACGGGAAACAATTTAGTCATGTTAGTTCATATTTATTATAAAACTTCCGAATCACTAGAATAGCAGCAAATCAAAGTTCTTTATCAGCTCTATTAATTAATAGAGCAGGTGATTGTTTATTCAATGTAGGCATGTTTGCTACTTTATGATCCTTTGAAAATATAGATTTTAGTACGGTATTAGCACCATATTATGATAATGAAATTATAATTACAATTATATATATATATGTTCATTAAAAGGTGCTAAAGCTAAAATTTTCAAGTTAGTTTACATAGTTGACTACCTCAAGCTATAGAAAGTCCTACACTAGCATCAGCTTTAATACATACAGCTACTACGGCTACAGGAAGAGTATATTTAGTAGTGAGATCATCACCATTGATTGAATATAGTCCAGCTGTAATAGTTTTAAACGCTTATGATTAGGTCCAATAACTAAAGTATTCAATATTTTTATTCATAAATTATCCTAACAAGATATAACGTATTCGATAAGCGAGCTGGCCACCCCATGCGAGCTGGCCACCCCATGCGAGCTGGCCACCCCATCAAAAACGCGCCGCGTAATTAGACTGTCTCTATTCAACCACCTACCATGCCGCCAATTCGCTCTCAATGCTCTCAAAAACGTGTAGAGCAAGAGGGTAGGATCTTATTACTATTGAAGCTATTCAGAAACAAGAATTTAGCTCTGTACGTAGAGCTGCAGCGGTTTTTGATGTCCCCCGCTCCACGCTCTCGGCGCGTCTTAATGGCATCACCTATGGCGCCGAAACTCGCGCCAACAGCCATAAATTGACTGTTTTCGAGGAGGAATCGCTTTATAATTGGATCCTCTCACTCGACGATCGTGGAGCTGCTCCTCGGCCTCGTACAGTACGAGAAGCAGCTGATTTACTACTTAAAGCGCGCGGGTCAACTCCACCTATTACTGTCGGCGAAAAATGGGTCGAAAACTTCGTTAAACGGCACCCTGACCTCTCTACTCGATTCTCGCGATCGTACGACTACCGGCGGGCTCAATGCGAGGATGAAAAGGCGATTTTAATGTGGTTTAACTTCGTGAAAGCTACGATCGAAAAGTACGGCATTGTCGGCGACGATATCTACAATTTCGACGAAACTGGCTTCGCCCTCGGCCTTACGGCTACTGCGAAGATTATTACAAGGAGAACGTACGGTCGGAGAGCCGTTTTGCAACCTGGAAACCGCGAATGGGTGACCTCAATTGAAGCTATTAGTGCGGGAGGGTGGGTGCTTCCGCCATGCGTCATTTTCAAAGGCAAGGTCCTTATGGAGGCATGGTTCAAGGATACCAACCTCCCATTAGACTGGCGCTTCGAATTGAGTAATAATGGATGGACAACCGATGAAATAGGTCTTAACTGGCTCCAAAAGCTTTTTATTCCATCGACTACAAGCCGGACGAAGGGGAGGTATCGTCTTCTTATCCTCGACGGTCATGGCAGCCATCTTACGCCTCAATTTGACTCGATTTGCTCTCAAAACGATATTATACCAATCTGTATGCCGTCGCATTCCTCTCACCTCCTACAACCTCTCGATATCGGCTGTTTTGGGGTACTAAAACGGGCGTACGGGGAGCTAGTAGACTCGCAAATGAAGCTTTGCATTAGTCGTATCGATAAATGCGACTTCCTTACAGCTTATCCTCGGGCCCGGAGAGAGGCATTTAAGCCGGAAACTATTCTTAATAGCTTCGCAGCTGCTGGCATCGCTCCTTTTGATCCGAATCGCGTGATTTCGAAGCTAAATATACGCCTTATTACTCCTCCACCTCCTCCGAGTCGAGGAAGCGATTCTAGCCGCAATTTTACGCCGAAAACCCCGTATACAGTGAAGGGCGTACGCCGGCAAGCTTCCTCTATTAAGAAAATGCTACAAGAGGACCCCTCGCGCGCCGAAAAAGCCTTTGAGCAGATCGTGAAAGGCTGCCATCTAGCTATACATGGCGCTACGATTATGCGCCAGGAAAACCGCGAATTACGTGCCGCCAATGCGAAAACAACCCAGAAAAGGAAGCGTACGAGGAAGCGAATAGCTCATAAAGGTGGAATATCGGTTCTAGAGGCTATGTCAATAGTTTCAGGACCGGAAATAGTTCATGAAGCTAGCTCAGGTCGAGATGGAGCTGTATCGCCGACGCCGAATCGGACCAATAAGAGGAGACCACAACGATGCAGCCTCTGTAAAAACCTAGGACATAGGAGAAATAGGTGCCCGGAGATGTCTGAATAGCTTCAATTTTACTGAATTTATGTTGTGGTTGAAAAATTCAATAATAATGGTAGATTTAATAGGTGGGTGGCCAGCTCGCATGGGGTGGTCAGCTCGCTTATCGAATACGTTACTGCCGGATGGAGCGTATGGAGGACTTTCTGCAAGACACGGTCGGCCTGGCGGAGGGAGACCTCCTCAGGTAACGCGAAACGAGAGTGAAAGCTCTCGCGGGGCGTGGTGTACAATGGCAGCCACTGCGGCAGGGTCGGGGCCTGCCAAGAGACTGTCTGTATAGCCCGAGAGGACGGATGCGCGTGTCGGTGTACAAAAAGCCGGGAGTCAACTACCCCACTCGCACTGGGGGCCTGAGATCGACATTGGTCGGTTGAAGCGGTGTCGTCCTAGTTGGCTCGCCCGTGATGTATGCTTAAGGAGCAAACTGAGAGACACCCAGGGTGAGAGGTGTGGTGTGTTGTGATATGAGGCTGGTGCAGATCAGGAACCAAGCCGTACCGTCGGAATTAGCTCCGAAGTGTCTATATAGACGACTAAGTTGATTTCTAATCAACTTGGCTCATTGTTGTATATATAGGCTCATGTATCCCTCGGAAATAACAACTCAATTCATACCTCTGAACTACAACAGGTTATGAGCCCGGGAGCATAATCTCGGCTGCCGTCTCTACTCATCTGAGAATCATCTCATCAATCTTGATTATATATCTACCCCGCTTTCGCAATCATCACTATGTCTGCTCTGGTCCATGACTCTCCTGACCGAGCCGTCACGGCCATCGAACCTCTGACGGGAAGCGATAACTTCGCGACCTGGAAACGTCTCATGACCTCCTACCTCAAAGCCAGGCAGGTCTGGGATGTCGTGTCGGGCGACCTTCAGCGTCCCGACTGTCTCTTCAAGTACGCCAAACCTATTACGGCGGACATCCACCCCTTGGTGGAGCCCCACCTCAATGGGGCGGTGAGGCAGCGAGCCATTGAAGCGCGCCTCGAAGTGGAGGTCCAGGCATTCGAGCGCCACCGTGAATGGTCGCGCCGCGAAGCCGAGGCCTACCACACCATCTTCCGGTACCTGTCCCCCCACATCAGCATTCATGTCGCGGGACTAGAGACGTCCCGTGACCTTTGGAATGAACTTGAAGAACGGTACCGGCGAATGGAACTCGCCACTTTCTGCGAACTGTTTGCTCAACTTCGCGAGACAACCGGCGAACGATGTGCCAGTGCGCGTGATTTTGTTGATCGCGTACGGCTGCTTGTACATCGATTGAATGCCATTGCTCCAGGATCAATCGGTGACAAGACACATATTGCAATTCTGCTCACGCAGATCGGACCGGAATACATCCTGGTTGTGGATGCGATCCAGAATGACAAGGATCCGGTCAACCCGACCACGATCGGAAATCGGCTGTCCAACGCCGAGCAGACGGTCCGACGAAAGGAGTCTCCCGTGCCCCCGCAGGGAGTCCCAGGACCGTCAATAAATGCAGTGCAGAGAAATCCCAAGAAATGTACCTACTGCAGGAAGCGCGGCCATGTGGTCGCGGAGTGCTGGAAGAAACAGCGCGAAATTCACCCGCCTAGGGACCATGCCCTGAAGGCTGAACGGAGTGCTTCCGGCTCACCAAGAAACAACATGCAAAATATACTGTCAAGCCAGAGAGAAGATCGGCAGGGCCCGCCGACTTCCAAGAGACCGAGGATCAATATCGTGAGGGCGAGGGTGACGACCCTCTATACCCACGCACCGCAACCCCGGTGGATCCTGGACTCGGCCGCCACCAGCCACATCTGCTGGGACCGGAGCTGCTTCAGCAGTCTGCGGCCCCACCGCGAGATGCTGGACACGGCGGGCGATCCAGTGGAAGCCGAAGGGATTGGTACGGTGAAGCTCACGCTCCGGGGGAAGTTCAACCAACCCCTGGTGTTAAAGAATGTATACTTCGCGCCACGCGTCGGGATGAACCTGATCAGCGTGCCGAAGCTGTTGCGAGACCGCTACTCGGTGGTGGCGCACCCACAGAACGTCTTTGTGCAACGCCGAGGACGGACCGTGGGGACTGCCTACCATGCGGAGGAGGATCTGTTGATCCTGCGGTGCCATGTGAGCAGAAGATCTCGAGAGCGAGTCCAACTGGCGAGGGCGCCGGCGACCTGTGGCCATGCAGATTCCCTGGAACCGCAGGCGGTGGCCATGGACGTCGACGACCCTCAGGAGTCAAGTGACGCAGAATGCGCAACGTCAACCTCTGAACTCGGTGGTGAAGCTGTGATACTCGAGGAAGATGCGTGCAAAGGAGTGGACCAGGCCTCCGAAGCGTTGTGGCACGCTCGGATGGGACATCTGAACCGGGGAGACTTGAGGGTGGTCCTCCGGCAGACCGGCACTCCGTACCGACCGCTAACGCAGGCGCAGCTGCTGGCAACGCCGCAGTGCCCAGCGTGTATGTCGGGTAAGCAGCATCAGAAGAGGAACTCCCGTGCAAGACGGCCACGTCTGCATTCAACGAGAATCTTTGAAATGATCCATTCGGACATCATGGAGATGCCGATCGCCAAAGATGGCTCCAGGTACGTGATCACCTTTACTGACGATTATTCTCGTGGCTCGTGGGCATATGCCATGAGATGGAAGCATGAAGCGCTCCAGAAGTTCCGACTATTTGCGGCCTGGGTGCACCGACAGTTCGGTGCCCAGATCAAGAGGTTCCTCACCGACAACGGGAGAGAATACCTGCCGATCGGAGCACACCTCGAGACCCAGGGAGTTGAGTTTGACACCTCGCCACCATACTGCAAAGGACAGAATGGTCTGGCCGAACGCACGAATCGCACTATCCGGGAGCGGATCAACACGCTCCTGTCTGATGCGAACCTTCCTCCTTCCTGGTGGACCGAGCTTGTGGACACGGTGGTCTATCTGAAGTTGCGCGCGCCAGCATCGATTTTGCAGAAGAAGACCCCGTACGAAATCATTTACGGGAAGCCGCCCTCGCTGTTGCATCTGCGACGGATTGGCTCCCGCGCATGGGTGTTGATCCCGAAAGAGCATCGAGCCAAACTTGGACCCAGATCCTCCGAGTGCCGATTGCTAGGTTACAGTGAACCGAACCAGTACAAGCTGTATGAAATTCATTCAGGTAAGACAGTATTTTCCCGTGATGTCGAGTTCGATGAGAGGACCCCAGTGGCGCCACTCATCGAGGGGGAAACAGGCAACGACCTCCCGGACAACGCTCCTCCATCACCTGTCTTTTCACCAGTGGTGCCACCTCCATCTAGCGCACTGCCTACGCCACCAGCATCGCCTCCAGGTTTGGCTGAACGACTGAAAACGCCATCTCAGCATGTGGAAACATTTCCACCGGTCAATCCAATCGAACAGGAAGCAGAGTCCACACAGGACCTCGGCTATTCCATCTATGGCCGCAGAAGAAGACCCTCACGGCGCTTACTGGAATCACTTGGCAAAGTGTACACCGCAGGCGCACTGAATACTGCATCTGCGCGCACAGTCGATCCGTCGACTTTCCACGAGGCCGTGTCGTGCCCGAATCAACTGGAATGGTGGGCAGCCATCCAGAAAGAATATGCGTCTCTTCTCGAACACGGAACATGGGAAAAGGTTCTACGAACAGACGTACCCGCCGGAGATCATGTGATCGGCTGCAAATGGGTCTTTAAGACCAAAACCAACGGAACGCGCAAAGCGCGACTGGTCATCAAAGGCTACCGGCAGAAGCACGGCATCGACTACCATGAAACATTTGCTGCGGTGTCACGGATGGACTCGGTCCGCTGCATCATCGCCAGCGCCGTGTTACGAGGATGGAAGCTTCACCAATTTGATGCGGTCACTGCATTCTTACATGGTGACGTTGACTCTTCCATCTACATGGAGTTGCCTGAAGGCTTCGAAGAACCGGGATATGTTTGCCGGCTTCGTCGTTCCTTGTATGGACTCAAGCAGGCCCCGCGGATTTGGTACCAATGCGTCCACCGCGTTCTGGCCGCTCATGGCTTCACCATGGCACAATCGGACAACTGCGTGTTCTATAAATCCAATTGCGTGATCTGCGTCTACGTCGATGACTTTCTCGTTGCTGCATCAACCTCGCACGAGATAGACCAAGTGCAACGAGCACTGGAAAAAGAATTCCGATTGAACGACCTTGGAACTCCACGTTCGTTCCTCGGGATCCAATTAGACTACCATGCCGACGGAGCCGTTTCCATTCACCAACAACAGTACATCCAAAAGGTTCTTTCCGACTTTGGCATGGAAACCTGCCAGGCGAAATCTACCCCTATGAATCCCAAGCAAGACTTGAATCGCCGCCCAGACGAAGAACCTCCGGATGAGGAAACAAAAGCACGATACGCAACCGCCATCGGTTCATTGATGTATCTGATGGTCGGAACGCGGCCGGACATTGCGTTCGCGCTGGGCACGTTGAGTCGCTTCACGTCTCAGCCGCAATCGCACCATCAGGTTGCCCTGCAGCGATTGCTTCGCTATGTCAAAGCCACGCAATGCCATCGCATTACATACCGCAGTGGTCAGTTGATCGGATACACAGATGCCGACTTCGGTGGCTCCGTCGTCACTGATGGGGCATACTCCACGTCTGGCTATGTGTTCCAACTTGCAGGCGCACCAGTCTCCTGGTCGTCCAAGAGACAGGGGGAAGTGGCCACGTCGACGACTCATGCCGAGTACATTGGACAATACAATGCCCTTCTACATCTGCAGTGGCTCCGCACCTTCCTAGCAGAAACGCAAATGTACCGGTCCCCGGTCACCAACATCATGGCTGACAACCAGTCCGCTATTGCCCTCTCGCGCAATCCCGAGTTCCACAAACGGACCAAACATTTCAACGTGAAATTCCATTATCAGCGAGCAGTGCTGAATGCTGGCGAGATTGGTCTTCAATATGTTCCTACTCAGGAACAGGCCGCTGACGGTCTCACCAAGCCGTTGGGACCTACGGCTTTTGCCAAGTTCTGTAGTCTTCTAGGAATCGAAGCCTTGGAGACTCGGAGGCAACAAACGTGACAGCGCAGGCGCTCTTTCCACTTTATTTTCCCACGAAGGTTTTTGAGTGGTTTTACCGAGGCTTGCCTACACAGCGTTAATCCAGTATCGCCTTGCCAGCAAAGCGATCCTGAGGGGGAATGTTGTGATATGAGGCTGGTGCAGATCAGGAACCAAGCCGTACCGTCGGAATTAGCTCCGAAGTGTCTATATAGACGACTAAGTTGATTTCTAATCAACTTGGCTCATTGTTGTATATATAGGCTCATGTATCCCTCGGAAATAACAACTCAATTCATACCTCTGAACTACAACATGGTGAACCTCAAAAGACCAGAAGCCTCATTTATCGGGTGAAAAACTGGGGTAGTGGTCTATGCAAGTAGACCTGTCGAAGCTACTTAATGTCTTTTGGGCCAAGACCTTCAGCTTCCGCGACAACGATCAGTGCGTGTGTGGCGCGCAAAAAACAGTCACCCACGTAGACCTCGACATGGTCCGGTTCCGGTTCCATGATTTGAGACCCGGACCGCCAAGAGAACCGCTAGGAGAACCGCCAAGTGGTATAAAAGTGCATTAAACACGATTCATAAGCAAATAAATTCCTTATTAGGAGGTTTTATACTGAAGAAATTTCTTGGCGGTTCCTAGAGTTCGAAGGTTAGGACCGCCAAGACAAGTCTTGGCGGTTCTATGTCGAGGTCTACACCCACGTGCTGGTGGACTGCCCAAATTTGAGGGAAATTCGACGAAAGTTAAGGACTGAAGCTGGGGACGCGTTTAACAGCGTATCAAGTTTGCTGGGAGGCTCAACTGAAGGTGAGAAAGGTAAACCAGACACCGTGTCGCGGGCTAGGACGGTCAAAGCTGTCCTAGACTTCGCTGAGGCGTCACAACGATTCAAAAGCCGCGCGCCATGAGGGCAGCCTAACAACATGAACGGCAAACAGGCCACGAGAGGCCTTGACGAGGCTCCAAGTTCGTTTTCAGGAAGTGGAACATCAGACATGTACATACACGGTGATACATAGTTGTTGTAGCCTGTATATCGCTTTGCGAGAGGTCAGGGTAAATGATATCATCCATCCATCCATCCATCCATCCGTCTGTACTGCATGCTGAGAAGCGATTAAATTAAAACAAGTTATGACAGAGAATGCTTTCGATCCTTCCGGAATAAAGTGAGTCGCACATGATCTTAAAAACCGTGGACATAACGAAGAAAAATAATGGTCACTTTGATCGAGAAAACCGTGGTCAGCTTGGAAATCATGGTCAAGGTAAATCACAACTACACTATTTAAGTCGGTCTGAATCTCTGAAAGGCGGCAAAGCTTGATTTCCTTTTTTCATAAAATACCAAATTATCATCAATGCACGGGTCTCCATCTTCTGGTATGCCTATGCAGGGGTTTACCTGCCCTCACTGTTTCATGCCATGTTTTTTCAGTGAACCTGCGTCCCTTTCCAATCCTTCATTTGGGGGTTCAGCTTTTGGTGCCCCTGCGGCATTTTACAAGCCTCCATTGGGGGGTTCGAATATCGGTAAACCTGCGGCCTTTTCCAAGCCTTCATTTGGGGGTACAGATTTTGGTGCCCCTGCGGCCTTTTCCAAGCCTCACGAAAGCTCGCCCAAGTCAACATCCAACGACACAGTACATGTTGTGAAGTTGCCGCGGGAAAGATTGCGACCGGATCATCATGAATCCTTTGAGAGAGCCACCCCGTATCTACGTATACTGTACGAAGGATTTGTCCAAAACCCAAAAGTGACGCTCCAAAGGACATTTAGTAAAGAGAGAAAGCGTTCTGCGGCAGCGTCTGCAGCCATTAAGGAACTCGATCGCATCAGTGGGGGAATGCAATCGAGAGAATTGCAAGAATTGCACGCTGGAGGAGAGACGGGCCCTTTCTGTATCGAGTGGGAAAGATTTGGTGAGTTATGGCATTTGGCTTTTGATCCACCTCTACAGTCAGATAGGCAGGAAGTTGAGAAGGAAGTGGAGGAGAAACTGCTGAACCATGTTGAAAGATTCGTATATCCATATGGATGGGCAAAGCTACCCCCACACTATCCCTGATATATCTGTATTGAGGTTGGAAACCTGCTAGGTCGCGAATGATATGTTCAGAATGCTATAGGTTTACCAATGCTACTTAAATGAATTATATACTATATTCAGTTTAGTTGAGTCTTATTGATTCTAGATTTTTAGCGGTTATTTGTTCCAACACCCTTCTTAGCTCCTTGATGAGCCCTATTATCTCCGGAAATTCCGATGTTTTTCTGATATGAGCTACTTTTTTCCATAGGAATTGTGTTATTAAAAGTGAATGGACACTAAAATTATGGATAGAGGACAATATCTACATGGATTAAGATATCCTGAAAGTGGATGGCCGAGAGTGTGACTATTTGACCGATGTGATGGGAGACTATGACCGAGTCTAAGGTGACAACTCGATGAACCGTAGCCGAGCATTACGTTCTTAAAATGACATGGTTCAGATTGACTGCCCTCCCTAGAGCAGTTTCGTGATGTTCCAACTGACTTCGGCTTCCAGTGTCCGAGGTTAGGAGGCAATTCTATAAGTGCCCGTAGCAGGTCACTATGCCTAAAATAGTATGGTTCAGATTGACTACCTTCCACAACCTGATGTATAGTGGAGGATATACAACCCTAAAGATTCCTGTCAAAGAAATTGCTAGAAAGCTGCACCTTGCCAGGTATGAGAACTTCAGTCAAGATCACAAGTTAAAGCACCCTATTCCGCTCTCTTCAAACTCGCCGATCAGAGCATTTCGACTCAGCTCTTCCACACGGTCTTCACGCAATTGCCGAACCAAAAGCAATGCAACGATGAATATGATGACGAGACATTCAATACGCTCGCTCGTGAGTTTGCCAGCAAGGTACCGGAGCAACTATTCAGCCCAGCAGAAGTTCTTTTCGTGAGGCATCCCGGCAAAAGAATGTGTCCTTTTCATATACTCTTTAAGGTTGTCTTCTTGCTCTTGTTTATTTTATTTTGAATTTTTTGTTACCTTTTTCTTGTCTTTTCTTTTCTGAAGTACTGGCCCCACTACATCCCCTGACGAAACCGTGATCATCTCTAAAACCGTGGTCATCTCTAAAATCGTGGTCAGGCTAACTGGAGGCTATATATTTAAGTCTGTTCGGATCTCATTTGAACGGCAGCAACAATTGGCTTTTGTCACGTTTAATACTTTACTTATCCTACTTGCTCTCAATCAAGTCATTTGAAAGAAAAAGAAAAAAAAGACATCTGAAAGCAGCTGCCCCTGCCCCCGGACTTCACGAAAAAAAGAAACACCAAAAAAAAGGAGAATTTATTGAGAAAAGACAATATGCCGACGCCCGATCTCAAAGACTTTCGCGCACAATTGGAAACCCCAGACACTGAGCGCCCTACACCCCAGGCTCCAGCTCAGGGAACAGCCACGGGTCATGTACCCGTGCAGGCTGCCGCCCAAGCTCCTGCCCAGACTCCCGCTCTTGTCACGCCCGAGCCCCAACAGCATCAGAGATCTAGTTCCGCAGACACTGACATGGAGGAGGATGAGGAGGATCTCAGTCACAACGAGAAATTGCTTATAATCAGAGCAATCTCTGACGCATCTGACGACCCAACCACGTTTAAGAACGCACTTGATAATGCTCTTCCGTTTGCCGTGGATTTCAGAAAGCTACAAGCGCTTCTCCATCCCGACAAATATCACGGAGAGGAAAAGATTCAAGCTCAAAAGGCTTTCCAAAGTATGTGTACCGTTACAGATGTCGTTGGAATATTGACTAATTACATCAGAGCTATTATCATTTCGCGAAAAGTCTGGAGGTCTTCTCCCGGGCGAGGCCGATAGGCATACTAATTTCTATTACGGGAATGATGCGAGCCGCCCAGTAGAACATGTTGAAGGCCGGCTATCCTCGTACCACAAAGATGCGCATGAGCGAGCAACCCCGCATCTCAAAGTGCTTTTTTCTGCATTAGAAAAAAATACAAGACTGAATCCTCAGGCGAACTTGGAAGGCCTAGACGAAAAGGCCAAGGCCGCTGTTGCCGCGCTTGACAGCATCAACGCCGAGATGAGGGTTGGAAACGAACGAATGAAGAAAGACCCTGATCTCGGGACGATCCGGTACCCTGATTTATTTGGGCGCTGGAGAGTATTTTTCCTGCAACCGGAGCTGATACCTACGCAAAGCGCTGCGAATTTACAATGGTGTGAGAAATTTCATTATCCAAATGAATGGGCCAATTTCGGCGCATCGGAGTCTTCTGCCAATTCGTCTGCCAATTCGCAGCCGCAGGCTGGCGCAGACATACCAGGAAACAGTATTCAGCTTTGGAATTCTACTGGTGGACAGACGCGTACAATCGCTATCGTACCAAGAAAGACAACGCGCTCTATAAATCCCGGCTACACATCAAGCGGTGAAACGATACGCATGATTCAATGGCTTGGCAAAATAAGTGCCCGCTTTGTGGTGGAAGGTGCGCAGTAGTAGGGTGCGGCTTGTATCAAGCGCTGCCGCAGGGGGTCAACCGGCATTGGACGGAGCTACCAGGGCTAATATCCCAAGCACACTTCGTGAAGAACAACATATCCGAGAACTTCGCGATCAAGTCAGAGCCGGTGGTCAATAAGGTCTTAACTGGCTGGCTGTCGGAGAATTAGAACCGGGAAAAAGCAGGCTTCCATTCATCGTGGCTGGCTTTTGGCACCAGGGGCCAACCACTCCGCTGCGGGGGGAAGGTGTTCCACGGTCTGCTCTCAAAAAGATACTCGCACCCCGTGAGGCAGACAGACTGATTGCCGAAAACATGATCGGTGACCCTGGATACTCCGTGAAAGAGGCACTTGCAATCCTTTCCCCTGTTGCGAATAGTCATTACAGATCAGGAGCACCATTGGCACTTCCCGACAAGGAGCAAAATTTCTATCCGTGGTTCCCATCCATGCCTCAGCAGTTTCCTCCTGCTCTGAATGCGCCGCAAGTGCCTCATTTCCAACAGCCGTCAGCCTCTGCCCAATTCCCATTCTCACCACAATATCAACAGCCATCAGCTCCTACCCAATTCCAGTTACCACCACAGTTCCAACAATCATTTCTACCCAGGCGCTTTCGCTGCTCCTCAGCCCTTCTTCGATTTTTCGAAACAGGCACCCGCTACCCAAATTCCACAGCGGGAAGAGGAGCTGTGAGTCGTTAATGGCTATGCGCTAGATAAGTTCCAACTCGAGGATAGTAACAGTACTTCTAGCCACGTTGATGGTCATACAAGGAAAACCATAAAGCTGCCATGGAGCACCTTGAATAACACAACGGAGGAACTCAATACATGTCTGTGTTCTATTTAGTTATCTTGGAGAATCCATTCATCGCCTTTCATAACCCAACCACCAGTAAGGATGATTGTCCAATATGCACATAAATATATTCGTAACAAGGTTTATTCCGAAGCTAAATGGGATTTGCACAATCTATTCAGTCCAAAGCCCTCTCACCTTCCCCCCTCATTTTATTCTAGTTCTAAAGAGCCGTGGTCTTCCATGCCTCCCACTCCTCTTTTCCAAGGTTCAAGGCCCGCTTGAGTCCTGCGAAGTTATACGGAAGTGTCTGCATATCTAGGAAAGAGCTCTCAGACCCATGAGCGAAGAAAAACCTTTGAGCCATTCCGTCCTCGATGACACACCTGGCAAGATCTTCACGGACCCTTTCGCGAAAGATGTTAGCTAGCCGCAATTTATCCTCGCCTAGCACGTTAAAGCCATTGTAGAACTCAGTCACCGGCCACGCAAAAATATATACGACGGGCTCATCATGTAGGCGACCACCAAGGAAGAGTCTCACGGCTTGCGAAACCGTGGTCTGAAAACCGTGGTTGACCACGGTTTTTATGTTCCTCGCATAACAGTTATTTAAGGTTGACACTGCTATTTTCAACTCCTCTCAATACACCGAGAATGTTGAAAAGCCTTCCTACAAACTTCGGCCAAATGCTGGCCGGTCTCTATCAAGACCAGATTCGGAACGCCGATTAAAAGGCTAAAGCAGTCAAAGTTTCCGAAGGCAAGCCTTCTTCACTACGATCGTTGATGCTGGCTCTAACCACATAAAAGGTCGCTCACAGAGACTTGATAAACCAAAACTATCTCAATATCATCTAGAGGCACGCCATAAAGCGACTCCATACCTATATACCCTATATTTCACCATGGTCGACAATCCATTTGTTTGCTTTTACAACCCGATCTCAGAAAGCCAAATTCCACCTAAAGCAGCAAGAGACGCCATCAGGGAGCTTGACAGAATCAATAGCCGCTTAATGGACAGAAACATTGCCAATGGTTTAGATCTTGGCCTCGGTCAAATCCAGTGGCAGCCCTTTGTCGCAAAGTGGAAAACAATCCTTTTCATGTTAAACACTCCCCAGCCCGGAGAACCGGAAACAAAACCATTTATGCTCGCCCTTTCAGATATGTGCAAAGAATACGACTATCCAAGCGCATGGGCCTGTCTACCTCCTAGGGAGCCAGCAGAGACGCATGGAGTTAACAAGATAAAGACCGAGTAAGGAATTGGTCGACTTCTACCTAAATCGCTTAAAAGTCGTGCAATTCCACTAGCCTTAGTATAGAACAGATGTCGAAATGTATGGATCTAGTAGCTCGAGATCGCTATGCTATACCGCTTAATATAATATATTCTTTTCATGATAGAACAGGATGGTGCTTAATTACGCTCGAGATATCGGCTAAAAGTTAGACAAGGGAATGGAATTATGTACAATGCCATATAAGTTCATGGGGCCTTCGATTTATGCAATTTCGGAAGCTAAAGAAGGAACTACTGTGGTTTGTTCGCACTACGGGGCAGTGGACTAATATTTTGCTCAAGTAAAGGACCCGGTGCAGCCTCAATTCACTGACTGCACATGGTGGGAATGCCCCTCGAGTTTATCTTCCGGCCACGTCAGAAAAGATGTGGTCGTGCGAGGAGCCGCAACTGGACCTGCTCTTCGACCGACCGGCCGGCCTAGATTGCAGGCGCTAAGAATGCACTTCCCCTGCGCCACTCATTCTCCGTCACTGGGGTCATCTGCTTCATGGAAATATTTGGTGGCGGGGTCGCTAACATGCACACTCTGTGGCCCACTCATTGACGACAACACGGATTAGATTATGGGAAGGCTCTATGCCTATTTGCCGTTTGATATTGACATTCAATCCTATACATTTAGGTCTTGTTGCCCTCGATACCTATTAATAAAGTACGGGGGTGGTGAATGGTAGAGACACCTCTAGGATGCTAAGCGCCGACACGCCATGACCACGATTTCCGTGACCACAATATCCATGACCACGATTTCCATGGCCACGATTTCCATGACCACGATTTCCCCGCGACTTTCTGCTCAGAACAGTGGTTTCTGCCCATCATGCGTGACACAGCAATAATATTTAAACTCCCTAGCTCTACATAATGCCTCTGGTCTTATACACAACTGAGGAACAATTTGTCAAAATGCCGAAGCTACTCTCACGCATTGCCCGGAAACTCGGGATGTTAGGAGTCTATATCATTATTGTTCGAAAGAATTCCGGTTCAATTCGTGTAATTGAATCCAAATTCCCCCTCAGACTCGATAATAGATGTATGTTGCCGTTCTGTATTTATCTTATGGCTATTATCCGATCTGATCTCTTACAAGTTGATGTACACCTTTCTATGCCGTACGACTACCGCACACAGGGTTCGAACAGTCATCTCTATCAGAAGGAAATTGCTTAAGATGGCGCCTCTTGATCACAGCGTCGCCGTATGGGGGGATCTGTATCAGCTTCTGCAAACGCTCTTTGACCTTCCAGTCGACGTGAGGGGCTCTAGAGGGCAACGATTCGACGCAGGTGATTTGCTCGCTCGTCTCAGCCAGAGTGGGCAAAGGGCCGCCGAACTGGTCCAGGAACATCCTGGCGGCTGAGCAAGAAACTTAGCCTAATAAACATTTCGAGTGTGTGATTTGCTCGCTGTTCGTCTGGTGTAATTACAGGTCAACGCGCCGGTCTGATAAACACAACGTAGCGACAGCTAGGGCTCAATGGGACCACGTGATGTTGACATCAAAACTCTACTATTCAAGCAAAATATACCTTATCTAGTACTTCCATAATTGAAAAGAAAAGAAAGAGAGAATTGTTCATCAACGGCTAGATATTCGGTGGCCAAATTCACATCGTTGGGCTAACAGCGATCACAAAATTCTTTGTAGCTGATTTTGTAGCCAATCACCAGCGTTATTGTCCAAATTATCCACAAGATGACGCTTAAGGTCCTCCCCGCTATGCGAATAAATCATGCGGTTGATTGATATGCGCATGTCACTGGGGGGCAGGAAATCCATCATCAGAAGACTGTATAGCAAGACCATACATTCCAAGTCCGTATTGCCAACACTCTGCCCCACTAGATCCTCAATAAATGCCGAAGGGGCATACCCTATATGCTGAGAAAGAATACTGGATAGTAAATGGGCAGTAATGGGCCCATCATCACATCGGGTCAAAGAAACGATGTACGAGGTGACAGCGCTGTATTCAATCATGAACTGGGGGTTGTCCATTTCATCGACTAAATAGTTAGTTAGATATCTGCTACACGTGAGATCAAAGAATAACATACAGAATTGTCTTATAAGGCGTGGTAATCGTGAAGTGAGAGGTGTTATTGACATGGCTTAGGAAAAAGAGGTAAAAAGCCAATTGACTGCAATGCTTCGCAGAAAAATTACCTGGGAAAAGAGACACTTTATAGCTTTCGTTGGCTCTTGGTTAATTGGTGCCTCGGGCATAAAGTACACCTTTGATATCCAGAATATTCAAATCAAATCAGGAAATTCTTCTAGTTTGTCAATTTACCAACAACCAAAAAACCAGAAAAAGAAAAAAACAATTTCTGGAGTGATAAACATTTAGTGTTCAATTGGTCCAAAACAACTATACTCCTTGATTAATAGGAGTAAACGATATAGATCACTCTCGAACTTACAGGTTCCACATATCAATATAGTAGTTAGATAGAGACTGAGAGACATCTTAGTCCTGTGATATGATCAGTTTCTTTAATAGGATAATTGGATAATTTAAAAAATCGTAACAGACATACAAACACGGCCAGTGAAGTAATACCTTACTATAGGCCAAAGCGGAAGTGTAAGCGGAAGTATAAGAAAACAGAAAATGAGGAAAATATAATAGCCCACAAGGGTGGACACTAGGAGGTTGCCAAATGTGTCGTCATCCATAATTAAGAATAGATGAAATTATTTTCTTTGGATTCCAGATGGTTGATGTACTAGGAAGTCAAGGTGCTTTTATAATAGAACTACAGACTATTTTTTATAATTAATACAATATAAAGTTCTCCTGCGACTCCGACAAAATAGAAATTAGCTAGTATTTTATAGAAATACAGACATTTCTCTTGGCTTCGGCTTGCGCTATTATTTGATCGCACAATAGCACTCAACTAGTTTTTTAAGTTCCTTCCGGGACATAAAATTAAAACTTTCTCTCTTTTAATACCATATTTCCGCTTAACATAGTCCTACTCCTCCTTTTCTATAAGATCTTTTGCTCTTTCAATCTTGAAGTGAAGTTTCACCATGTCAAACATTGATGGCACTATTCCATCAATAAAGTGATAGCCATAAACATAACCTTTAGAGTTGTCGTTGTACCTGACATAGAACTTCATAGAAACATTGTTTTGCGTCCAAACTGTACAGTCGTATCTCTTAAATTCAGCGATTTTGTCGAGGATTTGAACGTTCAAGACTGGTCCTTGTAGCTGGGACATCGCTTAGATCTACATTGTCAGCATTTCCAGAAATGCCCGCTGAGCTACCTGGTCTTTACTTACAAGGCTCTATATGATTGAAATAGCCAATTGATAGTGAATTTGGCCTCCTTGCCTTCTCAGGGTACTTAAGGTGAATTGGGGTAGAAAAGGGTTCTGGAAGGAAGACAAATCGTATTTAGCAAGGGAGCACATTAGTGATATATATTCGGAGGAGTGGATTATACTATTGTCGTTCACAGTTTCTTTGTTTCCGCCTTTTGTGCCCTGCTCTTGAGTTTCTCTGGCGGACGGGGAGTTGTCTTGAATAAATAAAAAGGACTTAATCCAGCTGGGGAGCAGTCCTCGTAGCGAGGAAGGTGGAATACAATCCATGAGTGTTTTCTGACAAGCTGATCTATCTGGCGATGTAGATATGAGGATTTTTGGCTAGCAGAACAGCGCCAATGGGGTTATATACTGGCCAATCGACCGTTTTTATTGAAATAGTGATTAATTTGGATAACAACGTCGTCAATTTCCGTTTTCAGAATTGTAAAGAGCAATAGCCTAGCGGTATATTTCTTTCCCCGCTTGATAATGGAATTTGTTGAAAAGACTTTAATTTTCTGAATTGACGGCGAAAATAGAGAGAGAAGCAACGTAGTACATTATTTTCCGCTATCAAATCACCGGATCCTTCCCGCACTCAGCCTCCGAGAATGTATCATATATCCTCCGAGAGCTCATCATCTGTTTGTGGATACTCTTTAAGAGGATCCCGCATCTCATCATGCGTTGAATGCATCCCACAACGGCTCCGTTGCCGGAATAGTTTTCCCACACCAATGTAATTATTCGTCCAATTTCGCTTGCTGATATATAGAACAGGCATAAAAATGGTTCAAAAGTCAACTCTCAGTCACACGATATCTCGATGCTTAATTATCTTGTATCTTTGTGCAGTAATTGCATTTCTTATTCCCACAGGGTTTACGAAGCTCCTGGTATCGTCTCTTTATTCCCTGGCAAGGATCCTCGAAACAGAACTGCATGCATACTCCTCCCGCTCCCCACAGGATAGGTAGATATAATACACCTCCCAACACATTGGATAGAATCTAGAAGCTTTCGTCAAATCATTGAATAAATATGGATAATATAGGTTTGATAATCCGGCTTAGACTCACGATTTGCTGTTCGGTAGATTATTGTGCGATTTGCAGGACGTGCGTATAATCCAATGCTACTTTTGAATTAGCATTGATCCATGGGCAATATTTGGCTGGGTAATTAAGATAAATATTTCAATGTTCCACGAGGGCTCTTTGGGATTTTCATGTGTGCATATTCCCATTATGATGAGATATTTAGAGGGGCTGGGAGAATGATGCCAAACAGAAGGGAGAAAAATAGAAGGGAGAAAGACATACATTTGGAAATAGGCCTTAAGAAGGGAGGAGTGGCTCCAAAGGTGCTGTGCGGTTGAAAGAATTCTCCTCTAAACTCATGGGGGCGACGGGGTTATACCCTCCATGTTCATTTGATGGAACAAACGCTCTCTGAGGTGATTGCAAATATATCTCCATAGAGGAATGTCCAGGGAGAATCAATGTTGCGGAAGATCGGGCTGATGAAGATAGTGGATATGGTGTTCTATCGCAACGTACAGTGGGCGCTGGGCTTTCTGTATCCCTGCTAGGATTTTGTGTATCTCTGCATAAGAAGAAACTCAGAAGTCTCATCGCGAGATACATGAGTGCTGTTTATCTGAATGTGTTTTCGGATTTCTTCTTGCTATCAAAGGTGTACTGTTATAAGTTCTTGGTCTTGATAATGTAGAGTATCTTGTTCATCTATTTGAATACCCCGAAAATATGGGAATCAACTCTCCCTGTTTGAAATGGAATAGTTTTTAGTTTTGACCTATGGACTCAGCCTAAGTCAACAATTATCACTTGGCTTGGAAAATATAATATGTTTTCTATTCATCCAATCAATAATAAAGTAAAGTATAACAGACACACCGATACCATGATCGGAAACTATAATACTCGATTATTTACTTGACTTTGACGTATTAACAATATTTGACATAGCAGATCTATACTCCATAAAGGGCTTCACCTTGTGAAAAGGAGTCAGGTTCAAGTAGTAATCCACCAATTTGGACAGAGCTGTCCACATCTAAGACGTCGGTCACTATGTATTATATGCGTGTAAGAATAGATCATACATACCAAGTCGCCCCTTTTCGTACTGTTCCTCCTTCCCTGAAGATTTGGAATCGCCTTAGAATGCTCGGTTACTTTTGAACAAAGCAAATACGATTCATTTCATATTCACACTTGATCACCAGAAAAGACTCAATTTAGGATAAGCGAAAAGTCAAAGTCTGAAGAGCTCGTTCCACTCATCCTTTGATATTTCTCCTGAAGCATTGTCTTCACACTGTCGTAAGGCGATCTCAGGAAATCAATCAAGCCCGGTGATGCTTCAGAAGATGAAGCATCAAAATGCCAAGTCATCAGCGCTAGCATAAGAACAGTATCATAACTGAGAACGCGTAATATATCTCCCAAGTAGACGTCGAGACGAGGTTCCTGGGATCTTCTGCTCCTGAAAATGTCACAGAAATCTAGCAACTTTCTAACATCTCCACTAGGGTTTTCTGGACTGAATCTCAAGAGTGGCGGAGATTCAATTCTCAAAGAGAGTATTTTTTTCAAAGCTATTCCTGCCGGCCCATACAGGAGATGGACGTGAAGCGGAGCGGGCTTCCTTTGTGAGCATGTCATCGTCACCAGCGAGAGAGGCGGGTACTCACCATAACTGGATGTTTGGTTTAATGACAATGTGCAATCAAAGGCCGCCTAAGCAGTAGAAATAGACCCTTTATAACCACCTGGTCCGTCTTGACTGCTCAAAATGATATTGACAAATACGGGAACGTTTTAAGAAATTCTATTATCAAGCAGAGAGGGAAATTTAACGCTAGGCTGCTGCTCTTTATAATCAGCCGATAATCCTAAATATCATGGAGGAACGTCAAGGGAGGATCATTATGTTGTCAGTTGCGGAAGATCGAGTCCGATTTGAATGTGTTATTAGCCAATAGGATTGAACTAGGAAGCCACTTTGCCGTGGCCTGCAATAGCCCAAGCGTTTTTTGTCCTATCATTATGTCTTTGGGCTGAGCAGATTCTTTGTCTTGGCTCGCAAAGGACAGCGAATAAGAGTATTCTCTTGGACAATACATGCACTAGGCATGAACTGACCGATATAAGAAGCAACGTAGTATATTATCTCTGCTATCAAAAATGCTAAAACTAAGCAACGCAAGAGAGAAGAAGAATAAAAAGAAAGAAGTAAGCTATGTATGAGCATCTACCAAATCATCGGATCCTTCTCGCACTCAGTTTCCGAGCGTATATCATATGATACAGATATATCCTCTGAGACCAAATCATCTGTGCATGAATAGTTTGTTATGGGATCCCACTTAAAGCATCCCATCACCTTTTGAATGCCTCCCACAATGGCTCCGTAACCGGAAAAGTCTTCCCACGCAATATCGATCCTCCATATTCCATCTTTGTGTCGGATAACTTTGAGCATACCTGATCGCTCTGGTAGATCAGTCCTACGATAGCTCAGGATATTCGATCCATCCAAACGAAGCACCACACGGCTTTGAAGGTTTGCTGTAATATAACAAAGAAATCGTTCTTCTGTGCATTGGCAGCTGTCGTGAAGCATGGAATTCAGACGTTCCCGAAGGGACTTTCCAGCCTGGCCGTTTAACGCGGAAGCGGGGCACATCGTCATCATCGCCCCATAGATCTGAGGGGCGGTAAACAGGGTCTCGCCCTTAGTGTTATATAACCGGTTGCAACAATTTGTAAGTTGTTGCTGGGACATAAGACCATAACTGCGTTCACCAATATTTGTGAAAATGACAATGGGCACTGTTTTCATTAGCTTCGTATATATCTGCAAAGTCTATAACACATACTCAGCTGCCCCCATTCATTGTGTTGCCACAGAGTGAAATCATGACGTGGAGGTGGATTTTGCCAATCATAGGAGCCGAAAGATTGCGGACTGTTCTGGGCTTCGACTGCAGGTATGGGATTCAGGTCTCATGGGCTTCTCACGAAGGGAGCTTTAGAATCATCCATTATATAGATGTAATTGCGTTATCGATGCAGATGGGGGAAGAGGGAACAATTTATATGTTCCTAGATGAACAAATCCCCATAGGCAGACATACAGCTCTGCTGAGGATTCTGGTCTTAATTGACTTGATACGTGCTAGAGATAGCAATTATCACGATGGTTCAGTTAATCACATGACACAGCCCTTCAAATTGTACAAAGATAATGCTAATCAAAATTTTCTGCGACATACTTCGGTTAATATGGAGGGAACGAACCTTATGATGAAGGGGAAAACTATCTACAGCTCTTTCCTACTGTTACCTACATTATGAATACCTATAGGAATATGCGAAAATGTGAATTCGATTCTTTTATAGGATATCACCGTTCTGATAATGTATGTACGCACAACATTAGGCAGCAGGAAGCAGGCAGCACCTGAACACAAATTACATGCTTGTAATCCTCAGACAAGTGTATTAAAAGATATCTTAAGCGCTGAGCGATAACCAACTGCCTCTAACCACTTTCTATACGCGACCGGAATCACGTTGTTTGCCTTTTTATGAAGAGTCTCTTGTTGTTCCCAAGAAACATTGTCCAGGAACAGAGTCTCATTGAGATTCCACTTAACATAACCCGGATTACTATCGTTAAAAAGCACATAGAACACAGCATAAAGAGTGTGAGGATCTTCAATGCCGGCTTCTACCCCAACAAACCCCAGAAAATTTTTTATTTCTCTGAAGATAACTCCGTCGATGAGATCCACCTTCAAAAGCCAAAAACTGCGGTCAGCAATCTGTAGTCATAGTTCCTATAGCCGCTATTGATCACACCTGCAATTGAGTTTTGAAAAACTTGGAAAATGTGGCTGAATGACGGTCACAGCAATTCCGGCGAGAGAAAGCCATCCATGCTTCGCGCTCATAGAGATGATTTTCTCGTTGACATTGTATGGTTATATTGGCGTGATGAAGTTGCTCCTGAAGCTCTCGTACTTCGTCTCGAAGCTTCGACATAGATTCAACTTCCTTCTCGTTCTTGTCTTGAAGCTTAATGGCGTAATCAACCAGGGTCACGATTTGCTGGGCTTGATCCGGTCTCGTGTCATTCATATTCAGATGCGCTGCCATTCTAGCTGAAAATAATTATGGATGTAATTAGGGAGATTTCATAGATATAGATATATCTTCTCTTAAATGAACAAAGATACTGTCGCATAGGAATCTTACAAAGAGTCCAGGGGTAGAATATTGTCGTGGTATTTCCAACTTTGGGTTTTCCTGTCTGTGACTCAAGAGAGACTATTCCTAATTATAGTACTGGAAAACTTTCACCTGGGGCTGTTTGGGACTTTCAATGCCCTAGTATTTTATAAACACGAGACAGATCCTATTTGAAACCACTGCCGGCAGTGGTTCAGAGCTAGGGTGAAATCTAGCTCTGAGACTCTGACCAGTCAAATATTAATGTCGAACTGAGGGGTGGTATTTTACCACTAAGAACAGGGATATTCATCAAGTACCCATTCTGTCTCTGTCTCTGTATGGTAAACGGGGTACGCTCGGCATACCAGCGTCGTAACACGCTAGGAACGACTCCTGAGATCTGTTAACGCTTCAACAGCAAGATCCAGATAGAACAACATCAATGCATCTCAATGGGACACCTTAATACTAGCACATACCAGTATCTGTCAATCCGACAATTAAGCAACCAATCCGGTAATGATTCACGGATTTTTTATTGGGCCACCTGAGGTCAGCTGGGTGATACGTCCCCTCAATATTCTGACCAATAAAATACGATACTTGTACTACTGGTTCTAGATCCCACCACGGGCATGTAACTAGACTTCGGCGGCAAGGAACCAGATGATGAGTCGATGGAATGTCTGCGACTCGAACAGGCGCAGTCTGAGGCAGATGAGCAGTATCAGGCTTGCCAGGAAGCTATTGGAGTTGGACATGAGGGGTGGGTGCCTGTTGCACACTATGACGAAGCAAAAGCGTGCGAGAGAAAATTGAGAGCGGACGCTCTCGATGCGGCTGAAACAGAGGAGGAGAGAACAAGGATTCGAGAAAATTGGATTTTCGATGACTTCAGCGAGGAAGATTATACGTGAGAAGGGTAGCCAAGAATAGTCGTGAAACAGATTACCAGAATAATTACGAGTGCCCTGCGCACCTTCAACTCGATGGTGGTACGTTTGCATGCCAGTTTAGTGAGGTCATAAACGCACAGTATTACTGTATGATGCTGCGCCCAAAACGCAGCGTCACGCAACATGAAAACCGGCGCTAGATGAATGGTTGGTAAGCTTCCTAGAAGCGAGCCGTCTCTATGCGATGAGACATGTCTACGGATGGAAAAAATACCAACCGGACACCGTAGCTTTGGTCTGGAATCGTTTGGCCCCCAACATCACCAACATAATTGCTTTTGATCTTGACCCAAATGGCCCAGGCTTTCTGGACGACATGTCGACTCTGACTTTATTCGCTGCTCATTTTGTGACTATACTAAAAAAAAGAGGGCTCTGACAGGGTTCCCCTCTCAGCCGGTTGAGAGGCGCAGGAGTTCTCTGCAATTTGAATTACCTCATATATTTCAGTACGGTCGCTTCGGACGCCCCTTCGTAATCAACTATGGAACAGCAAGTTGCTTCTCGCAACCACCCTCGAGCACAATGGACATCTCTTTAGCCCTTGAAGTTCTTCGGAATGCGCCACCTGAAGCCTTGCAAAATCACAGACAAGAAGCTATTGAAGCGTTTCGAGATATTGAAGCGCGACTAAATGAGCTTGATTTCCCAGAGTCAGATTCATCTATCCCAGCTTTCACAGCGATTGCCAATGGATCTGGTAGTCATGAAGCCGGGAGGGCCGCCTCCACTCAACTACCATCTTCAGTCGAGCAGCCCACCTTAACTGTTCAAGACAAAAGCAAACCAAGTCATTCGATGAATCTTCTCACTACCTTAAATAAAACTGCTTCCTGGGTGTGGAAATCTACGAAGCGTCGACCAAACGAGGTTCTGGGTATCAAACGCCCTCGATTTTGCGATAGAAGGATTGCCGATGTTCGCAGGATTGAGGGTTCTTCCCAGGCCGAACCTAAATACAAATTATTGAGAGTCCTCGCTCAGCGATCTCTGGTTCTTCAAGGTGAGAAGGCCGGGTACTTGGATGTCGAAAATTATTGCAAAGTGGCCTCTTCAAGGGGAAAGGACAAGGCCAAGAGAGGGCGTGGGGGGACGATCGCCGAATATGTGAGAGAAGAACTTGAAATTGAGAAGGAAGACCAAGTCTTAGCTATCCAAGCAATTTCAGGTGGCATCAAACAATTAGTTACGGAACGACTGCTTAGAGAAAGGCTTGAAGAGACAGGGCAATACGGGAGTGCATCGGGAATTTCTGCCTTCACAGCTCTTGCCGTCAGGCCGTTCCGATATCTGAAGCACGAAGAGATCCCAGAGTTCTTGGATCGCCTCCTGGAGTCTGATTCAATGAATCTGTCTGCATTGGTGGACGAACCAAGGATGGAGCATTCTTTACCAGTTTCAATCAAAGAAGTTATTCAAAAGTCTTCAGAATGGCTGGATGAAATGCAGGTATATTATAATAGTGAGTTTGATATCTTCGAATTTGATGTGTCACTGATTTTCTTTTCTTTTCAGCACTTCTCGATATTCGGGATGACTTCGACGAACAACAATTAAACGAGCGGACACGTAAACGCCCCAAATCTTCTGTTGATGGCCTTGCGACCCGCTCCACGGAATCACAATCATTTTCGGATCGGCTGAGTGTTATAGAACCGTCTTCACCTGACTCTGATGAAACTCAAAGTCACCCACCCAACAGTCCACAAAAGAGTCCAGATTCGTTCAACAGGGTGCTTGAACAGCCTGGGTCAAATTTTTCTGAGTCTCCTTCAAGCATCGGCCTGGAGAGTTCTCTACTTCAAGACCGATTGGAAAGCAGCAACTCAAGCCGGCTCGGTGGTATCAGCAATCCTGACCACGAACAGACATCGGCCGGCATGATAAATATGGTTGATGTACAGGATATGATGCAACCAATTCTGCCAATCCCAGCGCAGGTCTGTCGCCTACCTTCAAATGGGGATCCGCCTCAGGCTGGTGTCGCTCCCGTGATCAACGTTCCTGAGATGGCACAAGCCGTATCGTCACAGGGAGAGCAGCAACAAATGCAAACGACCGGAATGGTCAACATTTATGACATGGTCCAGCCAATTTTGCCACAGATATGTACATCACTCGGAGAGCAGCAACAAATGCAGACGACCGGAATGGTCAATGTTTATGACATGGTCCAGCCAATTTTGCCACAGACATATATATCACTCGGAGAGCAGCAACAAATGCAGACGACCGGAATGGTTAATGCTTATGACATGATCCAGCAAATATTGCCGGCCCAGAATCTCGAGTCCTTCGAAAATACCAACATAGTCAACATATACGACATGCTTCAACAAATCCCGCCAGCGCAGGCTTCTGCATTAGCTGAGGAGCAATGTCGAAGTGAAACCAATATGACGAGATTTCACGACATTTGTCAACCAATATCCACAGCAGGATTTGTTCATCCATCAAATACGCAACTTCATTATCCGTTCCAATCAACACCGGCTGTGGAAAGACAGAATCCGATAATACATGGTCCTCTTGCTATGCAACTGGAGAAACATAACCACAATATGGCTACTCCACATAGCCCGATCATACTGCCAGTCTCCGCAGTGTAAATGTAGTTGGCTTGGTCTCATTTATTTGAATCAGAGGAACAGAATTGTTGTTACATGAGATCATTTGGGTACAAAAAATATAGCTGCTGTGTGCATGCGAACCTCTGGATCAGTGATCTCAACGTAAAAGCACTCTTCCAAGGCCCCTTCGCGCATAACATTCTCAGAAAGTGGAATGAGAAATCCTTTCTTTCCCGCGGTTCCGACTGTTGTAGGAACTGCGAAGTAGAGTAAACGCCAACGCCAGTTCTATTCGAACATTAATCTCCATTACCACTAGAGTGCTCGAGACACATACCTCTGGATCTGGAATAGGCAGTTGGCCCGACATGAGAGAGATCTGTTCCGCAAGTAATGTTCCTCCGTACGTCTTGTTCCCGTTTGCCTCCGTTTTCAGAAGTTCCGCATGATTCTCAGCAGGTTCACCAGATAAATCCGGAATCATCGATTTGATTTTGATGCGAATAGATTCCGCGAGAGGCGGGAGAGGTCTTTTAGATGGATTCATGTTGTCAGGGGTGTAAGATTAGCGGGACCGTCACTAGGAAGAGGCAATGCAAGCCTCATATATTAACAACAAAAAGGTCACATTGGAAACTACGCTTTCACATACCTTTAATACGTAACGAAAGGGACATAAGTCGTAGCTTCCATTTAGAACGATAATGTCGATATGGAAGTGAGGGGCAGCAAAGACCAATTTTGTATCTTGTGAGGGGTAACGGAAGTTGGGCATGAAAGCACGTGATGTCGCATCACCAGACCTGAGATGTAGGCGCTGCGAATTGATCCATATCACCTTTGTTATTGAAAGCTACTAAAGAATACACACAATGCATTCGAGCAAGGCGATACTTATATGGTGTCGCGTTACATTTCATCATGAGCATTAGTCTCGCGTCGGCGACATAACTCAAAAGAACTGTGAAATATTTTTATCTCCTTTATGGAACTTCTTTTGGCTCAAATTCTCTGCGTGATACGACGGTGAGTCAATTGTTGTCATTGGCCATTCGGTTGTTGCGCCCGCATTATTTATGTTCCCTAGTCATTTCTCCTGTCCTTCGTAAGGGACACATGCCACTGCTTCATCACCAGCAACCCCGCTGCGTGTTGACTCTAACTGCATTCAAATTAATGGAGACTAACGAAGATTTTGACACACGTCTCGTCTACGAGCCTCTTGAGGGAGTCGAGAGATTTGAGAACTATCGACCAGGGGGCTATCACCCCATTCAAATCGGGGATCACTTTCACGGTCGATATCGAGTTGTTCATGAGCTAGGACATGGGTCATATTCAACTGCGTGGCTGGCCCGTGATGAACAATTCAATAATCCACATTATAGTAGCCACTGCTGACATCCACATATTGTTAGCCTATAAGCTACTTATTTTTTAGTGGAACATACTCATACACAGCGCCTACTGAAACTTCACTAATCCCTAGTCATAATCTGGGACTATGAGTCTATGATTTTGCTTTGCTCCATAGGACGTGGTAATGTCTATTTCTATGGCAACACCGCAATACTTAAGGCTCAATGCAGCCCTGGAGACGACCAACTAATTTCTTATTATCCTCAAAATTTTATTCTGTCTAATATTCCTTATATTTTGTCTCCATCTTACTCGCACGCTATCTCCGAGCTTCACTTGCAATGTCATCGATACGTCGGAACTTCTCGACTACAGCTCGCGCTCTCCTTAAATTCATATGGAAGGGGACGGGCTCTAACTCCCAATACGAGGATCGTATTAAAGCAAAACTTGCCAAGAATCCGAAATTAGTCGATGCTGATAAGGTGGAAATTGCGTATGTCTCTCGAAGAGTGTCACAGTGTTACTGAATTCGCCGAGTACTAATGAATCTCAGTGGCGACGAACACACCTCGCCAGCAGACCCTAAGCCTCGCGTGTCTGGGCAAGTGTTCAAAGACAACCGCCGACTTACGTCTCTCCACGCATATCACGACGGAACGATCATATACTCCAAGGACAGTATCAACAAAGCACAAGAGGACTAAGCTGCAAATGCGAAGTGACAACAATTTGTATACCTCGGAATGATAGGGTGGTTGATACGGGCTTGTATAATGCTGCTGGGAACCAGGCCTACTGTGGACAAGGTCATTTGACGTATAATTTACCCAACCATAGCGTGAACATGGATCTCGAAGGAGGCAAAGAAGCCTTATCATAAGTCGTGCTGTGACATTCTTATATAACAGATTGTTGATGTTCATAGATGTGGAAGAATGGATATGTAGCAGTTTCCCATTCGTCGTTGTCAATGGTAGTTCTCTTTCTGTGCAGCAGTGTTGATGGTGAAATTAGGACCGAGTCAAAAAGAACACCGTACTATACTGCTATCAGACATGCCCACAGACTTTGTTCAAAGCATGGGCACTATGCCCCTGTATGCTGAAGTGCTTCGTATTTTGACAGAGAGTTGATGCTGGGCCCTTTGCCGCGATTTTGACATGAGCTCCCTAGTGATTGGACCCGCATATTTTTAGCGCTGCGCTAATGCACAAGATATAATGCGACATATGACTAGCCAGCCAATCCTTAACCGCCCGCGTTCCACTTGCGGCGCGAGCTTACGGGATCCCAAACTAGCCATACTCAGGCTCAAAGTTCGGACTACACCGCCTACGGGATCCAAAACAAGCCATATTCGCTCCAAGTTCTGACTACACCCTTCTCTCTATAAAACCATATGAACCTGTGTCAGTCTTTTTGGCTTTGTGCAGCATAATGACGCGGAATCTTCCTAATATTCTCATGCATCCCTTCAAGGCGTTTCGCCAGTCGCCCTGGGCATTTTCGTCCGCCCTTCCATCCCGAATCGACCCGTCCTTGCTGATTGAAGAGGAGAACTCTCCCTACTACGAACCAGCCTATTTTTATCCGGCGCAGATCGGTGAAATACTTAATGACCGGTATCAAATTGCGACCAAGCTTGGCCACGGAAGCAGATCGAGTGTGTGGCTTGCAAGGGACCTTCACCAGTTCGTATTAGCCTAATCACATTTTGAGGTACATATTGACAGTTTAGGTGGCGCTGGTCGAACGAGCGATATGTGGCTCTTAAGATTAACTCCAATAATTCCCACGCACGGAAAACTGCTGGTGGCGTTGAGCTGGAGGTTCTGCGACATATAACGAGAGCGAACCCTCAACATGAGGGTTGGCGTTTCGTTCGAAAATTACTTGACTCGTTTTCTGTCGAGGGGATGTCAGGGAGTCATGTATGTCTCGTCTTCGAACCTTTACGTGAGTCACTGGGAAAATATTGCCAACGATGGCAAGATCACGTGATGCCACCGGAGATTTTCAAAATAATCCTCCAAGAAATACTCCAAGCGCTTGATTATTTCCACACTGAATGTCATATCATTCATACCGGTAAGAATTCTTATTTGTCTTAGTTAACGATATGGTTCTCATTCAGGAGTAACAGACCTAAAGCCGGATAACATCATGGTACGACTGGAAGATCGTGAGCTCTTATCCCAGAATGCTCGAGATGAGTTTGAAAACCCGCTACCTCAGAAGCATTGCAACGACGGACGCATCATCTATCTATCCCGTAAGGACTATGGACCGCTAAAGGACATCATCGGACTGATTGAAGTCGTCGACTTTGACCTAGCAGTCCAAGGTGATATTCTTCAGGATGGCTGTATCCAGGCGGAGGTATATCGTGCGCCAGAGGTCATCCTTGACAGAGGGTACACGTATAGTGCTGATATATGGAGTCTGGGAGTTATGGTACACAGTATCCCCCCCTTCAACATACTAGCACAGACAACTAACTATTGAATGAAGCTATGGGATTTTCTAGAAGGACGGACACTGTTTGAATCAGTTGATCCACGCACCGTTGAATTCTATGATGACGAGACGCATCTTTTGTATATAACGTCGCTTTTGGGTCCTGCCCCTAAAGACTTTGTTCGCCGCGGCAAGAGGACATCAATGTTTTATACGGCTACTGGTAAGTGAGTCTTTCAATCAATATCTTATATATAACTAACACTACATTTCAGGAACACTCAAAAAGGAAGATCTTGTCCCTAGTAACTTTAGCTTTGAAAGCACCATCTCCAAGTTTGATGGGGAAGAAAAGAGGATGTTTATTAGCTTCGTCAACCGGATGATCAAATGGAAACCCGAAGAGCGAAGTACGGCGAAGGAGCTACTACAGGATCCATGGCTTCATAATGATTATCCGCAAATATGAGGCTGTCTTCCATCTTTGTTCAGCGATTATTCCGTCAAACCCGGCGATGGTAAGCTAATATCTGAGGGGCGTTGTTGCGGAATTAGTCTGGCGACGCATATATCTTATGTACATAGTTCCGAGTAATCATTCTACCATTCCTACACTTTCCAAATAGGGCTGGCACTCGTTATCTCCGTTGGTTCGGCAATCTTGTGTCTGCATGCTTCTTTATCCCAGCTAAACCAGTGTCAGCTATATTCCTAAAAAAAAAAAACAGCAAAAAGTACTTGTGAAAATTCAGCAACTTTTGAAATCATGTAAGATCGGGCAGTTCTCATGCGAGCAGGCAGCTTCCAAGTACTGGATATCTTTAGCCAATATCGGAACTCAGCACAACTCGACAAAAATCAATATTCGATAAACAATCATAAAGACCCTAGTATCTAGCTACTGTCCACATTCACTGGGACCACTGTTGGTTACCTTATGTGGCACTAAGCATGACGACAAATCATCTCACTAAATTGACATCAAACAACGAAAACGGAGGACGTGGCCAACTTGGTCAAATCAAATTCACATTTTGTTCCAGACTCAATGCTAGCAATAAATATTTTGCCATCTAGTTGGAATGAGTTTGGGGTGTTAGGAAAAATCGGAATTGATAAAAAGGATAAAAACAATACGGAGACGAGCATTGCCATAAATTGCAACGAACCAACGCAAGACGAGTTCACATTCGAGTTACTGACTGTCTGGCCCTTTTGATCAATCGTTCAGATCGTCTCGGTTTAAGGGAGAGGCCATCGGTATCTGAAAGATTGCGTTTGGTTGACCATCTGCCACAAGAGCCATGCTGTGGTTCTTTTGCAATACACTCATTGGTGCCATTTAGTGTTTCCTGCGTATGAAATTGATCCGTTCTCGAGCAGGTGTCAAACACACCGCAACTCGGTTGCGAATTGTCTTCGTAGTTGTTTTGATCAACTTCTAGCAATGGTCAACGAAAAACATGTTACGAGCTAGGGCCTAACACGTACCTGCTTGGCTACTTTGGCCATAGAGAACTACGGAGTGATCTTCCATCACCTTAGGCGCTCTGTCCTTGGTTGCTTTATCATCCAGGCGGGGACAATTCTGCTCAAGGATTCGAGGCTCTTCGGGACACTCGCAGGTTAGCTGTGGAGTGGGGATAGAACAGAAAGAGAGCTAACGTCTGCACGCTCGTCTGCTGGGGCAGGAAAGTTTTCATCGATCAATTTCTCCCAGAATTCTGGTGTAGCCATGACCTCAGTGTCGGCGTCAGAACCAAGCTGCTCTGCCTCATCATAGCCACAATCCTCGTCAACATAAATCACTATAGGGTTGGAAGCCGAGCCCAAAGGAGCAGGATCATCTCCAATCACTATGGGATTGGCCTCAGTGCCTGACTCAGGAGCATCGATGAGTTCGTGTATGACCAGTGTAGGCCAGTCCGAACGCTCATCGGGGATTGATACTTCGCAATGTCAAGTTAGCAAAATAAACAATGGTTATGGAAGGTCCCTCACCGATGGCTTCGTGCACGTTGTTTGTGAAAGAGCTCATACTGACTGGAGCGGGAAGAAGAGGCGGAAATGAATGCTTAATGATTGATGTACGGCAAGGCTGAGGGCTGTGATCAAGACTCAAGACCTAATCCAATTCTTGACTGTTTTTTATCGGAGAAACAGAGTGCGGGATACATGGCTTTATACCTTCGTTCTGACCGGTTGCGCCTTGTTCAGCCTACAGGCTGATGCGGGCACGTTAGTCCAAGTCTCAACTTCAGACGGCAAGGCTCAGCAGGATCGCTTCCAGACGAGGCCTGTCTGCCAATCGTCTCCATGTCCAATGCACAGTGCATAGTAAAGGTACCACACGAATGACCAGCTTACTCGTCCATTGGCCCAAGACCACATCACACAGCGCTGTTGCTATTTACGGAGGACTGCACTCCTGCTCATCGACCTCGCCCAGTAACATCGCCACCGTTTCGACTGAGCTCTGTTTGTCAGTCGTTCCGTGGCCCAGGACAGAAGACGAAACATGCAAAACGGTCCAACACGGAGACTAAGGACCCCCTCATCATCCCCAGTCCGCGCGACGCAGATACACAGAGCGCCTTCGATGACATGGGTCGGGACTGCGTAGATCTCCGGGATGAGGACGACCGCGACCCCGAGATGATACCATAATGATGCTGCTATTCCTGGAGAACTGCAAGTACGCGCATCGTCTGCGCCCAATGTCATCACCATTGGATTGATTGAGCTCTGCTCGCCAGTCGCTCCATAACTCGGGGCAAAAGACGAAACGCGGAAGAGCGGACCAACATGGAGACACACGCTACCTCCATCTCCAGTCCGCATGACCTGTTCCTTGTCCTTCTATCTGGTCCTCTGTGCCAATCGATCGTGAAGTCAATGAGTTCGGTCACAAGGCGTCCAGTCAATTGAGCTCTACTTGCCAGTCATTACGTAACCAATTGCTGTGGATGAGACGCTCATGAGGTACTCACCGAGAGATCAAAGCTGCCTGATCGCCTCCAGTCCCACAGGTAGCTCGTGTTGAAGGATTCACCCCCTGCTGTCTTATCCGTCCATCTCAGCGTGTCTGCCAATGGATAACCACGTCAAAGGGGTCGTCAAGGACAAGGCGTACTTGGCGAGCTGAGTTCCACTCAGCTATTTCTGAAAATGGAACGACGGTACGAAGGATCGAGGGGAACGGAGGCGTGCAAACGGTCTGGGGAGCATTGGAGCGCCTCAACATGGCCGCTGTGGAAGCTTCACATCATGAAGCGCAGGGAAAGGAGGAGTTGATCATGTTATCCAGCTTTCGCAGACGCTTGTATCGCTGGCTTGCGCGAATTGTAGGGAGGAGCGTCCGGTCGAATATGCAATTGATGCGTTTTAACCAACATTCCCCTCGGTCCGAAATCGATTGGACACCATCAGCCACAAGGCTCTCACTCTCGTACTGCGCCCCAAGGCAGATCCACGGACCCGCCGCACACAGGCAATTGTCCACAGAGGGTCTAGGGCGACTAAAACCAAAAGGGCGCAATGGATCGACGATGGACCGGCCGGCTAACGTGTCCGTGAGGCAGAGGCGTGGTTCGGCGTGGCGGACCAAAGGCAAAATTGCCTCATGTCGAGCATGTTCGGCGATTCTGCGTAGAAAAGGACATGGGTGAGGCAAAGCTGCGCACAGAGCGCTCGAGAGGCCGAACGAGGGCAAAGGACTGGTCAGTTCGCGCCGGTGACCGAGGGGCGGTGGGGCTCGGCGAGCTAGATCAATGGCAAAAATGCCTCACTGGCAGGACGCACACAGGACGCAGATAGCAAGAAAGGGGCCGTAACGGGCGAAACGTTCGGCGAGCAACAGTCGGGGCGATGAAGGCGACTTTATAGAGACACGCACGGCGACGTCAGTCACGTGGAAGGAGCTAGACCCAAAGAGGCACGCTAAACCAAAACTGGTAATTCGCCGTCACCGCAGAGTACCCCGTTAAACTGACGCGCTGCATCACGAATTGATAGGATTTCTTGCTTCTGAATAGCTAATAAGATCCTACCCTCTTGCTCTGTACGGTTTTGAGAGGATTGAGTACGAATTGGTGGCATAGTGGGTGGTTGAAGAAGGAAGGTCTAATTAATCGAGCGATTTACGTTGGGTGGCCCGCTCGGTAGGGAAATACGTTAACGTGATTCCCAAGCGAGCGGGCATCCCAAGCGAGCGGGCACCCCACCTTAAATTTCCATCCCCCGAGCAACCCACTGTTTTCAATCACGCATCATGCCCCCAAAACGAACTCAAAAAGCTCAAAAATTGCTTGAGCAAGAGGGCAAGATCCTACTGGCTATAAAATCTATTCAAAATGGTCAAATTACCACGATTGCTGCAGCAGCACGCTCTTTTGAGGTGCCCCGCTCTACTCTCCAAGCCCGGATCAATGGGAGAACCAATCGGTCTGATACACGGGCTAATGGCTATAAACTCACTAAAATTGAAGAAGAATCAATTAAGAGCTGGCTAATAAGCATGGATCAACGAGGTGCTGCTCTTACGATCAGTATGCTAGCAGATATGGCCAATTTATTGCTAAAAGAGCGCGGAGAGACCCCGGTTCAGAGAGTGGGCAAAAATTGGCCAACAAACTATCTAAATCGGCACTCCGAGCTTACTAGTCGATTCTCTCGCAAATATGACTATAAACGTGCTCTGATGGAGGACCCAAAGGTCATCACGGAGTGGTTTAACCTCTTTCAAAACACTATCATCAAGTATGGAATATTATCAGATGATATCTATAACTTTGATGAGTCAGGGTTTGCGATGGGAATCAGTGCGACGACTAAGATCATTACTCAGTCAGTGTATACTGGTCGGAGAGGTGTTTTACAACCTGGAAATCGTGAATGGGTGACTGTGGTTGAATCAATTGGCGCCTCTGGACACGCGCTTCCACCATACATAATCTTCAAGGGAAAAAACTTCATGTTACGATGGTTTGATGACCTTCCAAAACACTGGGCTATCAATCATAGTCCAAACGGATGGACGAGTGATGAAATAGGTGTTGATTGGCTCCAAAAACACTTCATTCCGCATACAACAAATCAAACCAAAGGAAAATATCGTCTTTTGGTCCTTGATGGGCATAACAGTCATCTCACACCTCAATTTGATCAAATTTGCGCTCAAAACAACATCGTACCTATCTGTATGCCTGCGCATACTTCCCATCTTTTGCAGCCTCTTGATGTTGGTTGTTTTGCTGTTTTGAAGCGATCTTATGGGAGTCGGGTTGCAGGATATACCCGATTAGGCATCAATTCTATTGAAAAAGATGACTTCATTGATATCTTCCCTAAAGCCCGTGGCGATGCATTTAAAAAGACTATTATTCATAGCGCTTTCGCTGCTACTGGTCTTGTGCCATTTGACCCTGATCGGGTGTTGTCTCATCTCAATATTCAGCTTGCATCACCTACGCTCCCGGATCGTCCATTGTCACAGGGGTCAACCTCAGATAGCAATATCTCAACTGGTATCCCTCAGAACTCCAACCAACTAGCAAAACGCAAAGCTAGGATTGATTCGCAATTGAGTGGGGGGTCAAATAAGCTATCTAGCCCTACAAAACGTGAACTTGCGCAATATCACAAAATGACAGTGAAGATGCTGCATACGGTCGTTTTACAGGGTGATGAGATCAAGAGATTACGGGCAGCGAATGCAAAACAAATGAAAAAAAGGGCCAAATCCACAAAGCGGCTATCCTACCAGGGTAGCCTGACAAGTGATACGGTCGCTAAAGTGAGTGGTGGTAGTGGTGATCAGATATATATATCTAATGCACCACCTGGTCCATCACTCCCAGAGGAGCCCCTCTTGCCTGTTTTACCCCCTGTACGTCGTCAAATTACCTGTTCTGGATGTAATCAGAAAGGGCATTCTTTTAATAAATGCTTTAAAGCATAGTTAAGTTAAATATATTCTGTTATGGTTGTTTAAATGGTGTTTAAAAATTGAAATTATTGATGGGGTGCCCGCTCGCTTGGGATGCCCGCTCGCTTGGGAATCACGTTATCCATCATATGGTGACAAAGTACATAACCGATGGCAGCTAGTACGGATCCGGGTGCCAAGTGAGGGGTTTCAGGGTAAAAGTTTTCTAAGCTTTGTGGAGCCTGCCCAAGTATACTTTTATTCACTATTCCCTTTGAGAAACGGCAATGTAGCAAGGAACGTCATGTGCTGCACTTGGCCGAGCTCCACATAAGAGTCGGGTGTGGCATTAGTGGCTGCGACGGGCTCGGAGCGGCGACGCAAGGGAGGGACAGTCTTTGGGGTGGTACTCTGTTTCTTCAGCGACGCGGCTCAAAATTCCAGCACGCCCAAGAAGTTGTCACCCCAGAAAGGGCCCGGTATCTCGAACGGAATCGGGTAACAGCAAACAGATGCCCCTTACAAAGGAAGCAAGAGAGCGGGGAAATCTAGCGTATACTGCACCAAGAGCCGACAAAATGAGAAACATTCCTAGCTGTGGTCAACAAATTGAAAGAAGAAGTCTGGAGGCTCAGAAACGGGGTCTTTGCGCACGCAAGATGCGGGGATCACCGGATCAACCTACAAATCACAACATAACCCAAACTATCTTCAAGTCGGGTTTGTTGCAGTTTCCTACTTTGGAAAGGCCCGAGAGGAGAGCGCAGACCTGTCTACAGCCTCGCTAGCGCTTTTGAAGCATGACACCGTGATTTGTGCCGAAAACTTTGATTGTTACATTGATCTACCGAAAAAGAAATGGAGTTCTCGCTTCACGACAAAATTAAGAGTATCAATTTATCTATTTCATGACGCACTAGACAGGATAGTAGCCTATTACAAAGTTTCTTAGCTGGACTGATTGACAATGTGACCCGTGTCTACATCCTCAAATTATTTGTCGACCCTAACTACCGAGCCACGCATCCCGACAGCCTGTGAATTGAGAAATACACACCTCGTTATCGATTAGCACTCTTCTTGCGACTGTCAAAGGGACGCATGGAGGGTCTCGACTGGTTCGGAAGATTTAACCACCAATAATGTGAGGCGATCTGCGGAGTGGGGCACATTTGATTTCCGCAGGTATTCCGGTACAGAGTCGTTGACCTAATCGCTGATGTCATAGATGATTGCCACCTCATGGCTGTGAGGAATCATATTGTTCGTATCCATCGGAGTCCTTTTCCGCTTACTGATCTTCGCTTGTATATAGAACTATGGCGGTGAAAGTCACCACATGGTTCAGATCTTTTCGAATCACTTCTGGAATACTGTGATGACAACTATCTTTAAGTATGTTGGATCTCCATCGCGTGCCGTATGAGACGCCATCGCTGGCCCAATTCACGCGTAAGGACATCATGGGCTCGAGATTCGAAATCACACAGAGGTTAGCCCCATTACGCTGGCCAACAGATGAATGCTGAACAGCAAGCTAGGTACGACGGGTTGGAACCCGTTGGGATGGGGATATCTGGTCTCGTCTGGTATGCTGTCAACTCCTATCACCTCATATGCAATGTCTGATGAGCCCTTCGACCAAAGCTCAGCAAAAGATCAAATCTTAAATCGAACAGTCGCCGTCAAAAAGCTTTGCGACCCATTTAGGACAGCAGTAGTTGCGAAACACATGTTCCGCGAGATTAAGCTGCTTATCGAGCTTAAACATGAGAATGTTCGTCACCCAACCTGATATTTGGATCGTGGCTTAATCAGTAAAAGATTATCAATATGCAGGACATATTTGTTTCGCCTTCCGAACAGATGTACGAGTTCCTCCCACTCTTGTTCTACATGACCACAGCTAAAGGCGTAAAGCTATCTCGTGACAGAACTCATGGTAACAGATCTCCACACTCTGCTGAAGACCAGAAAGGTCGACGGCCAGTTCACTCAACTTTTCGTTTATCAAATCATGGTGAGGTTCTCAGAACTAATCCAATCAGCCTCAATGCTAAGTTGAAACAAGCGCGGACTCAAATATATCCATTCAGCGGGCATCATACACCGCGATCTTAAACCGAGCAACATCTTGATTAACGAGAACTGTGACCTAAAGATTTGTGACTTCGGCCTAGCACGCACCCAGGACTCCCGTATGACCGGTTATGTCTCGACTCGATACTACAGAGCTCCAGAAATTATGCTTACTTGGAAGCGCTATAACGAGAAAGTCGATATCTGGAGTGCAGGTTGCATTTTCGCCGAGATGATTATAGGACGACCATTGTTTCCAGGAAAAAATCATATTGACCAGTACTGTGTAATCACAGAGCTACTTGGAAGCCCTTCAGAAGACATAATTGCAAATGTGAGCAGTGAAAATGTAAGTGACACCATGTTCGAGTTATGGGCCTGACACTGACAGCTTTAGACGCTGAAATTCATTCATTCTTTACCGAAGCAAGCGAAGAAGCCTCTCAAAAAATTGATTCCTACCAAGAACGAGGATGGTACGTCATGATATGTCCTTTACATTTCAACCCCAATTAATCCTCATCCAGCGGTTTCTTTGCTCGAGGGAATGCTTCAAATCGACGTAGAAAAGCGCTGCTCGGCAGAAGAAACCCTCAAAACACAATATCTCGCACCGTATCATGATCCGCATGACGAACCTACAGCGGCAGAGAAGTTTAATTGGGATTACTGTGAAGCAGGTCTCTCCACTGCTGAGTGGAGAACGGTCATATATTCGGCGATTCTCGCTTTTCACGACAAATCAAGCGAGAACTCGAGTGCAGTGACAAATTCTGTTGATGAAATGGATACAAGTAGCTAGCATTTACTATCCAACTCCTGACGTCGGGAAGCAAGAGACATGGCTTCGGACACACCTTTTAGGCTTATAATCAATTGTTTTCATCCTTAATGACATGGTGAAATGGGGGTGGTAAGATAGCAGTCTGGCATCTCAGATGGGTCGATATTAATGATGAAAGCACACAACCAACCACTCCCGCTCTCAGTCACAAGGTAGGAGTAGCTTATGTAGATGACAACGGTACTCGATCTTCTGTCATATGGGGACGGTGGATGAAGCTTGAATGATCCTCCCCTCTGATCGAGGAAGAGGAGCCATTTCTAAAGAATTTGTGATAATCCAGGCAACAATTATATGTCAGGCATTCCTTGCAAATACTTCTCTGAGATCGGATGTATTGATACTCCAGATATTCGTTATATTCAGAAATGTTATATTAGCACCTGAAATAAGGGGTAATAATAGACTTCTTGACGCCCCCCGGGACCAGTTGGTCAAAATAGCTTATGGTATCACCTGACATTTGATCTCTGGCAATATACTACGGCCTCGTTCAGCCACTACAATAGAAAGATAGACGTATATAACATACACAATCCGTTTCTATTACATTCCCTAAGCTGCCTCTTCAGGACTGTACATCCACCAAGATCTTGCAGTGATGATCACGATGCTCTAGCAAAGCCTGAAAACCTTTTTCTACTATTTCATCGAGGCAGATACGTGCGGTAATCATTGCTTCGGAGTTCAGGTGACCTAGATTGTGTCAGATTATCTCATAGAAGTGATCGAGCACCCCAACCAGGCTCATGGGGATAAGACGTTGCGCAACTTACCCTTGCTCAAGGCTTGAATTGTTTCTAAGAAAGAAACCTCATCGTACAATGCTGCACCCACATACCAGACCTCATTGTACATCAACTGGTTTACGGGGAAGGACGGACGCTTCTCCCACACGGCAATATTGACGATTTTGCCTTGAGTACGACAAGCCGGGATCGCATCTAAGAGTGCCTTCTCCACGCCAGCTGTGTCGAAAATAATATTTGCGCCGACTCCATCTGTTAGGTGACGTGTCTGCTGGGCCAAATTCGTATTCCTTGGATCGATTATATGGGTTGCGCCATAATATAAACAAAGGTCTTTGCGACTATCCATTAGCTCTGCCACGATAATGTTCTTGGCGCCCTGCAGCTTCAGCACTTGCAATAAGCCTAGTCCGATAGTACCACCGCCCACAATAAGTACCGAGTTCCCAGGTTCAAAAAGCGAAATTTTGACTGAGTGCCACGCAACAGCAAGCAGTTCAATAAACGAGGCCGCCTCTAATGAAACATTTTCGGGGATTGGGTAGAAATGGCCCGCTGGCGCCACAATCTTTTTGGACATCCCTCCACCATACCCTTAAAGGACAGAACGCGTGAGCCTGAGGTCAATACAGGCTTAAGCAACAATCAATGGAAACATACCACTTAGCCCTATAAAGCCAATATTTTCGCAACAGTGGTTATAGCTAGACCTCGGCACAACCCATGGGCGGTACTGTGTGGGCGGCCTTTGGGCTCTAGTCTGGGGCCCATGGGCGGGGCCATAAGGGTCGTGGGCGCGCCCAGAGCCCACGATGGGCGGCCCAACAGCCCAAATGTGGGTCAGACAAGAACAGCCCGTGACATTCATAAGTTATGCAAATTTTGGCTGAATTTTTTTGAGTATTTGGATTACAGACTCAGTCCCAAGTAGGGGAGAGGATCATATACTGTATATAGTGCAGTCAGATTAAAGACATTATATTTGAAATTTTACTCCTTATCTAGGGTCATAATACACAAAAAGCTCTTCGTCCCGTCTTGCTCGCTTCGGCATCCTCCCTGATGTACGCCTCTGGGTAATAGGAGGCAACGGAATATCACCGTCATCGTCATCTTCTCCATCACTAGGTCGTTCCTGAACATCCATGTTCCCCTTCTCAGAATCCGACGCACTAGGCACAATACTTCGTCGCCTCTTGCTAAGGGTGCGCTGGCTAAATTTCTCAATAGTGACCTGATACTGGGTAGATGCTGAATCATCTTCCTCATCGTCACTGATAAGAGCAATAGGATCATCTTGAGGGATATCCTTTTCTTCCTCTGCTAGGTCGATCTCTTCATTGCTCCAGAACTCCTTAGCAAGCCCAAGTTGTCCCTCCTCAATATCTAACCTTGTAGTGCACATGTGCATCATAAGGTCCTGGATTGTTGTTGCTTTGAGCGAGCCTCGACGATAGTGACAGATATCCCGAGCAGAGTTAATCAGTCGCTCAACACCAGCACCAGTAGCAGGGATAGAGAGAATATCCCGTGCAACACTTGCTAGTACTGGAAATTCATGTTGATTATCCTTCCAGAATAGAAGAGGCTCAATATTAGTCGGTTCTAGGTTATAATAGGATTAGGTCCTGAGTGTTGTCAAAAGGATATATAGTAGCACCTACCTCTCTGTAAAAACCGTTGAAGCTCATCCTGATAGTTTGATATCGAGTTTGGATTTTCAGACCGTGGTTGTGTTAGGATTTGGTGAAACCTCGATACTCGTGTCTGCGCTCTTGGGGATTGAAGATCAGAAAGACGTTGCTTGTAGGGTTCAAGGTAATTTTTGAGGTGTTGATGATATTTGTCTCGCCATTCATAGTCATTATCTGACCATTCCTGCTGTGTGAAGAATTGTAGCTTGTATTGTGGCGCAAGAATCGTACCCATCGCGTAAAGGTTGCCATGATCCCCACTCGTCTTGCCATAATAATCCTCTAATTTTTCCCTTGCCGCTTGCAGGGCAGTCAACATCGATCGTTTCCAGTGAACCTTTTTCCGCTGAAGCAGACTGATTGAATCGTCAAGGTGTTCAAAAAGGCGGTGGTAGATAGCAAAGACACCATGGACAGTGGCATCCTTAGTCTGGCAGAGAGCAGTTGTAAACTCATAGAAAGGCAGTGTGATGTAAACAAGATAATCAATTTGTTGCCACTCTTCCTTGTCTAACTCGTAGTCCCTGAGATTATACTCCGTGCAGTATTTATCAATCACTGGCTGCAATTTCTTAATACGGCGGAGCATCAGGTAGGTCGAGTTCCAGCGAGTTCTGACATCTTGAATAGGAACCAGCTTGGGTGGTTTAGTCTGAAGACTAAGGAATGCTTCCCGGCGTTGAGGGCTTCCATTGATGTAGATAGCGAGGCCACGGACCTAGTGGAATAGTAAATCAATAGATGTTCTCTTATGAATCAAGATAAAGAGACATAAAATAGAGGTCTTACCCTATTCAGGGTACCGGAAATCTCCTTGCGTCGTCGGTCAGCACGAAGGGCTTCGGTTTGCGCTTCAGGCCATTCCCTTTTATGATCCTTGTTTATTGGATTGGCTTTCATTTCGCCAAGGAGTTTCTTCAGGCTCAGCTGGATAACATGAGCGAGGCATGGAATCCGGATGATAGACAACTGATCATGAAGCTCGAGGGCTGATAAAGACTCTTGTATTTTCTTCAGCAAGGTTTTGTTGTTTGATGCATTGTCTGTTGTGATAGCCAATACTCGACCCTCAATCTTGTGATGTTGAAGCCTTTCGAGAAGAACAGTGCTAAGATTTGCCCCTGAGTGTGTTCCATGCAGTGGCTCAAACCCAAGAAGAATTTCACGATAGTTCCAGCCTTGATCGATGAAGTAGCCAGTGATAGCCATAAATGCTTGTTGAAATGGTGAAGTCCAGCAGTCCAATGCAATAGAAAGCTTCGCAGTTGGAGGAAGCTTTTCAAGGACTATTTGGTTCGTCTGATTCACGGATTCCTGTAGCCGACGTTGAACAGTTCTCGCTGAAGGAAATTCTGGGGTTGATGGTGCTGCCCGAGCTAGGCGGCAAAGCATTTGTAGTTCTGGATTTTCGACAACTTGGAACGGAAGCCGGAGTACAGTGACTGTTCGGATAATCTGCTGCTCCCACTGCTCTTTGGTGAAGTTCTCAGCCTCACTGCGAGTATGAGAGTCCTAAAATCATTAATTTTGAAGTAAGTGGTTAGAAGATAGCACATACCGGTTTCTTGAAAAGCTGACGTAGTTTTGCTTGCTGGCCTTTTTGACTGGAGGCTAATTTACACCTGTTAGTCGTCCAATGCCGGTTAACAGACTTTGTTCCATTCGATCTCCAGTTCGGGTGATCAAGAATGTTTCCGCATCTTTTACACATCACGCTTGGTGTACCCGTGGAAATATGTGCCACCTGATCCAAATTTTCCCAGCTTGTCGAGTGCTTTCTGGTTCCATCCCACTCAAATTTGCGTCTAGGATCGACTTTCGGCGCATTATCTCTCTCAGCTGCCGCCATTGTCTGGAGCCACCACTCCATAAAGTCCACCTTGTTCATGATTGAATAAAGAATGAAGTTCTTTGTTCGTCTGGGGCCAACGTGCTCAAGGCACTGAGGAATCGAAGGTGGTGGTGGTCGAAGGAAGGGTGAACCTGAGACTGAAACGATTGTTTGCTGACTGTTTGGCCGCCCAGTGGCAATGAGATAGGCATCGTCAGACCGAGGAAAGGAGAGATTATCTGTATCACCTTCATATTGGGAAGAGGGGCCAGCGTCAGAGAATTGAGACATGGTGAGATACCTTGAGGGTACAGGAAAATCAGAGGGTAGAGAACTCGCCTTTCTTCTGTAAATAAGTCCAAATCGGAGACTTAGGGGCGCATCAGTTCTAGGAGCAAGCAATTTTGACTCTTAATTAAAAGCGCTGATATAGCCGTTTGACATATAGTTGCTAGTTATATTGATTGGCTATTGTCAACAAAGGACCTCCACTATTCATGGGCGAACCCATGGGCCCGCCCACGAATGCGCTCATTTCCCTCAATTAGAGGTCAGAGAGATGCCCCCGGTCCCAAAGCCCAAGGATTTTCGGCTTTAGACACAATAGTAGGCAATGAATGAACACAACCAATATGGTAGGGGATTAGAATTGTAAATTTGTTTGTAATAAATAGTAAATTCTAGAAGGTTTCACTAGGAATCATTTACAAGATCAGGATTATGCAAATTTTTGGTCATGCATGGGCACTAGGCTATCAAATGCAGCGCAGAAATATATATCTTTTCACAGTTTTTCATGGCTTTAGGACCTCCGCATATTATCTCACCACCAGAGCACTCAGAGCTATGGACCAATGAAATGAATTATGGATAGCTAGTTTGAAAAGTCTGAATTCTTGACCGTTTCGTGAAATTTCACAGGAGTTTGGGTTGCTTTGGGGTGGTCGGTGCTGTTATGACCAGAACAAGTGTAAACAACGAGTATTTTATTTGGCTGAATCAGCACTTTATCCATCCTTTTGGGAAAAATTATGCATTGATGGGCTCTTCGTGGGCGGCCCATGGGCCGTCCCTTACCGCCCATGGGCTTTGGGCTTTGGGCTATGGGCCCTACATAGAGCCCACGGATGGGCTGTGGGCTCTATACCCCCGCCCATGGGCGGGCTCTGCCGAGGCCTAGTTGGTATAGAACTGAATACTGTAAGAATTGAATACTGTAACAACTAATTTGTAGAACTCTTGACGAAATGTTTCGCGATAGCCCCTATTCTCAGAGACGCGTCGCATTTGAAGACGCAAATTGCTTTTTCGACTATATCTCGGACGAATTGACAAGAACGCGCGGGAAACGGCGATATAGGCCGCTGCGATTGGTTGACAACGCACGGACAACTTGCGTGTAATGGCAGGACAGGTCCCTGCTGTCCACCGGACGGTTTACCGTGGGGTGCACGGACGAAATGCGTGGAATGGGTCCCATTCCCGTGCGGCATAGTACAGTAGAAAGGACACGATTGGCTTGGCAATCATACTCTGCGATATGGCTGTTCATGGTCTCGGTAGTATCTGACGAACTGAGAGAGTGGTCAAATACCACTAGGTCCCTTTGGGACAGGCTTATTCATCGTTCACCCAATTCCCCCTAGTATTTGTACGGTATTCCGGGCACATTCGGAAGTATGGTGTTGTAACACGCCGAAGCTTATTTGTATAGACCCCTGAGATCGTTCAACCGATCTTGAACACCTACAATCAATCACCTGATTCTATTGGACATGTTCAGTACCAGCCAGTACATCAATTCCTCATCCTGACAGTATCTCTAATGCCACGCTGCCCATTGCCACTAGGGTAGTGCTTCTACCTCGATCGATTACACTGCAGAAGAATTACTGGGTAGAATCACGATCCTCAGTGTGTTTTCATCCATTCAATAGGGGTATCTTGTATTATTAAAACAAATCACCTTACTCGTTATCAACCAATCAAGTAGCTTTGATTCACCCGTCACAAAGACCCAAAGCATTCTTTCGATACCACGGCCAATAGACCTCTATGCTCCACTTTGCGAGGCGCTGCAATCCCCAGACCGTTTTATACACTCCGTGATGGCTGTTGGTCGACCCGAACTTTTTTTCAAGCCAAAGCACCGTGTTTTGTTCTTCTCTAGTCGTAGCGGCAAAGCTCCATTCATCCCCATTCACAATGACGGCAGGAAGAAAAGTTAAGTCTACAAAGGAACCACCAGTCCGAGCAACAAGATCTTCGAGTAGTCTCCACTGTGCCGCGTGCCAAGTACTTATTTGTAATTCTGCCGCTGCAGGTTGCGCTCCACGTGGCGTTTTGGTCTCAATGCTGACGGTGATGGGTCGCTGCCGAAGAGCATGAAACTCTGTGTGGTTGATGACACCGCATGGCAGCTCTTGACGAAGCCGTTTGCTGACATCACGCGTAGCCTTGTCCGTTCCTATATCCACATACATGCAAAAGTCCACCATTTTCGGCATGAAGCCTGTAGGGAGGTATTCTTGTATGATCTTGGCGGTGGTGCATGGCTCAAACCCGATTGATTGATTCTGCGTTTCTATATTGTCGAGGGCTTGCTCCAACAGTGGACAGTGCACCAGCATATTCCATCCTGACTCATCCTGTTGCGAGTCCTGGCATCTGACGGATTTCTTGACCAACGAGTCGACGCGATCGAGTGATGGCGTTGGTCCGTACTGATCACGATCCGCGGGGGAAGCGAACATGAAAGGCAAACAATGACGAAAGCGGGGATCTTGCTGCAATGCCTCTTGTAGAGTATCCGATATCACGCCAACGCCAATGCTACACATATCGAGTTCGGAGGAAAATTGGGCCAGCGCAGAAGGCATGCCAGGGTCCCCGGATTCCATCCTCTTTGTCTCGAGTCCATTGGGTGCCAATTCCATCGCAACCATTCGTTTCAAGGGCGAGGACCGTCCGGAGGCTTGTGATTCAGACCATGATTCAGAGCGATCCGATCGAGATGGCGACGCTGTTGGGAGGTTGGGTATTCCATCACGAACGCTGTTTGCTCTCGGCGTCCCTTCAAGGTGATGGCCAGCAGGCAGCGCAACCCTTCGCCTTTTTGGTGTCAGATCGGGGTCGGTCGCCATCGAGGCGTATCGTTTGCGTGACTCGGGCGGCGACAAAGGGTGATGATATTTGCCGGTCGGGTTTGGAGGAGGCGTGGTGAGAGATGGCGATGATTCGCCAAGGGGGTTTTCAAGGCCAGAAAGCCATTCAACAACAGATACAAAAGATCTTTCACTCATTATAGATTCGCATGGCGGTGTTTTTAGTGTGCAGGGGTGAAGCTGCGCGATTAGCGTCGTGGTTCATGGGGAATCCACGTCGCCGGGTCAACGAAAGCGGAGTCGGTAAGATTCCAGTGAATCGCGGTCTGAACAGTAACGTGACTAGGCCTCGAGATGGACCCGCAAAGAACCGCGAACCGCCCCGCCCCGCCCCTCAAGGTTGTGGGTAGACCTTGCGGTTCTACAAACATGACAAACATCGACGATCTTGCGATATGCATATTGTACGTAGAAGAGGGCTGTATTATTGGTATCCTTCTTTCAGGCTTACGAGAATTATGTACCTTGTCGGATTGACAGATACTGGTATGTGCTAGTATTGAGGTGTCCCATTGAGATGCATTGATGTTGTTCTATCGGGATCTTGCTGTTGAAGCGTTATCAGATCTCAGGAGTCGTTCCTAGCGTGTTACGACGCTGGTATGCCGAGCGTACCCCGTTTACCATACAGAGACAGAGACAGAATGGGTACTTGATGAATATCCCTGTTCTTAGTGGTAAAATACCACCCCTCAGTTCGACAATATATTACCGATCAAGGGGCCATCAGCCAAACATTCAGTCTATCCAGTCTATTTAATCCAATTTAAGACATGCTTCGAGACCAGTATATGATGACTAATCTGTGGGTAGGCTTAGAGTATCAAATTCAGCAAATTCGCAATGCCGTGGTGAGCTGGGGGGCCCTAGTGTGAGGCCATCATATCGACAATGATAGCGTTGTTTATCTTTGACAAAAGGGACAGTGAAGGAGGGGAGGTTGAAAATATTTTTATGCTGCGATACATAAGCATGCGATTATACAACTTGATTGCTGAGAATCTCACACCCATAACTTCCGAAATGTCGCTGGAGTTTGTCTTGCCATGGATATGACCAGCTGTCTGGTTGATATACATGTAAGGCGGAAGGAAATAGCAATATTCAATAGACAAACCAGAACAGTTGTAAAAAAACAGTCATTTATTTTAATGACTCAGTAGGTTTATGAACGCCAAGACCAGCTTTTTATGCAATCGTGGGCTTTGGGCCCAAAGGTTCGACCCCCGGCCCACTGTGGGTTGGGCTTTGGGCCCAGGGTCCGGGCCCAAAGTTGGGCTTTGCGGAAGCCTAGCCAGGTCTAGTCCTTAGTATAAATATCCTGGAGATATGGTTGGTTTATTTAGTTTAAACATTCCAAAGGATAGACTTAGACGTTCTGTTCCCTACAGAGGATCACCCTCACCGACCCGCAGTGACCCTCAATCCCCAATAAAAAGTGAAGATAAATGATTAAGTAGGGTTACTCGACGATAGATCAACTTTCATCTACGCGTGCCCAGTGTAAACGGAAGCCCCCAGTTATTCGCAACCTTTTGGTGTCAAATAATCCTGTATGTTCTTCCCCTTTTCCTTACGCGGTCTATTTAAATTCTTTTACTCTGATCATCATGTCTGAGCTCTCTGGCATCTACTCATCCTCGAACTTCGAGGGAGTTTCATTAGACTTTGCAATTTATTGTCCCTGATGACACTCTATGCACTACTCCGTTTCTATCTCAAAGTTAACGAACGTTCGACTCAGTACCTAACGACCGCTTCCCTCCACAGCTCGCACCTCTAGTGCCTAACAACATTACGCGTACTAGACCCGACCGTGTCAACGAAATCCTTCTTTATACCGTCGGCATGAGCGCAGAATTTGTCACTTGGTGGCTTCAAACGAACTATGGAAGGGAAAAACGGATCAATTGGTATGGAAGGCATCTTGCGGATTGCTGGGCTAGCTTTGGTGAGAAGTGAAAGAGGCAGATGACTTGAACCCAGTTGCCGTAGATGTGGACCCATATATTGTTGGGGATTCATTTCCTTGAGATTCCTGGTGAGGACAATTTTACTAGCGACTGTAGTTGTGTCATCTAGAATATCAACGAGTAATGTTGTGTCACACGTACTGGCTTCAGGCGAACAGGTTGATTACGTATCGGCGATTTCCCGGTCCATATCTCTAATTCTATTACATTCAATGGCACAGGCTCGTCTAGGGTTTATCGATCCATCCCAGTATACTGGGGCTCAATTGATGCCTCGGGTTCTAAATATTCTGTTGAGGATCATTTGCAGCATTTAGCAAAGTGTCCGAAGTCTGTGCTGTTGATACTTTTAACAGCGCATACTTTTAACCGTAGTTCAAAACCGTACTGTCTCTATGGGGTACACCTACCTCGTCCATAATGCAGAGGGTGATGGATTGACGGAACAGGGATTCAGATTCTGTCACGCCTCCAGACGAGCAGACATCCATCTGTTTGGCTTTTCTGCAGGATCAACGTTCTGGGTCAAGACCGTATGATAAGGAAGTTATGTCTGTACGATTATTTACAGTCATTTACAGTTGTATTGGAATATTGCCAAGAAGGGGGGGTTCGGGAAAGAATATCTGTGAGTAATGGTGAAACTAATATTAAAGAGATAATGAACGTTTACGCCCTCTTGAGGGCAGATGTCTTCGGAACAAAACAGCGGAAGGACGAGGCAGTGGCATCTCCTCAGTGGGAGACGGATGGATACTTTCTCGACCAGGTCCAGTTGCCGCTGAAAAGTTTGACTTTCCTTGTCGCGGTACAGGAGAATCATAGTAATTTTTTCTACCCAGCGAAATCTTTTTTTTCCGTGTTCGCTTCACGCCCCCTGTTCCTGGCTCTTGGCTAGAAATGGGTAACATTCGATGCCCATCGTAGCGTTCCGTTTCGACGTCGAATTCTGATCTAGGAACCCAGCTGGCTGCGCTCACAAGCTTCGTTCCAATTTCCAACGGAGGGTTGCTGTCACGCTTGAGATAGACTACGGCTTCAAGAAGCTGGCCCTTGGGTTTGACAGACATGATGAATCGCGCTTCCACTTTCTTGTGGCTACTTCCGTGGGGAAATAACTCATTGTGTGGAATCCTACCCTCAATGATACCTTTGTAGTCCAAATGCGATTGATTAGACGGAATCGGATATGTGATTGGACAATCCAGTTCGTTCCTTGTGTTCGCTTCGATTCGGTCTTGATCGAAGTGATCACTTGTCGTAAAAACTTTGGAGGAAATGATATTATTCGCAGGCTCCAAGCTCTCCCGATAGACAATTTTGATAAGTTCCACGCGACTCTCTGGTCCTGCGGCTCGACCCTAACACGGTTAGTATTACATATCCACATTTGCGAAAAAAAAAGTAGAAGAGCATCGTACCCGCACGATCACCCAGGCGATCGCTTCTTCCACCCGGTCCCCTCCAAGTGGTCTTCCACGTGGGGAGCGATCCTCCAAGTAAGTCAGGCCCAGGTCTACCCTAGCCACGGTTTCCTCTTTGACTGGGTTTTGGGCATAGTAAAGAGCTCCTCTGGCAACAGTCTCCGCCCTGGAAAGATGCATTAGACATAATCCGCCATCTTTGGTGGCGGGAGTTGGGACCGACTTACGCGATTTCACAGGAACATTCAATCCCAGGTATCAGTCTTCGAGCCTCACTGAAAATCGTCTCGCGAACCCAGATATTTCGGCTCAGACCGCCAGTCATGACGAAGATGGTAGGTGGGAAGCCTTTTTCGGAAGCACTGGTAGCTTGCTTCTGCAATAGTGCTAGGGTATTTTGGACCAGTGGGTGGAAAAATGTTTTCATTTCCGCACTATCGAGGTTCCAGTTAGCGTGTCATGGCCCAGAAATTTGGATTTTAGTGAAAAGCGCCTGCTATCTATTCGTTTCGAGATATACCCACAACGGGTTGTGCAGAGTCTCGAAGACCTTTTGTTCCCAGAACACTCACATGTCTATCGATACGCGCTCGAGTAAGAGGTCGATCTCGACGGGCTTTTCGGCTTCAAATCGTCGTTTTTGTCCATCAATCTCGCGAGAGAGCTTCGCCCACCGCGAGTCGTCCCTCAGGTAGTTATTATCTGGGAACCGTGCCTGCAGCGCATCGCGCACAGCGTCATTGATCATCTGGCTACCGCCGTTGAACCCTAACTCGCGTGTTAGCACGGCGGCTCGTGCAGGATGTGTATGCTGTGGCTCTCACCATCCGTAGGACAGACCAGCTTGATTCGTCCTTCATCGTCAAAGGATAGCGTCGCGGCATCCTGTGACCACCATCAGCCAAACGTAATCAACATTGATAGGAACCCGCGTGTCGCACAGTACTTCCACCGCCACAATCAAGTATCAAGATAGTTTTCAGGCCCGACAAGACGGGGGTGGCTTCGGATCTAACAAAATAGCCCGCTGCTACAGGCTCCGGAACTCCATCTACCTCGTGAAATCCCACATTCTTTGCCGCATCGGCGAGTATCATTCTGAGCCATGCATTGTACTGCACCGGGTATGTTACCCGGCAATGCTTGGGGATTTCGTCGAAATTTCGATCACCGCAGTAGCGGTCGCGTTCCGGTGTTTTGAGAAATTGTCCCTTGAGAGTATCCCAGATGTACGAGAAAATTTTCTCGTACAAGTCCCCTAAGGTCACCGCCAGCCCACGTTGCTCCGTAGCCCCACGTAGAGCCTCCTCAAGCAGCTTTGTGTATGGCTGTTGGCCCATAGCCGCCAATTTGGGGTGTTCAAAAACAACGACCTCAGACCGATACCGAGCATCGTCCCCGTAGTACCAGTTCTGTTGCGAGCATCCAAGAACGGCCTCTAATTCCTCGTTGGTCTTGGCGTTACCGTCGGAAGGGAATTTGAGAACGTAGGAGTCATTACTGTCCGACCATTTCCAGCAAACGACGGTGCTTGTGGTCCCAATATCAACCGCAACCACCAGTTTCGAGGTCCCTCCATGCATGGTGCGCTAGCAATGACGCTGTCCGATGTCGTGCAGGATTCTGGCGACCGCGGTAAAACAAACAAACATCTTCGCAAAGACCGGAAACCCGAGCAATGACTTGCACATTATGTAATCAAGCTAATCTTGATAACGTGATTCCCAAGCGAGCGGGCATCCCAAGCGAGCGGGCACCCCATCAATAATTTCAATTTTTAAACACCATTTAAACAACCATAACAGAATATATTTAACTTAACTATGCTTTAAAGCATTTATTAAAAGAATGCCCTTTCTGATTACATCCAGAACAGGTAATTTGACGACGTACAGGGGGTAAAACAGGCAAGAGGGGCTCCTCTGGGAGTGATGGACCAGGTGGTGCATTAGATATATATATCTGATCACCACTACCACCACTCACTTTAGCGACCGTATCACTTGTCAGGCTACCCTGGTAGGATAGCCGCTTTGTGGATTTGGCCCTTTTTTTCATTTGTTTTGCATTCGCTGCCCGTAATCTCTTGATCTCATCACCCTGTAAAACGACCGTATGCAGCATCTTCACTGTCATTTTGTGATATTGCGCAAGTTCACGTTTTGTAGGGCTAGATAGCTTATTTGACCCCCCACTCAATTGCGAATCAATCCTAGCTTTGCGTTTTGCTAGTTGGTTGGAGTTCTGAGGGATACCAGTTGAGATATTGCTATCTGAGGTTGACCCCTGTGACAATGGACGATCCGGGAGCGTAGGTGATGCAAGCTGAATATTGAGATGAGACAACACCCGATCAGGGTCAAATGGCACAAGACCAGTAGCAGCGAAAGCGCTATGAATAATAGTCTTTTTAAATGCATCGCCACGGGCTTTAGGGAAGATATCAATGAAGTCATCTTTTTCAATAGAATTGATGCCTAATCGGGTATATCCTGCAACCCGACTCCCATAAGATCGCTTCAAAACAGCAAAACAACCAACATCAAGAGGCTGCAAAAGATGGGAAGTATGCGCAGGCATACAGATAGGTACGATGTTGTTTTGAGCGCAAATTTGATCAAATTGAGGTGTGAGATGACTGTTATGCCCATCAAGGACCAAAAGACGATATTTTCCTTTGGTTTGATTTGTTGTATGCGGAATGAAGTGTTTTTGGAGCCAATCAACACCTATTTCATCACTCGTCCATCCGTTTGGACTATGATTGATAGCCCAGTGTTTTGGAAGGTCATCAAACCATCGTAACATGAAGTTTTTTCCCTTGAAGATTATGTATGGTGGAAGCGCGTGTCCAGAGGCGCCAATTGATTCAACCACAGTCACCCATTCACGATTTCCAGGTTGTAAAACACCTCTCCGACCAGTATACACTGACTGAGTAATGATCTTAGTCGTCGCACTGATTCCCATCGCAAACCCTGACTCATCAAAGTTATAGATATCATCTGATAATATTCCATACTTGATGATAGTGTTTTGAAAGAGGTTAAACCACTCCGTGATGACCTTTGGGTCCTCCATCAGAGCACGTTTATAGTCATATTTGCGAGAGAATCGACTAGTAAGCTCGGAGTGCCGATTTAGATAGTTTGTTGGCCAATTTTTGCCCACTCTCTGAACCGGGGTCTCTCCGCGCTCTTTTAGCAATAAATTGGCCATATCTGCTAGCATACTGATCGTAAGAGCAGCACCTCGTTGATCCATGCTTATTAGCCAGCTCTTAATTGATTCTTCTTCAATTTTAGTGAGTTTATAGCCATTAGCCCGTGTATCAGACCGATTGGTTCTCCCATTGATCCGGGCTTGGAGAGTAGAGCGGGGCACCTCAAAAGAGCGTGCTGCTGCAGCAATCGTGGTAATTTGACCATTTTGAATAGATTTTATAGCCAGTAGGATCTTGCCCTCTTGCTCAAGCAATTTTTGAGCTTTTTGAGTTCGTTTTGGGGGCATGATGCGTGATTGAAAACAGTGGGTTGCTCGGGGGATGGAAATTTAAGGTGGGGTGCCCGCTCGCTTGGGATGCCCGCTCGCTTGGGAATCACGTTAACTTGTCAAGAAATGTGGTCGTTACAGTACTAGCTTACTCGAGTTTTAGCAGCACCCATTTTGCTTACTCATTTGCTAGATGGCTACTTCGCCAAGCCATACACCGCTTCATGAGCTTTGGTTAAATAGCGCAGCATCAGCTTGTCCTAGAATTTACACTCATTTTCTATGATAACAGGCCGATCAATGGTCTATTGTAGAACTAGCGTGTACCGTATCTCTTGGAATCGACAGTTGATAGAGAGCCAGTCACTTACCACATCTCAGATGGCCGCAGAAGCTGAATGCAGCCAGACTACGATTATAAATATTCGCAGAAACTTGCAATTTGGAAGTGTCCACGCACCTCCAACTCAAATATCGCGGAAACGGACTGCGACACCGCTAATGATCGAAGCGCTCTGCGACCACCTATCCGAAAAACCCGGCTTATACCTCGATGAGATGGCTTTTTTTCTCTTAGATGAGTTCCAGACCTTAATTACAGCCTCCAGCATCAGGAGAGCCCTGGTTGCCAAAGGCTTGTCTAGAAAGATCACTCAACAACAAGCCATGGAGAGGAATGCGGACCTGCGAGAATGTTATTTGCACAATCTTTCAGAATTTGAATCATATCACCTAGTTTATGTTGGTGAATCTGGATGCGATAAACGAATTGGGTTCAGGCGAACAGGATGGTCCCCACTTGGCGTGGCTCCAATGCAAGTAGCACAGTTCCATCGTGATCAGCGATATCAGATCTTGCCTGCATATGCCCAGGATGGAATCGTTCTGTCGCGTGTCTTCCGCGGTTCAACGGACTCCACTGTGTTCGAGGATTTCATAACCCAGCTTCTTCAGCACTGCGGGAAATGGCCTGAGCCTAAATCTGTTGTGGTCATGGATAATGTATCATTTCATCACTCAGAGCGGATTGCGCAGATGTGTGCGGACGCCGGGGTGAGATTGGTTTATCTCCCGCCTTACTCGCCGGACTTGAACCTAATTGAAGGGTTCTTTGCTGAGCTTAAAAGTTTTATTAAACGCAATTGGACATATTATGAGTTAAATCCCGAACAAGGTTTTGATGCCTTCCTCACATGGTGTATTGATGTGGTTGGTGCAAAGGAAGAAAGCGCCAGAGGCCATTTCCGGCATGCAGGCTTGAAGATCGAAGAAATTCTAGAAATGCCTTAGGCACAGTCTCGCTGTCAGTGCTGCATTCATGAATACGGATTGAGAACCGGAATTATAGTAACTCCGAATGAGCGGATTACTAAGGATGAGCATAGCATAAATAGCAAGAAATAGCAAGTAATAAATGACAGAGATTTCAATGCCCTCATTGGCTGAGCAAGTTACGGAAGACAGCAAGTTCCGACACTCGCTTGCGAGCGACCTCACGCAAAATGTCGACATAATGACCGCTTGTCGTTGGCAATTTGCTCACTTGACCAAGGGTCATCCAGAATATGTCGCGCTGACGCCCTTGCTGACCGCTCAAACTGAAATAACTTTCCAGTCATTAGCACCTGCCTCGCTATGTCGTCTCTGGTAAGGCCCGGTCTTTGCGGCCATGAAAGTGGACTTTTTTTTAGCCATTCGTGCAACTTGGGCCGGTATTTTCTATGGTTCTGCCGTCTCGTGCGATCATCGTATTTCTATCTCGCGCCACATTTCAGGTACAATAAATGAGCCGTCGTCATAATACCGTATGAATCGCGTATAATTGCTTGGTAGTATTACAAACTACTGTACTACCGTCGTGATATGAAGCCGTAGCTCGACAACGGAAAGACCAGATATTGATAGGGTATCATTTGATCATATCAATGATGAAGTCAATTGATTGAAGTTGATACAAGCACTAAATCTGGATTGTGACGTGCAGCTAAACCACTATAGATACCCCAGGCGCGCTTGGAATAATCATCGGTTTTGGACATTTCATATAACCATCGGCAAGCCTTTTTGATGTTGTGCACTATTGCCGCATTCTGAAATGCCCCGAGGTCGATTTGACCCACAAGGCCGACCAGGAGGATGGCAGAACATTGCATAATGTAGTGGACCATGGACCACCATGGGCAATCCCCATATAGCCAGCGGACATCTGCTTTATCGGGAAGAAGGTTGATGACACTTCCTGCTACCTGCATGCACATACTGGCCATAGAATGACAGTGTTTGCTGCATGAGAACGATGCCTTGATCGCACGTCGCAAACACGGCTCAAGGATGATGAGCTTGATCGAGTAGAATTGAAACGCCAAGCTAGTGCGTTGACGAACAAATGGGCAATTCGGCGATGGCTTTTCGAAATGGTAGATGGATGGTAGTTTGGCCAACCAATTATCAGCAGATGCATTGTTTCTCGCGATTGTACCTTCTAACTCATCCCATGAATAAGATGCCGTGCTAGGCGAGTGGATTTCGTCCAAGGCAGCTCTTCCAATGCAAGTCAAGCTTAAACGATACAGAAAGTATAGCGACGTGTTAGGCTTACCACTGTTTGTCACAAAGGCTATGGGTGGATCATCGTCTTCTCGTTCGCTAATAGCTGAGTGAAGCGAAGGTTCTGCATGTTGCTTATTCCCTTCCCCGTCTGGTTTGAACGCTCGTGAGATGAAAGATGCAAGTAGAGCCTTCCGAGTATCGTCGTCTGCAATGAACTGTGAAACACGGTCTTCTTGAAAGTCCTCCTCTCGGTGGGGTGCTGGGAGAAAGGCCGTGCAGTATTCCAGGCTCATGTTGGGTGGGCGTCCAGTCATCGAGCATAGTTGAATGTCAAGCAAATACAATGCCCACCAAAGACGATATCTTGTCTCCTTGGATATGTAAGAAATGCTTTCACTCTCACTACGAAGATGGATTCCCATGGCCACTGCTGATCTCATTGCGACGCCGCACATTCGCCACGCCCTGTTCATCATCAGTCCCGAATTTTCAAAGCGCAGAAGTTGAATACACATACCTATTGATATGGCCTATTGAAAGCATGTATAGTGAAATAAGGGACTCGACCTGCACCTGTTGTAGATTTGGGTGGTCGCGTTCAGCAGAATCCCTCGTGTAGAGCTGCCAAGCCCTTGTGAAGTATAACATGTGTGCGCCAGTGCCAGCTTCCGGTTCCTTTCTCATTAGAGAGCTATGACGTGTTGCGATAGCCAACACTAGATTGAAAACTGCCATCCATGCCCAGCCCGGTCGCTTTCCCGGATTCGCATAAAAAACGCGAAATTGTTTCAAAAAGTACAACTTCCCAACAAATGGAAACGACGCGTGCACAACATGAAAGTAACCATACACCAATTGGTTAGCAGCTTCTTCCGTGGGCCAATCCGGAAAGTCATCCAGATGGGCCAGAGGACTCTGTAAGCCGTCGAGGAAGTAGTTGGCAGACAAGAGCGGCATCTGTTTCGACTTTCTCAATGGATACTCAGGTTTCATGTGTTGGTCCATTTCACATTGGAGACTAGAGAGCCACGCTACCTCTGATGGCCTACCCAAGAGCCCTGCGGCCTGAGTATTTCTGTCACGGTTGAGGTCCTCAATGGTATGATCGGTCGGCTGTATAGGGTTTCTCTGCACTTGCTGGCTATCGGGGGTTGTGCTCGGGGATGTCAAAGGTGCGCCTGGAAACTAATTATCATTAGATACTTGTCAGAAAGTTTCATCTATCCCGTGTTAGCTTACTTCACTAATGACCTTCTCAATTTGTATTGCTGATTGACGGTCAAGACGAGGATGCAGACTACGTAAGAGGTCCTCATACACCCGAACCTGAGACATGAGAACCGCCGATTTTCTGAATATAGTGTCAGCCCATCATACGTAAATTATTTCTGAGACTGGGCTACTGAACCTGGCTTCTTGCTCTCGCTTTCCGTCCGTGTAGATGCAAGTGATGTCGCCTTCGTGGCATCGTTGACATGCGGGCCGATGGCCGCTACATTTGACCTTTTGCTCACGGCAAATGTCGCATGCTCGACTTACTCTCCTATTTGACGTCCAAATCTCGCGATTTGGTCCTCGTGGGATAGCAATTCTCTCAATCGGGGGCTGCGAAGCAAGGCTTTCCGTGGGTGGCTGGCTTGGGCTCTCGGACAACGCGCTGAACACGGTTGACTCGAGGGTGTTTGGACACCTGTCAAGCCATGATTGAACACTGGAAGCAAACGTTTTATTGCTTGTCGTGTCCAAGCCATTGTCGTGAGAGCCAAATGTACCAGTCTCTTCAGATTTCATCAGCGTTCCGTGTCCTTTGCCGAGATAGTTGGCGCCGAATTCCTGGCGAAAGTAGACGGCCGCGAGGCTAGTGGGTATTTGACGAATCAGACAAGAGAATCTATTATGTTTGATTGGCTGGGATGACAAACCGGGCCAATCAAAATCGGAGTGAGCCGGAAAGATTCGAGATACGCCCTACAGTGAGTCCGCGAAATGTTCAGATTTGGCTGTCTCACGTTTTAGACGATACGCTCTCTAAAATTATGTGGCAATGCCATCCTCGGCATTCCCCTTGATTGCCCAATCCGGTGGGTCAGCAGATATGTCAAATTGTCACGTTTATTGCTTTTAAGATTTGGAAAGGATAGTCTGTGCGCAGCAGTCTCGTATATAAAGAAATCCCTCGTAGCCATGTTATACAGTAAAAAGACGATTTAGCAAGTGGTCGGGGTAGAGAGAATCAATCGCTTATCTTTTCTGGGCTCGCGGGCTCGAATATAATTTCGAAAATTCAAATGTGCAACAATAAATAATATTTTGAAAATGGCGGTCAATAACACAATTTAGTATTGCCATATAGTCTATTAAACCCCCTGAAAGCCCAGATCATCCAACCCAAAACCTGCTGTAGCTAGATTATTTGATGATGATGATGATGATGATGAATTCATTTGCCCGATGTAGCTTGCTCTATGTAAATGCTGCTATGCGGGAGTGCTATCGAGCCTGCCGACAGCTAAAAATGGGTATCCAGCCCTGTACATGATAGAGAGAGGCTCATCTTTTGAGCATTTCTCTGACCATATCGAATGTAGAATAAACTAAGACAAAAAGAAAGCGGGCTGCAAGTGTTCAACCACAGCCACTTGGTCCGCATGACCACAGCCACTTGGCCCGCATGACCACAGCCACTTGGCCCGCATGAAAATGAACGTTCCTGGTCCTCACCGCTTTCGTTGGGACCCCTGGTCCACCTCTGACCCCAGCTCTCCCCTTTCTCCACCTCCTCTTCCGCTGTCAGCAGACGCTTGTGTGCACGTTCGATTCAAGGGAGTACAGTGGACCTGGCACCGCACTCCTAGCGGGCAATATTCATCTCCTTCCGTCACACTGTCCATAGGGATCATTGTTTCTCTGCTCCGAGAGCTATTGGATCCAGCCCCTGGAACTGACCCAGGAGATTGGTTCTGATCATGAACTCTGCCACAATTGTGCGCGCCTCGAGGCGCGTCAACAATTCTTCGTGACAAAGCGTGATGCCCTGCTCAGACAGGGCATTGCGCATCTCATCGCGCTCTTCTTGATGCAACGGGCACTCAAGTAGGACGTGTGTCACAGTCTGGTTGCCCAAGTCGCAATCGCATCGTGCGGTCTCGCGCCGATTGATGTGAGCCAGATACGCATTCAGTCCGATGCGCCCGGTCCGCAATTGCATCAGGATGGAGGCAGTTGCTTTGCGTAAACCCGACCAGTATTCCAGTGTTTTCTTGTTCGGTGTCTCGATCAGCCTTCTGGTCGGACGACCGGTCTTCTCTGATGCCCATGCTCTCTCCCACTCGATCCTCGCCTCTTGGCGGAATCGACGCTTTGTCGCTGCCGCGAGGCGAATGTATCGATTGAGAGGGTCTTGTGGATCGTCGGGTTTTTGAGCCGCGTCTTTTGCGTGCTGGTCTACGATCTCGTTGCCCAGCACTCCTTGGTGCGCTGGGATCCACCTGAGTTCGGTTGTGATTCCTTTCTCCGCTAGTCGACGGATGAGGTCCAGGCATCCTACCAGGTATACTTGACCTGAGGGTATGCGAGGTCGGCGGAGCGCTTTTAGCGCAGCCTGGCTGTCGACAAAGATGACCAGTCCATTCTTTGCTTGCGCGACCCAGGGCTCTGTACTGTTCACAACTGACTCCAGTGCCATCTCGATCGCGCGTAGCTCTGCGGCATACACGGTCGTTGTGCTATCGTCGCTCATCTGGCTGTGGGCGACATGGTCTTCGAGGTCGATCCCAAAAGACATTAAGTAGCTTCGACAGGTCTACTTGCATAGACCACTACCCCGGTTTTTCACCCGATAAATGAGGCTTCTGGTCTTTTGAGGTTCACCACACCTCTCACCCTGGGTGTCTCTCAGTTTGCTCCTTAAGCATACATCACGGGCAGGCCAACTAGGACGACACCGCTTCGACCGACCAAGGTCGATCTCAGGTCCCCAGTGCGAGTGGGGTAGTTGACTCCCGGCTTTTTGTACACCGACACGCGCATCCGTCCTCTCGGGCTATACAGACAGTCTCTTGACAGGCCCCGACCCTGCCGCAGTGGCTGCCATTGTACACCACGCCCCGCGAGAGCTTTCACTCTCGTTTCGCGTTACCTGAGGAGGTCTCCCTCCGCCAGGCCGACCGTGTCTTGCAGAAAGTCCTCCATACGCTCCATCCGGCAGTATATGTTGGTCGCTCTCCACTAACCAAGCTTGGTCCCCGATGTCTGGACAGGATCGACGGGTTGCCCGTGGCAAAGCCTTAACGAGTCCCGCCGACTGCCACCAGTCAAATACCAATATTTTTCAGATTGCCCGTGTGTCTCCCAAGAGGATGCCCGTGTCTCGATGGTGCCCGTGTCCCGAAGAGCAGTCGCCCTGAAGCTTGCCCGTGGCTGAGCCTTAACGAGGTCTCCAGCGAGCGATGTCTCCGAGCCTTAACGAGTTCGAGTCTTAACGAGGCCTCTGGGCCTTGAACGAGGTCTGTCCGATATCAGCTTGACTGCCTGTGTCACCGGTTCACTACCACCTCGCCACATCTCGCAGGATGCGATCTCAGACCGTATGCAAGCTCAGGGGTGTCCTGTCTTCTCCTTAGGCGACACCACTTCCACTGGTAATGCAAGACCAGTATCGGGCCCGAGTGCGAGTCGGGTAAGAAGAAGTCGGATGGTTTTCTTATGCCGTTATCCCCTGATTTTGGTGTGGTTGTGCGGTCGTGCCCCGCGCCAACCGCGCCGGGCCGGACCGCACAACCACGGCGAATTCACTTTGGTCTCCCAACGGGGATTAACACCGGACACCACGAGAAGGTATGAATTCATTGTCCCAACAACCTGGCGAGGGCTGCTGCCCAGTGCGAGCTCACTGGGGGCTAGCTAGATTATTTCATAAATAGGGATTGCTTCCTTTGCGTTCTCGACCCAGCGCCGAATGTCTTCTACAAAACGTCGAGCAATGCCCATCTTTATCCCCTTGCCGATGAAAAATCCCGGATCTTGATCCTTGTAGACCTGCTCAAGGTCAAGACCATCCTCGAGCATCACATCTCAAATTTGTCGAAATGCAGCCTTGAGGGGATCATCAGTGACATTTGATACCTGCCACTCACCATATTCTTTGACCGCTTCATCCCTGGGTCCAGGTATCTCGAGCGGGCTTAGAGACGTCAAGTCCGCAGCAGCCTGGGCACCCGAGATGTCTATCCCGGGGGCGGAAGACTGCGACAGCAGGACATTAATATTGATAGGAGGATACGGTACTCCATTTCCAATAAAATGGCCTCCTTTGCGGCTGCTGTTCTCTTGTCGTTGTTGCTCTTCCATATATAATTCTTCGCGTACCGCTTCTGGCACATCGTTATGGCCATCCAAAATCCCACCTTTTTCAACGTATGTAACCAAACGTCTCAGATGATACGTGTTAAGTTGGTAGTGTTTTTTCCCTACTGGATCTGCCCCACCCGAAGGGCATGTCGATAGAGCGCATCGCATCAGACTGTAGACGCTGCGCCAGGTCGACTTTTGTCCAGAAGAATCTTGCTCCGCATCAAGCTGGGCATCTCTTTCTTCGAGCATCCTCTTAGTAACAGAAGATTTCCCTTTTTTTCTCTACTTTCCGACCAGCGGTTGCAGAGGTGTGACGATCGTCTACGAAATTGAAACTGATCTTCAGCGTGAGTTCTTTACCCCGGGATTTATACTTGTTTATCCCTTCAGATTGCCAGTTGTAATGAAAACGTTTGATCAAATCACTTGCTTAACGCCTTCTTATCCTTGACACTGAAATATCATTTCAAACTAGGGAATCGGGCCCATAGAACTGAAACACGACAAGAACGCCCTCCATACGCATAACAAGGAGTTTATGAATAACTTTGAGGCGTCAAAATTGATGCGCTTCCGTCCACGCTCCACGCCATTGTCAAATTTGTGTGCTGCCGGGCCCCATTCGCCCCTTCAACCCACACGCACTGTAAAGGTCAGCACCGCATCCCAAATAGCACTAAGCTGTTGTTTTTGAATCTTTTTGTTAATCCAAATATTAATGGTGACAAGGAGCAAGAAGTATGCGAGATTTCTCGCGGCGGAGGCCGCAAACAAAGCCATATCCGCACAGCGATGTCGAACACACTGTTCATGCTAATGTCGACGAAGTCCGTCTCATTGAAAAAGGACGTCATCCCCGTCCAAGAACACCAAGTTGGTAAAAGTAGCTCGGGACAACATTGAATGCTATAAATAAACTAAGAAGCAACGGTTTCATCATCGTGGTACGAAGAATCAGGTTGATCTCGATCCATGCCGCCGGAAATGTTGTTTGTCCATATTGTTTGGATCTCCAATAGCGGAGTTCCCGTAATTTATCTGTTGTGTTTCACAAGTCAGCATGTGCACAAATGTACTATTTCAACCCATCCCGTCTTTTACCATTTGGGTTGTGTCAACGCTAACTGGACTTTAGTATGCGCAACAACCCGTTACGCGCAGCAGTACGCCGTGTTGTTCATCCCAGAACGAATAGTAATTTTCGATTGATAACCTGGACCTTGAACCCTCTTGCAAGTGGTGGACGGACAATGACCCTTTCAACCATGCAATATCCGAAACGATTACAACCGCGGGGCGAGCAGAACCTTCCAATACTGCTAGGGTTTCAGCGCAGTTGGACGCCGGCTCCCTTGTCTGTTAATGTTGATATGTGGTGCGAGATATATTCATTGGTTGGCCGTTGGCCCTCGCGAAGATATATTCTGTTAAGTTATACGATGTCAAAAGATAGAAGAAGATTGGAGCATGTAAACAGTCTATTCCAGAGAGGTGTTTAAGTCTCAGGTCTCTTTCTCATTGAGAAAGAGACCCTATTTAAATGGGAGGATTTTCCCTGAACTATACTCTTTTTGAGGAAGGATTCATAGAAAATATGACATCTATCAAGGTTGTTAGAAAGTTGTAGACAACAGAATGGCAATATACATACGTTGGTTTGAACGCTTCTCTTTTCACTCTTTGCTCATCGTCCGTTCCCTCAAGTACAATCAATTGAGGGAAGATGAGACAGACATTGCGTTCTTCATCCATGATGAGCGTGCGGCAATTGGAACAGGATACCTTGGTTGGCAGACCATATTCCTGGGATTGATGCGTAGCAGAATAGAAAACCAATCCACCAGAGTCACTGGTAAACAGCATATCATGTTTATGGAAGATAGAAGCCCATTGGAAGGGTGCACCATGGGTGATCTGACATCCACGGCAATGACAAAATTTGGCGTTCAGAGGCTTATCTTGTTTGAGAAGGTAAATGTTCTTTCCACAGAGGCATTCGGCACGCCAAATGGCAGGTCCAAATTCCTCCTCGCTCTGATTGTGGTATAGAGAATGGCGTTTCCATTGTTCGTCTTTGAGGATGTTTTTTGAGGGTCTGTTGGTAAATGCTGGACAGTGAAGAGGGTCCTCTGTCGTTTCAATGCCCATGTCCGCCATTATGGATGTGTATATGAGAGTGGATATGGAGAAGAAAACAGAAATGAGAGCTTTTTGTAGGGAGAAACAAGGACAGTAATGACGTCAGGTCAATGACATCGAAGTAGATTGTCCGCAAGAGAGATTGACATCCCCTGCCTTAATAGTGGCAAATTGGGCCTTGAATTTTCTCAATTATTCTTCGAAGAATTGTCTCGAACCGATCATCTCTTCTTCAAAATGTATTAAATGAAGAAATGAAGCTGGTGATGTCATGTTCAGGTTTTGATGTGGAGAGTATTTCCGTGTAGATGAACCTATCAAAAACACAGTCACAGTAACGTTTAACGTTAACAGTCGACAGTTGACAGCGGCCGAACAAGACGTGACAGGTCTATTCTATGTAGACCTCGAAATGGTGCGGTTCTACGCGGTTCTGTTGCGGTTCGAACCCCATAGAGCCGCGATTGCATAATTTTGCCAAGGTTTTCCTTTTTCGGATGGATAGATTGATGACTCGCCTTAATTTCTTCGCTGCTATCAAACACTGTTTTGGGCGATGCATGGCTGAATGTTGCAATGGAGCAACAATACTCACGAAATTTGATGTAATTTACCATCATATAGAAAATCCAGCGCTGAAAACTGTAGGTTTTCCTAAATAGAATAAGTTCCAGGCTCTTGGTGGTTGATTCTGGTCGGAGTGATCGTACTGTGTGTTGGTGACTACTGTTGTGATATGAGAATGGTGCAGATCAGGAACCAAGCCACCGTCGGAATTAATTCCGAAGTGTCTATACAGACGACCAAGTTGATTTCCAATCAACTTGGCTAATTGTTGTATATATAGGCTCATGTATCCCCCTGAAATAACAAGTCAATTCATACCTCCGAACAACAACAGATCGGATGAAAGGCATTCCTAATTTGTATGAAGCAAGGGCTACAGGCCATGAATTCACACAGCTAGAAGAGGAATCAATTCAGGACTGGTTAATTTTTATGGATCAGAGAGGCGCTGCGCTTACGATCGCTATTTCAATAGATATGGCCAATTTACTACTCCAACACCGCGGAGATCATACCTCCCAGACCGTTGGCAAAAATTGGCCAACACAATACATCAAACGACATCCTGAGCTCACTAATCGATTCTCTCGCAAATATGACTATAAAGACGCTTTAATGGAAGACCCAAATACCATTATTGAGTGGTTTAAGCTTGTCGAAAAAACGATTTCTCAATATGGTATCACTTCAGATGATATCTACAACTTTGACGAATCGGGGTTTGCGATGGGAGTTAGTGCAACAACGAAGGTTATTACACAGTCATTTAACACTGGTCGGAGGGGCGTTCTACAACCTGGCAATCGTGAATGGGTAACTGTTGTCGAATCAATTTGCGCCTCTGGGCGAGCGCTCCCACCATACGTTATCTTCAAGGGGAAACACTTTATGGTACGATGGTTTGACGGCCTACCAAAGCATTGGGCTCTTAACGTTAGTCCAAACGGCTGGACAAGCAATGAAATTGGCGTTGATTGGCTCCAAAAACACTTTATTCCACATACAACAAGTCAGACGAAAGGCAAACATCGTCTTTTTGTCCTCGATGGCCACGATAGTCATCTTACAGCAAAATTTGCCAGGAAAACAATATTATTCCAATCTGCATGCCTCCGCATGCCTCTCATCTTTTACAGCCTCTAGATGTCGGTTGTTTTGCTGTGTTAAAGCGCTCTTACGGAAGGCGGGTTGCGGAATATACCCGATTAGGCATCGATTCTATCGAAAAAGATGACTTTCTTGATATCTTTCCAGCGGCTCGTCAGGACTCATTGAAAGAGTCTATCATTCATAGTGCCTTCGCAGCTACTGATTTGGTGCCATTAGACCCCGATCGGGTGTTATCAAAGCTCAATATTCGCCTTCAATCTCCGCCTCTACCGGATCGACCAGTTTCACAAGGTTCAACATCAGGTAGCAATATCTCTACCGGAATCCCTCGGACGACTAAGCAACTAGAAAAAAGCAAATCTAGGCTCGATTCTGGTCTAAGTTCAGCTACTGATAAGATCTCTTCGCCTACAAAGCGTGATCTTCAACAGTTTTATAATATGTCTGTTAAGCTAGTTCACGAGCATGTCTTGATGCGGAATGAAATCAAGCGTTTACGGGAGGGCAATAGAAAGCAGACGAAAAAGAGGGAGAAATCAAAGGAGCGGATATCTAACATAGGTTGTTTAACAGAGATTTTGGACCTTGTTACCAAAGCTGGTGATGAGGGAGGTGTTAGTACAAGATATAAATCTGAACCTGCACCTACTCCAGAACCCAAGGTTGAACCTACACTTCCTATTTTGCGCCCTGTACGTCGTCAAATTACCTGTTCTGGTTATAACCAGAAAGGGCATTCTTTTAATAAATGCCCTAAAGCATAGATTAATGATATTTATAGTGTTTTGGTTGTTTAAATGGCGTTAAAAAAATGTAAAAAATTTGAAGTTTCGATGGGGTGACGGACCGGCAGGGATGACGGACCGGCCGGGAACCACCTTAGGGAGGCTGATTAGTCACGATTACCAACCAACCTTTGCAGCCAAATCCAAGCAATCAATGATGTTTCAGACGGCTGGTGGACCCACCCATATGGCGTCAAGAGCTTTTCTGCCGCAAAATGTCAGACGTAAAGAGGACGTCAGACGGTTTCCTGTAATTCGCTAACTTGAAATCCATAATTGAAGAACTACTGCCTGTGCGAGGCAAAGATTTCTACTGTACATATTGCGCGAACCAAATTTGTATCCCCCCGATAACTCGGTGGCCATCTAATCTGAAGCCATTCGCATAACTTGTGACTTGTGACTGAAGCCGCTATTTCAGATTGTTCATCGCCATTGCACCTTTTTGTAGGTGTCCGATCCTATGACCGATAAGGTGACCCTTGTAATGGTAGGGGATGAAGATGTTGGAAAATCGGCACTAGCTACTCGGGTAAGTCATGTTTCTCTTCCTCCTGTCACCATCCGCGGCACTAACATCATGCATAGTTTTGCTTGAATCAATTTGCTGAAGGGCTAGAGCCAACGCTAGACGATTCGTATCGCACACGAGTAATGGTTGATAGCCGCCCATGCATCCTCGAAATAATGGACACCGCAGGCCGTGGAAAGCATGCAGCGCTCCTCGAGGAGCATATCCGCGACGGGGAAGCTTTCATCATTGCGTACAGCGTAACCTCTTGGTCGTCATTTTCTCACGTACGAGCGTACTATAACCAAATCAGAAAAGTGAAACACGATATGAGCATCGAAAACACTCTTCAGCAGTCACCCTCCCACCGTCCTTGTCGTTCGCCTATTGTTCTGATCGGTACAAAGGGCGATTTGCAAGCCCAGCGTGAAGTCACTGTGAAGGAAGGTCGGATTCTAGCAAAGTCGCTAGATTGCAGGTATTACGAAACGTCTGCCAAGTATAACGCTGAGGTAGAGGCGACATTTAATGATGTTATCAGATGCTTTCGGGAGCTGAATCTTCCTGGTTCTTTAACCCCAGCGTGCGAGGGATCAAAAGAACCAAAAGAAGTCAGAGGGAGGTTTTGGGGTACAGAGCGACCAAAGTTATACAGCTCCCGTAGGTGCATCGTAATGTAAGCAATACAAAGTGTGATCTATATGTTGGAAGTACAGTGACTGGACATAAGTTCTTGCACCCCTAGCCCCATACCCCCTTGATTATATAATATACTGCCGGTGAAAAACCTCACATGAATTCATACTATGAAATCTAGTACGGTGTATACCACCCCTGGCTCTCAATAATAGCTTCCACCCGGTGCGGCATCGTCTCAGAGAGATGCTCTAGGTGCCGTATCTCTAATTCATCCCATGCCTGCTGCGCAGTAGCTACTAGAATCTCCTTTGTAGTGTCATTATTCCGCATATGTAGAAGATCAGGCCGAAGCTCATAGATTTTAGCTTTTAGCAACGCCCAGAGGTTCTCAATTGGATTCAAACCAGGCGAATAAGGAGGCCATTCCATAGCCTCAATCTGCATCTCAGCTAATGCATTCCGTACGACATACGCGGTATGCGTCGGAGCATTATCATACTGGAAAATGCTATCTTGATTCATGAGTAAGATAGGTAGGATCCGGCGGTATAAATCCTCAATGACTAGGCCCGTAACACCAGTACGCTCAGCCTCAGGGTCCCCGAAGAGCGGGATAAGCCCCGTGCGCCGGGTAGCGCCAGAAAATGCAGCCCAAAACATCTGCTTCACTTGCTTCCCTCGTGAAGGTAATCCTTGACATTGTCCTTCTTTTGGTTGGTCTTTCGGGCGGATGAAAGTCCATTCTCGGCGGACACCAATCCCACGCTCAACAGTACACTCATCAGACCAAAAAACACGGGCCCAATCCTCAAGTGTAAAGTGTCGATAGCGGAAGGCCCAACGAAGATGTTTTAGCGCATGTTCCTCTTTAAGAAAGGGCCGCCAGCTACACCGCCACTTGCGTAAGTTCTCAGTGTTCAAAAGGCGTTGTATAGAGCGGTATTTGACCTTATGATCAACCTCAGCAAGGAGGTCTTCGGCCGTAATCTTCGGGTCTCCATGGATAGCGTTTAAGACACGTCCTTTATCGGCTTCAGTAAGCTTTTTTGGCCTACCAGATCGCGGCTTTGACACGCCATCTCGTCGCTCGCTCTCTTTTTTCACAGTATATCGGATTGTAGAGAGCGGAATATAGGGATAGCGGGTATGAATGCGCTTATACCCCCATCCAATAGCATGGAGCTCGCATATACGCTCACGTATAGCAGGAGTAAGATCCTTAGAGCGAGTTACCATAGTGAGAGAGGGTAGCAGAAAGGGTATAGCATATAAAAAGTAGTAATTTCAAAGAGACAAATCCTGGGTTTTTGACAAAACTGCGCGTATGTTAGCGTGGTTCTATACTACGCGTTTTAGGTAGGCGGTATAAATCTATAGTGGCGGTGAGCTAGGTGGGGCCATAGGGGGATGCAAGAACTTATGTCCACTGACTGTATAAGGGGCGCTTATAAATTTGTGCATATATGGCAATTTTTCGAGTATACGTGTCTCATTACCCGGTGGCCATCTCATGTTCTGCTATCATTCCTTCATTCCGGCAAGTTTGCTTGGAACCCGCAAAGACATCGCGACGATCGAAGCTGGCTAAAATTTCAAGTCTTACGGCTCGGTAGTGCTTTCGGACTTGAGATTGATCAGCTTGGCTCTATGCATAGCCAGCCGTATAATGAATGTCATTTATGACCAATTGAGCTTGATCCCTCTCCAGTCTACCTTATCAAACAACAAACGAACGGAAAAGATAGTGGTTCTGCTCAGTGTCTTTGAAGACCGGCCCATTTACGACTGGTACGGGGTGACGCTCAGCACCCTGGTGTCGATACCCGCGATGAAGGCAGCCTTGATCTATGCAACTTCCGAGTGCATCAGCCAGTGGAAATCGATCCTGTTCTCCCGCGACAAACGCCCGCTGATCGACTTTGAGCGGATGGATTCAGCGAGTCGTGGTTCGCTTGGGGGGTTTAACGTTCTCTGGAAGACACGAAGGTCGTGAGTAGCGGCCCGATCTGTTCCTGTTCGCTTTACAAGACGCTAATCGATAGTGATATAAAGAATATCCGTCCAACTCGGCGCCTTTCTGACCTTGCTCGCCATTGCCTTGGACCCATTCTCGCAACAGCTGGTGCTACTGCGGCAGGGAACGGAATTCGTTAAAGCGCGCGAACACAGCAGTACACCAAGGGCGACGTAGTGTACCCAGAAAGTCCAAACCCAGCTTCAACGGAGACATTAAACGTAGGATAGCGGTCGTATCCCCCATCAAAATTATGTTCAATGTCATTTGGGTGTCTCCATCGGTTGACATCGGGGAAAGCTCCCCGGCAAGTTACATCCACAATTGCCTAATCGGGCGGTACAGCCAACTACTGCATATACAAGCAAGTGCATAATGATGGCCCTCAACCTTTAGCGCAACCAGTAAATTAAAGTGCCTATTAGTCTACTCGAGCCAGAAATATAGGAATTAACTGGTGTCGACTCGTGGGGCGGTTGGCCTTACTCCCTCTTGTGGTAAAGTTATTTGGTCTTGGTTTTTTGTACATTTACAATACACCGTTCTGGGCCCCTTTTATTTGACATTTTGTCGGATTGACAGATACCGGTATGTGCTAGTATTGAGGTGTCCCCTTGAGATGCATTGATTGTTCTATCTGGATCTTACTGTTGAAGCGTTATCAGATCTAGGCCTCCGCAATGGGCCGGGTTGGGCCTAAACTTCAAGCCCACGCCCCAACCCGCAGTTGGCTGTGGGCTAGAAGTCCAGGGACCAACGAGCTGAGCAATGATGAGCTTGACACTCTTACAGAAGTCTCCGGCACCGCCAAGTTAATACTGGATCTTCGGAACGAGTTTGGGCGTCGAAATTACGGGTACTACAATGTCAAAAAAATACTGGGAATTGTCATATTATCACCCGACCCGAGGAAAACAAGACGTACTCCTGCAGGGACTGACGACACTAAATCTCCTTTTCCTAACAAAATTGTTTTTGTCGAATGGCAAGATATATTACCAGATGATCTTCACTTGCTAATCGATGGTCAAAGCAAAAGCTGGGAAATGAGAAGCAAGCTCCTAAGTGCGACGCCAAAAAAAAAAATAGATGAACTGAATGACTGGATTATTGATACCTACACGTCGCAAAACTTACGCAAGGCTGCACAATAAACCCCCCACGCCCGTTCCTCGAATTTTCAGAATGAAGAAGAATCCAATTTCTTTGCCTCAACCTGGGCGAAGAGATCCGAATAATCCAAAAGTGGGCCCTTCAGTGGAGCAGGCAAAACCACCGTAACCAGAAAAAGGTGGAGCCCAGACGGATGCAGGGCAGTTAAAGAGCAAGAAGAGAGGAAGAAGGGATAGCGATGCTACTGAAAGCCCAGCTGAGACATCTAAAAAGTCTAAAAAGCACCAGGAAGCTACAAGTCAAACTATTTCAGAGAGTAAGGATGGAACGTTGGAGGATATAGAGAACGCAAACAAAGAGGAGTATGGAAAAGCAGCAAGCAAGAAGCGAGCAAGAACAAATAGTGACCTTGCTCGTGACCTTGACCGTGCTAAAAAAAAGTAGGACGGACCGTGAAGCTGTCGGCCAAAATGGTTCAGGTTGAGCAGCTTAAAAGCAAAGCATGCTGAGAGGACCCAAAGCAGGAAGGTAGGAGAAATATTTGGGACAAACTGAAAGGTGGTTGGTTATATCTGAAACCTCTACTTTGCGGCCGTTGGTGGTTGTTCTGACCAGAGCAGCCATTACTCGGAGTGTTTCCGTTTAATCCTCATATCCTTAGAAATTGATTGAACAATTCCGGCGTTCGCCTCACATCGAGCCTAACATTTCTTTGCGGCTTGATAATCACACCGTTTGCCAGGTCAAGATCTTATATACATGAGGGATCGCGATGGCAAATTGATGGTGTTGAATTGAGCTATGATTCGGTGGTGTTAATTCAGAACCGCCGATCTTTTCTTATTTCACAACCCCACCATGTCTGTTCATGTAGATACGTACAAAACGTAAGAGAACTGCACATGTCTTGCCTATCAGTGACAGGCTTGACTAGACCGCGGCATGAGGTTTGCGAGGACTGGATTCCAAAAACCTCAACCGCACCTCGCCGAGGTGTGGTTAACCTCATAAAAACCTCACGTAACCTCAATCTTGTATAATTTTGCGACCTTTCCTATTTCGGTTGTATAATCTTGCGTAGTCATCTTTTTTAATTACTGTTTTTTACAGCTGTTCTGGTTTGTCTATCGAATATTGCTGTAGTATCACCTTAATATGTCGGAATCTTTCGAAATCACCTTGTATCTGATTTCAGAAAGCTTCGTATTGAGTTAATTACGGATGAATTTCTAATATCCGAACGTTATGGTTACCAGATCAGAATTTGTCTGTAAATGTGTAGATATATATCTTAACACACCCGAGGGAGTATGGTCGTACGTCTAATTATAAAGACTTACATTATTACATTACACCTCACTTTCTGACTTAACTCAGAAATAGAGGCTAGAGATACTCAGATACACACTTTGATCTTTTGACTTACCTCAGAATACTAGCCATTATCGACTTTTACGGGCTAATAACGTCGACGCCTGTCTGAGCATGTAAAGTCACGTGCTTTGGGTTTTTCAGCTGCAAAACCATCTCCCATAAATGATTTACACGAGGTCTGGTTAGTACGGGTCAGGTTTTGGGATTTAGGCATTACGGGTTTTGGCGCAGTCTATAAGAACCTTTAGTACTACTTTTTGACGTATCTTAGAATTTGAGGCCTTCATTTCGATAAGCGAGGTTTTCCTCGCGGGGTTTGAGGTTTTTTTCCGAGGTTTACGAGGGTTTCGAGGTTAACCTCTCGATAACGGCCAATCATAGTGTACTACAATGTCTAGTATGTGATATATCAACTTTCCCCCTACAGCTACAGGGTCAAACGGACCTCCCAACTCTAAAAAATAGGACGTGGTCAATTGCCCTTCATATTGTAAGTGGTCTATTTTCCTGATTTCAACTTTCTCTCTACCCCTTACTCTTACGCTATGTCCCAGCTATCAAACCCTTTCTCCGCCTCTCTTTTTGAGGGAGAAGGTGGTTTTTCGGACAATCCTTCCTATTTTGTTCCAGACGATACACCATTTTCATCTCCAATTCCTCCTCAAAGCCAGCAAACTCTCGACACTACCCCAGGCCCTAGTTTTCTCCACGGCTCAGCCCCCCAACCTATTATTCCAAATAACCTCACGCGTGTCCACCCTTCTAAGACTGAAACCTGCCTTGTTTATGAGGAGATGTCAGCACACGCCTTTGTCGCATGGTGGTTACAAACCGACTATGGTAGGAAGAAGCGAATTAATTGGGACACAAAGCTGCGATCTTCTTGCTGGGAAGGCTTTATGCAAGTCGCCGATATTCGGACTGGCAAGCCAGCTGTAATGTGTACTCGGTGTAAGGCAGTTCTTCGACACCCAGCTACAAGTCGGTCGGGAACCTCTTCGATGAATCATCATCTTAAGAGCGTTCAATGCCAACGCGCTCGGCCGACTCGAACTGTGAAGGAAATGATAGAAAAATCGGTATGTTTAGTAGCTAATACAATTATAAACTTCTCCTACTAACTTGAGGCTTTATTTCTAGGCTCTGAATTCCCCCGTTGCTAGCTTTGAACCGGAAGTCTGGGAGCAGAAGCTTTTAACACTTCTTGCTGTGTCACGCCTCCCTTTCCGGTTTATTGACCACCCCGAGTTCCATAACGTTATACATTACGCCCGTCTTTCAAAACAACCGCTATCTATCCCGTCTGCTAAAACGATTCGATCTCGACTTAGCGATTTTGTGGTAAGCCAGCAAGACAATATCATAAGGAAACTACCCCCTAGTGCAAAGCTATCATTAGCGCTTGACTGCTGGACGTCTCCCTTCTCGCAGGCTTTTATGGCAGTGACTGGTTACTTTGTGGACGTTGACTGGGAGTACCAAGAAGTGCTACTTGGGTTTGAGCCACTTTCTGGGAAGCATTCGGGAGTGAACCTAGCTGAAGTGCTTCTAAAGCTTCTACAAAAGCATCAGATTGAAGATCGAGTGTTTACAATCACTACCGATAATGCATCCAACAATAGCACTCTGATAACAAGCATTCAGGACTCACTCCAGTTACTCGAGTCTTCCTCTGATTCAACCATTATTCGGATCCCTTGTATGGCTCATGGTATTCAATTATGTCTTGGGGAGCTACTTGGCAAGATGAAAGCAGTCCCAAAGAATAAAAGCCGGGAGACAGAATGGTGTGAGGAGGAGCGGATTCAGCAGTTCCGTGGGAGACAGCAAAGAAATGATATCGCGGATACCCTTCGTAAGGTTGGTTCTCTATCTCTATATAACTTATTGAATTACTAAATATTATGAGGTTCGAAACTTCGCAGTTTGGATAAACGCTAGTCCCCAGCGACTAGAGTCATTCTTAAACCTACAGAGCGAAGAGCCAAAGCTTGTTCCTATTCAAGATGTCAGGACACGTTGGAATTCAACATTCCTAATGCTTCGACGTGCGAAAAGGCTACAGTCAATTTATACACGCTTCTGTTCTCAGTTCTGCTCTCATACCGACCATGTCCAATTCAATCTTAACAATGAGGAATGGCGGCAGATCGACTACCTCCTTTCGGTGACAGAGCCCTTCTTTCGGTATACAAGCTTACTTTGTAAGACTAAGGACGTGAGTATACACCTCGTCTTTAGTATCTACAATAGGCTGTTCAATCATCTTATCAAAATGGGCTCCCAGCTTAAAAATAAGCGGGTGAAATGGAAACGTGTTATGTATGAAGCTCTCGAAGCCGCGCAGATAAAGCTTTCACGGTATTATGCTAATACTGACAATGTCCCCGATGATCTATTTGCAATTGGCACGATTCTTGCGCCGACACAGAAGCTTCAGTTCTTTAGCACGCCAAGCTGGAAGAACGACGAGATAGACTGGCGTTCGCAGTATCGTCGAAGCTTCGAAAAACTATTTCAACGATATAAAGCTCGAACTGATCTCAATACTAGCGACGAAGGTCGGCCGTCTACAACTGGGATATCAGAGCTTGAGCTAGAACTTCAGGCTCCAGTAGGAGACTCGCAATTCTCTCCGGTTACTATTGAGTCTGATGAGCTTACAAAATATCTCGAAGGAGGTAGGTAAATATAGTTTTATATTGAGTAATCAGCTAATTGGATAGGGCTTGTGCGTTCGTCTCCTCGAGTCTTCTGGAAAGAGCATCAGAACGAGTTTCCAATACTTGCAAATATCGCACGAGATATACTCTCGATACCTGCGACTGGAGCAGGTGTTGAGCGGCTGTTTAACTCTGCGAGAGATATATGTCATTATCGTCGTGGCTCTTTAAAGTCGAGAACCATTCAGGAGCTTATGATGTATATGTGTACATCAAGGCTCGATCTTCAAGAAGACTACCGCCTTTTAATGGATGAGTATCTCACGAAAGAGGAGAGGCAGGCAGCGTTAGATGAGAGGAATACGGAGGTAGTGAGGTTCGACCCAATCAGTGACGATGAGGAGGTTGAGGATGAAGATATCAGCACTATAACCCAGCAGACTGAGCCGGAGACACAAGAACAAAGCGCAGTAGCAAAAGGGAAAAGACGAAGGAGCGTTGCTTCTGAGGCTGATGATATAGAGATCTATGACCCTGAGAATGCTGATGACGATGATAACGGAAGTCATCCATTACCCGCAATACAACCTAGGGCATATAGTCAGAGGATTAGGCGGCCATCAAAAATGCTTAAGGGTTTTCAAGTTAGGTTAGAATAGGACATGCTGTGTAGAGTAGTGTTTCAATGGCATTTTTGATAACCCAAACCTTCCACTATGATTGAAATTCTTAATGTATACACTGTATGGAAAATACCTAATATTACAGCAAAATTCTTCATAAATTATGCAGTATGGAAATATTCGTGTTTGTACTGTTTGACAAACCTCTATAACCTAGGGAAGGCAAAATGTAATTTCATTATTTCGAAATTTCTGTAATTTGGCCTCTTGAAATGAAATTTGAAATGGGCCTTGAAATCTTGAAATCGAGCTATTCCGTAAACGGTAGGGTTTATTTTATTTGCTACCAATCAGAACCCTAAATGCGGAGGGCGTGAAATCGACATCAGCTTTTATTTACACCCCGCCGTTGAGCTGGCTGCTCGCAATGCTCTGCAACTCCTTGAGGCCATTCAGATAAACGCTTCTTCCCTTTAGTGTTGCCAACCTCAACTGTTCTATCGGTACTGGTTCTGATCGAGCTCGGGCGTATGGGATGAGCTGAATTTGGCGTAGATATCGTTGGAGGACTCGGGAGAGGCTCCGAATTTGGCTTAAGCAAAGAATTAAGCCTCGAATTCAACGCAGAAACCAGGGCAGGATTCGCAGACCCTGAAGCTGAATTCAATGCAGAATTCAACGCGGAAACTAGCGCAGAAGTCGGTGCAGAATTCGGTGCAGAAGTTGGTTCTGGATCTTGCTCCAAATTTGATTCAGGTTCTGGCTCGGGATTCAAGCCGGGATTTATGTCTAAAGTTGGCACGAGATTCGACCCTACACCAGGCGTAGGATTTGGCGTAGGACTAGATGCGGGATTCGATGAAGTATCCGAAGTCACAGAACCCTCTGATAGATGGTCCTGCACCTGCTTACGTTGCAAAACCCGCTCTATTTCGTCGTCTTCTTCCTCAAGAAGGAACTCTTGGGTGATTTTAGGAGGCTGTTCTGTCCGGAATTGTCGTTTATTGATCTGGATAAAGAGCAACTTCTCAACGCGGTGAGGCTCGAGCCGATTCCGGACTTTTGTGTGCTGAAGGTTCATCTGTGAAAAGGCTCTCTCCGCTGCTGCGGAATTCGCCACAGTATTGCAAAGACGACGGGCAAAAGGAGCAAGAATAGGAGCAAAGTCCGCCTATAAATGGATCTTAATGATAAGTATTTTTTTTTCTCTATAGTTGAAAGCTTCGACTTACAGCTTCAAGCCAAAAGAGAGATGGACAGTTAGCCTTCCAGCAAGAAGCATTATAAAATGCACCTGTCTTCTGCCGAAACGACAGAAATTCGTGCCAAGCAGACGAGCTTTTATCTTCGTTTTGAAGAGGCCGTAGAACACCTTCAATGTGATATCGAGAGCTCTCGTCAACTTTTCCAGGGACTCTAGCAGGGTCAAGATGATAAGCTACCCAGTGAACAGGCTCTAGCTGACGCGTTATACGACTTTGCCAGCCTATGCCATCCAGATATGATAAAAAGTCGTCCTTCAGGGATGCTTGGGAAGCCAGCGTTCGCAGACTTTCATGGAGATATAACCACCGTTGCGTTACCTCCATGATTGACGAGTTCCGAGCTTCGGATTCCTTCTGAGCTATATGCAGAGGCTTAAGTATCTTGATCAACTCCTTTAGCTGCCACCAGAAGGAATGAGAGTTAGCAGTCCGAACGATCTCCCTCCCCCTTGTAGTCGAAGCAGCAGGAGTTGCGAGAGTCCACTCGCAGATGGCTTCTTGGCAATCATGAAGTGATGACAGCATATTATATTGCGTTCCCCATCGTGTAATGACCGACGCAATAAGCGCCTTTCTATGGCCCCACTTCTGAATCTGCTTTGCTTGCATCCTTGCGTACTCAAGTGGTGAGTGGTGGAAGAAGACAACAATTTCAAGGGCAGACCTAAACACCTCTTTCGCCCGTGGAACCTTTGAGGACTTAGGATCAACGATATCCTTCATAATTAGCTGTAGGCCGTGAGAGTCACAGGGAATCATAAAGCAGTGTCTGAGTTCTGGGGTTGCCTCCAGTTTCTCCCAGACTGATTTCATGACATGACATGTGTCTGTCGAAATAGAATTGATCCTCTTCCAGTCAACGACTTTGTCTAGCTGCAGTAGGATGCCTTGGAGCCTGTTTAAGATCCAACTACTAATAGCAGGGGCATCAAGAGTCTTGTCTTCCATGTCATTAAGATGAATAAACCACGACTTCGTCGGCGTTGTTATAGTCATCACAATCACCCGCTGAGATCGGATGTTAGTGGTCTCATCCACCGTCACATTCAGGAACTGGGTTCTTCGCAGCTCCTTAAGCACCTCTTGCTGTAGTCCATGGTATGCTTCATCCAGCAGATCATCGGCGATTCGGTGTCGAGAAGGGATTTGATACGTTGGACTCAACGCATAGATGAGGTCACGCATCTCTTGCTGATCAAAGAGATTGAATGGCCTGGCTCCAGTAAAGCAGACCTGGGCTATTAGCTGATCAATACCCCGGGATGGCTGAGAAATAGAAAAACTTAGCAGTTTCTGTTTCTTCCCCGTGGCGGTCTCAGGATCCATCAGAGCCTGTGCTTTGATGCATTTATTAACGTGCTCACTCTGACGAGTCGTGTTTTTGGCGCGAATTTTAAAGCACCCGAGGCATTTTGCTTGGGGCACCTAGCCATAGTTAGGGGAGTACAGGTTGGATTTAACGAGTCAGTCCTTACCTTTTTATTGCCTTGTATGATTTCAAAGCACCTTTGAAGTTCTAGCTCGGTGTAAGAGACCTTGTCAGAAGAGTTGTCGGCCATTTCCGAGGACATGTAACTACGAAGGGGTGAGAGCATCCCGAACATATTATGGATATATATTTGTGCAGCTGTTGCTAGGAGTTACAGCAAATATTCTAGACAGAGATGAGACGGCAGAACCTTTTATCGCGGGCTCCTATTGGTCAAAAGCTTTCACCGCTAATGATGACTCATCAAGCTGCAGCCCCTTGAAATGTAATTGAAAGGAGGAAAAAAATTGAAATTTCAAGATTTCGTAATGAGTTGGCCAATTTCGTTATTACACCATCACTACTATAACCTCGAGGTTAACCTCGCGAGGTTTGGGGGTAGGGCCGAACCTCGGCGAGGTTTGGGGGTCCAAAACCTCAAACCTCAGATCGAGGTTTGAGGTGAGGTTAACCGTGGACTCCCGAGGTTCGTGCCGCGGTCTAGTCTGAGTTACTCAAATTATAAGAATTCTATATAGACGCGACCGACAAACAAAGGATCCCGCGGCGAGTTGATACATCGCGACTAGATGATTGTACTAAGCCGCTAATTGGATAACAGTGGCTTTCTATGTGGGTCAACCCATTGGAAACCGCAATAAACTATCAATAAACCGCAGGAAACCATCAATAAACCGCAATAAACTATTGATAAACCGCAACAAGCCGCTAGACCTTATAAAAAGCCTTAGATTCTGAGGTACGTCAGAAAGTGAGGCTTATATTAGAAATATATGATCTTGTAGAGAATTGTTAGGACCACTATATAGATATGGCCACTAGCTGACTAGGTTAGTCGAGAGGAGATAGTTTTTCCGCCGGAAAAAAAAAACACGTAAGGTCACGTGCTTAGAGAATTGTATTTGGAGATCCCCTCGCTAGACCTAAATAGGCCAGCGTTTAGTCTACCTCAATATAACATATACTATAATCACACGTATTAGACTAGGCTTCTACCTCGCTTATATATTCTTACCTAGAAGACTACTGCGTGGGCTCACAAGAATATATAGTGAGTGTAGAGAGATGTAAGTTTAACTGGTACGTTAGATATGTATTTTCGCAATAAAACATTAAGGAATATCCAATACCTAAACTTTCAACCATGCATCGTTTATTATACCTAGATATAAAATATTAACTTATTAACTCTACCAATTGATTTATATACAAGTGAATTACCATCTATTTCAGGGCGTAAGTGTAAGAGAAAATGGATCAAATGTGATTGTTGCCAATACAAAGTTAAATGACAGTAATATATTAGTATGAATCAGCAGCTTTATGCATGCCAAGACCTGGATTTTATGCAAAAATGGTTTTCGTTGGGGCCCCATTGGGGAACCGCAGTGGTTTGTGGGTTGGGTGCGGTTTGGGAGGTTTGAAACCGCACCCAACGCGGTTTGGGTTTTGGGGCCAAGGTTTGGCCCCAATTGCGGTTTTTGGCGCAGTCTACCCACGCCATCCAGTAACACCTATCCTGATTAGACCGGGTCGCGCGTCCGCTCACGGCGCGTTGCAGGAGTAGTCGAAGATTATAGGCCCGGGCCTCGGTCGTAGAAAATTGCCTTATAATAGATGGGGTTTTTGGTTTCAGTCTTCCTCTTTCCACCTCTCTTTGGTTTGGTGTTTGGGGCACATAAATCTACTCTTCGATATCTTCACGAGGTATTTCTTTATAATATTTGAAGACAAGACCTCGGATGAGCATCGCGCTCTACTGCTCATGGACGACCCTTCCCTTTCTCCATCCAACGACCACCGGACCCATCGATCCGGTCACTGGCACGAGTACCGCGAGATTATCGAACAACTCTATCGCACCGATCAATTGAAACTACGAGATGTGAAACGTATTATGGAGCAGGAATACAAGTTTTTTGCCTCGTATTGCGCCTTCCTTTTTTTCTCTCTCTCTTCTACGATTGCTACGTCAAGAAGAACTTCGCCTAACTCTCTACATTCGCTTCAGGGAAAAACAGTACAAAGATCGTCTTGCGACCTGGAATGTTCGAAAGAATATCAAAGCGGCTGAATTCGAAATTATGATTCGCAAAAAGCAAAAGCGTGCCGCCCAGGGCAAGCAAACAGCCTTCCGCAGGGCCGGCCATGTTGTTGATGACAAGCGAATTGCCCGCTTTGCTCGTCGCTCTTGTGCCTCATGGATGCGGAATCGAGATCAAGACACAGAACTTCAAAGTCCCGAACCGGGTAGGTTCTTATATTCGATCGTCAGAAAAACCACGTCGAATCTCGTACAACTAGCAACAGAGACCCCTTCCAATATGTCGTGCTATACGCCTGAACCTGAACAAGAAGGAGCTACAACGGCATCGCCGCCAGGTCTGCCTTCTCCAACGAGGGAAGTTCCTCCTTTCCCCCTGAGTTGTGGTATCACCACCTGCTTCCAAACGACGACTGTGATGATATATTCCATCGAAGACTAAGCATATCGATAGGTGCGAGCAATATTGCGACTATGTCCGATCTAGTCATTGATGACGACCAATCCTATCAGATGATTATGCATAATACGAGTCGTCGAACAAACAGTTTTTCATCGGACCACGTCACTCATGCCGGTGATTACTTGGTATCTCATTCGATTCACACGGTGGCTCAGCCTTTGCTCCCTTCACCCGGCTCCCCGGCCCTTTATCCATTCCACGATAATAACCATCCCGGCCAGCACGCAACCGTAGCCTCTGCCTCTGTTGTACCGTTTGTGCCCGTTCAACCGGGTGTTATTGATCCCCCCGGCGAGCTGGTCACCCACTCTGATGACTGGAACCGCCTCGATGCTTTTCAGACTCGACTCAAAGGTCTGCAACACACTCTCAACCAGACAATGTCCAAATGGGACCGGGAACCTGATCCCAATATAGAGTTCACTAATCACGAGGGGCTCGGGATGTGATTTTTGCTCGCTGTGTATATGGATTCGCATCCATATCTTTTCATCTGGAGCGTGAGGTTTTTTTTTTTTTTTTTTCCCTGTGTTTCGATAGGTTCTCTAAGCTTTTGCGTCTTGCTTCTACTTCTCCGCACGCATAAATATATATTCTAGTCACCTTAGCAGTAAAGGAAACATGGCAAATTCTTGGCCCTGCGTTGATATTGGATGAGTATTCACATATAGTCCATGCCACTCTCGCCATACTTCGCAGTTATCCAATGGCATTTCGATGATTTTACGTTGCTATCTCATATGCTTCGGATTCACGAGCGAACAGTGAGAGAGCTAGTCGTCTATCTTGAAGCACATATTGCTTCTAATCCATGTCGAGCACTACCGCAAATAATTCATTCTGTTTGGAAAGATCGGGGCCCATCCTATGTTGGTGATAATGTGGATGATCCTTGGGAAAACCCTAGCACAATTGCTGTTGACGCTAGAGGCCCGTCACGAGAGCCAGAGCCATAATCGTATGTGTGATGGGAAGGGCCATATGTAGGAAGTGAAGGTGAATTTACAAACGGAGAAATGGATAAAGGAATGGGAAGTTTTTCATTTACACCGACCCTGGCCATTTTGCTCTAGGGTCACGTGATGTCTGAAGACTAACCAGCCACAGCAAAAGCAATACCCATCTTCAGCCAGGGCTTTCCAACTCAAACCCTCATTCTCACTCTTTCTCAGACTTAATTACTACCTCCTTATTAGACACAGCCGGCGAAACTTCACCAGGGAACGGTTTCCGCGCCCAAACACGACGCCTAAGACTAATCAGCGACATCACAACCGAAAGAGGTAAAAAACTTACGCGCGCTCATAGATATGATAGCGAGGATTCTTCAGCTCGGCCCTCAACTTAGCAACATAAACAATAACCTCATCTTGAGACCAAGGGTGCGGAGCACCAAACTTCGTAAGCAACCACATAGCCCAGCCCTCCATACCAGACATCCAATGCTGGTAATTGACGGTACCAGCCTCCTTATACTTTTGATCACGTGCCCATGGACCAATGGGCCACTTATACTCCTTTTCATGAACCTCGATGAATCCCGCATTACGGAATGCGTTTTGCATCATGTCGATTGTTTCGAGGGGTCGGCCTGCTCGTTTACCGCATGCCGATAGGGACGGACCCCACGTACGCAGGATATTATCATCCGGTAGGCTACCGTCGTCACATTCGACGTACGGGCTTGCTTCAAGTTGCTCGATCCAGCCGCCTGGGCGGAGGTTGCTATGGACTTCTTAGATACTTGAGGCTTGTGTCAACTTGGCGGCTTACTCGTAGCATTGCTTATAGACGCGGTCCCATTCCATTGGGTCAAAGGATCCGATCATGATGCGCATATGGATAAGGTCTTGCGGTTCGCTCCAGGTCCAGTCTTCTGCGATGTTGTCGACTTCTAAAATGCAGTTTGGTGGCATCCATGTCACTGGCGGTGGAAAGAGGTCGACTCCGCGAACCGTGGCTGATATCTAGTCAATTATTTGATTATGCATGCAAACGGGTCTAACCGGACTCACCCGTCGGAAACATATCGGCAACATCTCTGGAGACAGATTAGTCTGGTTCTTTGCGATAGCTTAAAAGCAAATCTTAAGGTATTTTTTATTCACGTACATGGCCCAGTTACCCTGCCCCGTTCCGAGGTCGAGAATTTGTTTTGGGTTCTCTCCAATGGGTGAATGGAAGAGGGGGTTTTCTCTGTCCGAGTCCATGACAAGGGCGACCAGATGCCTGCAATAGTCAATGCCCGTGACAAACAAGAGACGAGTACGCATACCCAGCTTCGTAAGTCTCGAACTGCTTTTCATCCGATGGAATGCTGATCGAATGTAAGTGGCGTTCGCTCGACCAGGGGATTTGTGCGTACAGATATTCTTTGTGGCTCAAAGTTTGATACCTAAGACAAGATAAGCTATGAACGCGACCGATTACGAAGAGCGCATACCGACGACCATTCTCTTCCAGCCCGCGATAAATTGAGGACCCGATCGACGTGGTTTCCCTGGCATTATGAGAGATGCGACTTGCAATTCTGGGTAATACTTACGACTGCCAGTCATCGCCGTAAACGCTGGTGACATAGACATTGGGATCCTGTTCACATATTAAAAATCAGAGAAATAACGCAACACAACTAGAGGAAAACACACAACAGCGATTTCTCCCTGTTCCTCAATATTGCGTGGCTCCGCCATTGTCGAATTCTTTTCCGTACAAAAGTGATCGAACAAGGGTGGTCACCTAGGGGGATTGAACAGTTATTTGTCCATGCGATCGGCTCGAAGGTGTGTCCGCAATCGTGAGCAATGATGATTGGACGGGATGTGATGGACGGATGATTGCAAGGCCCATCTCAAACGTGAAAAGGGTCAAATGTCGGGTCAACAGCGAAAGAAAGTGAATGGTTAATTAAGTGCAGGTTCCTTAGCCGCGAGGCTAGATTGAGGGCCGTGGGCGGGGATTGGGCGTTCGTCTTTCGTTTGTCTCCACCTTCATTAGAAGGCTCGATTCTGTATTATCTTGTCAATGTTGGCAGACATGAACCCCGCTTTTGTACAGTACTCCCAAAAGTGCAAAAATAACGAACTTGTTGAATTGCTTACGGTACTATGGTTGGTCGGGGAACAAATGATATGTTCCGCAGGTCCCACTTGGCAGCAGCACTGTCAGTAGCTCCGCTCTGTTCCGTCAGATCATCGATAGTTGCAACTAGCAACGTTGCTGTTGCTTTGCGCTTTTATACATGGGTACTGTAACAGGGTTGTTCCCCGTCACATTTCAATTTTCTTCCTCGGCAGCGCACGCATTCCTCATCAGACGGATCTCCTTCCTCAAGAGCACCCACTGAGAAACCAGTTGGAAGCGGAGAATCAGGGACGCGATAGATTCTGGTTAACAGACCATCCTGGACTTCGTATCGTAGCTGCATGTTGTCTTTCCGTAGATGTATGCCTTACCAGGTCGTCCGCGATCACACTTCTTTTCCACTCCTGGTTCCATGTCTGCACTGACCACAAGGAGGTGAATCATCCACGCCATGGGGCCGACATGCTAAGCGTTGAAGAAGGGTGTTGCTATTGTTAAATGGAATCTTCCCATCGCATGCCACTATTTTTGCTGCGCACCGGTAACATTTCTGATCCCGAGGAACCGGCACAAATCCGAGCTTTTCATGTCGTGCCTGTCGCTCAGATGTTCTTTTTTCTTTTTGGGCCGTTGGCATCTTTACGCCGTCCAAAGACCAATTACACATTCTGTTTGCTTTGCGGCACCCCTCACATTGTGAGTCGTTTGGATTAACGAGGAAGCAGTCGCGACTTGTCTGGAAGCACGTCCTGCAAGGTGGGATCTTCCAATCTGCTTCAATCTGTTGGGGTTTTTCGGAAGTTCGGGCGCTTTGTTTCCTTCGACTGTGACCTGCAGCCTTGGTTGTCTTTTCTGCAGATTGAGCGAGGCATCCCATTCTCGGCAGAGTCGCACCTTCTCTTGAAGCCTTCCAACCTCGCAGTATGGGATCTGTCGTTCAACAGTTTTTGTACGAGCCGGGGAAGACCGCCGAAATGGACAAGATAACGGAGAACACGAGGCAGCTTTCGCTGCAACATCTAAAGCAGACGAACTAATGTTTGAACCAACCAATACTGGCCTTCAGATCCGTCCTGAACCGAGGGTTTATCGTTGCTCCCCACAATGCAAGATTAGCAGCTGTTTCACACGTTGTATTTCGCATAATTATTATCTATAAAAAAATGCGGTAGTGAAACAATGACAGAGTGTAGGTGGTCACGCCGATTCTTGGTGGAGCTATATATACCGTGAGGTCAAAATCAGATAATATCTGATGGCAGATTCCATGCTCCCAGGCACGCTATTGATTGCTCCCAGAAGTTACCCCGACGAAACAAATCGACTGGTTGTGGGATAACGGGTAGCTTATGTCATACATGACTAAAGTTCAACTCAGATCTAGCCACACTGTCAACAAAATCAATGACAAGTTCTGTTTGAAGTGATTTGAAGGAAGAGAATGGGGAATGTCGCCCCCCACTACGTCTACAAGATTGTTCCATCTACTTGTCCTGTTGGTGAACCACTTCCCCAGCGGCTTCCGCTCAGCCATATCGATCAATCTTCAGGAGTCATTCACCTCTTAACTGCGCCGCAAGTATCAAGTCAACCGTACATTTCTGGCCTCTAGAGCCTTTTTTTTATTTTTATTTTTCCCAAAATAACCGGCAAGGTACTAAGAGGGACAGGAAGGGATTAGAGGCCTAGGGAATATGGCAGAAGAGTCGGCATGCCACGGCTTTGTCCAAGTGGACAGCTTTCTTGGTGGGCAGGTTGAATAACTCCTACATTCGACTTGGGGGGTGTCTGGGTATAGACCTCTTCAAGTCCCGTGGGACTAGACTTGACCTAGTCCCAAATCCCAGTGCACCCCACTCCCATGGGAGTACCTAGCATTTCCAGTCCCTCCCATGGGAGTGGGGTATGCTCCCATGGGGATTCCCCAATTTCCCGCCGAGACCTAGATTTTGCATAAATAACCAAAAAGGTATGGATAAAATCGCTGACAACTCATTCAAAATTACTGTTATTTAAACCTGTTCTAGCTATCTGAGGGTTCACACTGTTCATCTTGATCCCGTATGAAATTATTTGACACTACCTTGGACTTACATAGTTTCTCCCTGCTAGAGATATGAAATTCGGTTTTTGATGTTTCAAACATATCCTTGGCTTTTCAAAGTAAATTCGCGAATCGTGCTATGTGTTCCCATAAAAATATATATATTCACTAGAGGATAGTTGGTCTATGTCTTTAACAACCATGAAGTGTGGAACATTCATTTTTATGCCTCTAAATTTACTTTTATTCTTTAGTAGATGCTATTAATTGTTGGGTATCTTTAATCTCACACTTAGTTTTGTCCAGGGCTTGGGTCAAGCCCTCTAGAAAACTCATGGTGGACGAAAACTTCATACGAAATCAGCTGGGGAAGGCGGCTGACCCCCAAATCCACAGGATGGGGATTTTCTATGGGACTGGTGGGGAATGAAGTGTGGTTAGTGGGGATTGCAGTAGGAGCTAATGGGCATTGTAGTGGGAGTAATGGGAATTCCCCATGGGACTAAGGGGCTGCGTCCAATCAGCGACATATCTTTGGAGCCTAGCTTTGTGATACATCAAGCATGAGAAAATAGTCATTTTGCTTAATAGGCCTAATGTGGCCTAGATACCATCATGCCTCGCGAGAAATCAAAGTAAGTCTTCGCTATCTCCCCCAGGGATCGGTATCATGGATCAATGTAGCCAGTCTTCTGATGCTGGCCCTTCAAACCGCTACGAAGAACATCTCGATAGCCTTCCTTACCTTTCATCTGACCCTATACAGTCATTCACTCCCGATCTCAACTACAGACATCAAACGAACACACCAGCTCCGCTGTTTGAAGTCCCCCAGCCGATTTCAGATCCTGAGTCTCTCCGACGGGTTGGCCCCGATCGGAAAAAGATTTATGTGCTTTACAACGATATGTCAAAGGAGCAATTCATTGCTTGGTGGCTTCAGACACAATATGCGACCGTGGAGGGCAATGGCAAGAGAATCAATTGGAAGTCGAAACATTCTTCGGAAGTTTGGGATAATTTCGACCAGGTGGCTCATCAGCTTACTGGAGAAGCAAAAGTCATGTGTCGAAGATGTGGCAAAGTCCTTCCCCATCCGCAGGAGAAGGGGGATGGAACAAACTCCATGAAACGTCATCTCGGGTCAAATTCATGTCGTAGAGTCACAAGTGATCAGTCTCAGCAGCAAGGTATCCAACAATCGTTTGAGTTTGCAGTATGAGTTCTATGAGGAATCCTTCCAAGTCTCGACGGCTAAAATATTACCTCTAGTCTCAGCTCAGTCCTCAGCAGCCTAAGAGGGTGTTCACTCAGGAACAATGGGCACGTAAGCAAGTGATCTTGCTTGCTAAATCTTCGCTTCCGTTCCAGTTTCTGGCCCATAAGGACTTTGCAGAACTCATTGAGTTGGCGCAGTTAGCCCCGTCAACGCCGCAATTACTCAACCCAGTGACTGCGCGTCGCCGCCTCCAGTCGATGGTTAAAGAGGGCCAGGAAAGAGTCCTCCTGGACCTTCCACCAACTGCAAAGCTCTCGATTGCCCTCGACTGTTGGACATCCCCGTTTCAGCAAGCCTTTATGGCCATCACTGGCTATTTTATCGACAAAGACTGGAAGTATCGCGAGACTCTGCTTGGCTTTGAGCCGCTCCATGGTGCCCATTCTGGTGTAAATTTAAGCACCATTCTGATGGAATTACTTCAAAAGTACGATATTGTCAATCGCGTCCTAGCGATTACAACAGATAACGCATCGAACAACAATACCTTGATCGAAAATATCCAGGAGTCTATCCAGTCACTCAGGCTACCTAATCAGGCACTTATTGTCCGGATACCATGCTTAGCTCATGTCATTCAGCTTAGTCTTCGGGATCTTCGTGGTCGGATCAAAGCCAACCCAAAAAATGATAACCCAGGCAGGGTCTGGTCGGATTCTCAAAAACAGTCCCTTCGCAGCAGTCGGGGTGAACAGGATATTAACTATACCCTTTCAAAGGTAACCCCTCCCCCTACATACTTATATACATATTGCTAATCAATCAGCCAGATTCGTGGATTTGCTGTATTCGTCAATGCTAGCCCTCAGCGAAGGGAGGCCTTTCTCAGTCTTCAGCCAGATGATCCAAAGCTTGTTCCTCTTCAAGATGTTAGGACTCGTTGGAATTCAACATTCCTTATGCTTCGACGCGCAAAGCGCCTTTCTACGACGTTTGACAAATACTGCGAGCTACATACGCAATCTCAATTCAAGCTCAACGTAGAGGAATGGCGACAAGTTGATTATCTTCTCTGCATCACACATCCCTTCTATACATTCACGACTCGTCTCTCTCAAACGAAGGAGGTCACTGTTCATAATGTCTTTCGGGTCTACTACCAGCTTTTTGATCACCTCGAGGGGTCAATGCGACGACTCTGGAAGAAGAAAGTTCCTTGGAAACAAGCAATGCTTCATGCCCTTGAAGCAGGAAGGGAGAAGCTAAAGCTCTACTATAGGAAGACTGCGGAAGTGCATGGAAATCTCTATGCAATCGGTACTATTCTTGCTCCACAGCATAAGCTACAGTTCTTCTCCAGAGGAGAATATGGCGATGACGCTGAGTCTCGTCAGACATACAAGGAATGCCTTCAAAAGTTCATGGAACCCTACCAAAAGCCTACTTCCGATGCACAGCGGCCGCACCAACACCCCCCACAAACGAATAGAGATGATATGGAAGATCTTTTTGATGAGGATATGCTTGATGTCTCCTCTCGAGAGAATACAAATACCAATGATGAATTGACTGAGTATCTTGGGACAAGTAAGCGTCACGAAACCCTTTCTTTCAACCTGTCTTTACTTATCATGCGATGTAGGCCAAAAGAAAATCGCTCCACTAACCTTCTGGAAAGAGCACGAGCGTGAATTTCCAACACTCGCAAGGGTTGCACGGGATATTTTCTCTATTCCTGCAACTGGTGCAGGCGTCGAGCGTGTATTCAACTCGGCTCGAGATGTCTGTCATTATCGCCGGGGATCACTGAATGCCGCAACAATCCAAGATATTATGATATTCCGATGCTTCGACAAGCAGGATAAAGAAGACGATACTTTAGAAGACGTAGCTCTCACCTCTGAAGAACGGCAAGAGGCAGACGAGCGTCAAGAAGCTGACCTTCCTCAACAAATTCCTGATCCGATTAGTGATGACGAAGAGGATGAATCACTATCGTTTCCGGATGAGCCTTCTGTTGAGTTACAGACACGACCCTTAACTCAACGGGCACTGGGAAAGAGACGACAGTGTACTCCCGAGCAGGGCCAGGAGGGTGGTGATGAGGCGGAATTTGATGACGATGCTCAGCCTCTGCCTAGAAGTAGTACTCAGACACGAGTATCTAGTAGGCAGAAGCGTCCAAGACGAGAGGATGAGGACTTTACGTATTATATGTGAATGTTGGACGAAGAATTAACCCAGATTATTATGTTATTGTACTATTTGCTTGGACCCCGTTCATTCAGTTATAGCCCGTAGGCTGTAAGCCTAATACTGAAAGAAACAGTCAAAGCTGTATAAGTTATGCAAGGCACAGGTGAGACGATTTTGCTGACACTTTAGTCCCATGGGGATTTCCTTTAGTCCCATGGGAGTCCGACAGGGTCTTGGTCCCGCCCATGGGACCGAGGTTTGGTCCCATTGCACTCCCATTTAGTCCCATGGGACTGGTCCCTTGGGACCAGTCCCGTGGGAGTTGAAGAGGTCTATCTGGGTATTAGGAAGTGCGCGTGATTTAGAGTGGAGACTGTTGCCTGGCCAATAATATTCAATAAACACCTTACTTCTTTCACTGTGTCTAACAAGACAATAAATGAATCCGTTTATTTATTCTTTTCGACCGTAGGCAACCATGTATTTCCCGGCTGCAAAATTTGCTTGCTTGTTGAACTTCTAGCTTTCTATGGGTCTGGTACCACATATTTCTGTTCTTATTTACTGGACAGTATTGCTCATATCGTAGAAAAGCAACGTTGAAAATATACATTCGGTCAACATCCAAATGACCGTTGCATTTTGTCCTTCATCAACATCATTTCTCCTCAAACGGAGTCTTTACACTATAATTTTGCCCAGTTAATCGTTTCTTCTTCTCTTGCCCGCACTTATTGGCCGCATTTCATTTGTAAAAGCAGCTCCACGTACATTGACATCAAATCAGAAACCCGAAAGCCTGCGTGACATACTGCGTGCGGTGCTGCAAAATTTCAAGGCCATTTGCCTTATGGAAGGCAGACCATCGTACGCACTACAAACATGCCTAGTCCTGACTTTCTCCTGAGTGCATTAGTTATGTGGTTTGTCATTATTCTTGGGGTACAGTAGCTTGGGGAATCCGAAGTCAACTATAGTTGTTCTTGGTGTTTATTATTTATCTCAAGATACTGTCCATCTCTACGAGAGGCCCACAGTTGACTCTTTTTTTCCTAAGACCTTTTGCAATATTAGTGATAGACACTGTCAAAATGCGTGGCCGAGGGTCCAATTATGTACTTGAAGCTTGGGTGCGTGGACGCTGTCCGAAAGCTACACATTTCTTTTCTTTTCAGAGGCTAATGCCGAAGCTGGAGACTTCTGAGAATGGGTATTGGTTTCCTTGGGAGCATGCGTTCGGTTCCCAGAGGGCATGTAAATGGTTTCTAGGAACGCTCGTGGGTGTTCCCAGGAGACAATGGGATCCTGGAAAGAGCACAATAGTCTCCTGGGGCCACTATCTGTCGTCCTGGAACAATGCAGTAACATCCTGGGAATATATAGTGGCACCCTGGGGCTGGTGGACTTCTAAATAACTATGCTGAGACCATATATGCTCTGAGTTTGGGAGATAAGATCATAACAGAGCGCTCTTACATACCATTCTGTGTTGACACCCTACTGCAATCTCAAATTGCCTCTCGTTTCGCTATGTTGATGTGGGCTAGCTGGAAACACAACTGTAGTTTTTCTTATGGTACATGTGCTGGACTTACGGTGCTCATACTCACATTTTTTCTTCGTCTCTATTCTTCAAGCTACCTGTCATGGTGTATCTAGTACCTTATAGGGCTATCCATAGAAAGTGCCGTTATCAAGAGCCCAATTGGTTCGCCCAATTAGCGTCTATCAACAGCTCCGAGGTATGTACCCTAAATACGCTTTAGACTGAAATTTAAAATACATCAATTGGGGTCTACGCGCACGAGGAACATTGATTGAAAGCACATGTGCATTCTCAGATCGTTTTGCGCTGATCATCAGTTCCTAGTTTTCTAGTCCATAAACCAAAAATGACCAATCATTGACCTCCTAGAGGTGCCCCTTCCCACGAAACCGATGTGGCTCCTTCGGCACAGCCATCCCAGTCTTTGAGGACGCCAACGATCCCTTCTCGGACTTTGCCAAGGGCCTCTTCAAAAAGGGTCAAGCGCGCGATCTGGTTGTTCTGCTGCTGTTTTAAGTTCTCTCTTTCCCGAAACAGCTGGGTGTTGGTGATACGCAGCTCGTTGTTATCCGCTGCAAGACTTTGGCCGGCATGGTGCTTGGAAATGCACGACTCCCACAGGCGCCGATAGAGCCCCACAAGACGGGCAGCTTGGATAGCCAGCTTTGGGTCTTCTTGCTCCATTCGTTCTAGGATTTCAATGGCAGGCTGGAAAGCCTCTGTTGCCAGGGCGCGCTTCTCGCCTTCCGACGCGGAGGATATGAATGGCTATAGGATTCAGTGGGTTTCTCCGTAATTATATGCCGCAACTCACAAGATGACCGGCTTCACACTGCGAGTTTGCTGTTGTTCCATTTTCAATCGTACTTGGCTGTACAATGTTAGAGGCTTGTATCTCGTTTGTCTCTGGGGACTTGTCAGAGGTGTCCATGATCGATGCTTGAATGCGAGACTTGAATCTACACCTCGAAGGACGACGGCCTCTTTATAGGCTCACATCGTCGTACAAAATTAATTTATGGATCAGTCCTTGAAGCAGTGATACTTTTCAATTCCGTTGATTGTGCATCGTACCTCGCTTTTGTTGCCAGACTTCGGTCGTGATACGGGCACACCACTCCGTTTATGTAAACCGTAGAAGGCGCCCAGGTCATCGGATATGCGTATCTGATAATGTGTTCATTCCATACCAACGAGGGTTCGAACTTTGTTTAGTTAGCCATCATTAAAAGGCAATTCTGGGTACGTGTACCACCCTCATTCTGTGAACCACCCCGACTTACCTTGAGTATTCCGGTTCCGAAAAGAAAAACGAATCCATTCACTGCCCTCAATTTTGATCTCAACAGGATAGGCTGGAAGTGGGCTAACCTGGTCGCCAAGCTTGACTGTTACGGGGCTGCAAGAAGGAGATTATACCAATTCCCAGTTTTGCTCCCCAACCTAGCAGAGAGGATGAAGAGCTATTTTCTTCTTATAACACCATCCCCTCGGTTTATCGACTCGATACTCTGACCGAGAACGATGCAGTGAGCATCAAACCGTAATTTATTGAGGACATTCCCCCAACTGTCGAGTCGGAGAAAGGTATTTGGTCGCTTATATTGTAGATATAAGGCTATCTGAAAGATCCAGAAGCCCTGCATACTAGCGTTCTTTACCTCTTGCACTCAATCATAATGGCCCACGCCGCACGCAAAAGGATGCACCAGAGCGCTGACGATGTTTCAGAGGCAACACCTTTGCTAGAAAGGTCGGCGAGAAAGACGGAGGAGGGTCGTAATCAGCGTTCTGAAGGCAGAACGAGCACCAGACGACTCCGGACTCAGCCATCATTGGAGAAGAAAACCACTCTCCGACTACGACTCCGACAGGAGTACTTTGATCCTGGGCCCGTAGAGCCTTGGTGGACGTCTCTTTCAACGCCCAATCCAGATGGCGAGGGGCGAGGACACAAGCAGCTAAAGGAGAACGCCGACAGAGAACAAGCTCGACTCGGCTGGATGCAGCGACTGCGCCCTAAACCTCATCGACGACTCTCTTAGACAGAACGGTTGAATATGGAGACTATATTTCTTGATATGGTGAATTGAGTAAGAAGGATGCTATGTATGGAGCCAAAGTGTCTACTATGAGCTATAGTGTACTGAGGCGGACCAGATCTGCCTGAAAATGAGATATGCAAGTCCGATGATGTTTCTATTTCGCATCCACTTTTTCAGATTCTGCAAATATCCGTAGAGCCTGAAAACTTGACGTCGTAGAAGCCAAGAATGACTGACAGTCGGTTATGTTCAGATGGTGGTGTAGAGCGGGAAGTCTGCTACAAAGGAAGTCAACAGTCTATCCTGGCTCCTTGTTGGGACATTCGTCCGTTCAATGCACAAATAGCTAAGCTGCCAGCGAATTGCCGATCCGAGCTCGATTTTGGTCGCTAAGGGTGGTTGGGGGATCGTTGGAGGGGTCATCTGCGGCTATCCTATCGCTTTCTATTGTGGACGATTCATGACGTATGCTGTTAGTAGATGCTCCGAGTTCGTCAAGCGATATGGGGAAGAAAATAACCGGATCTGCTTTGACTAAGAACGAGCTGCATGTGAATAGTTGTGCAATGTTTCGACTGTGCGGTCAGGCCTTTGATGGCCCTCTGCTTCATATAGGCAGACCAACAGCCAAATCCTATCTCGTACATGTAGCCGACACGATTTGGCCGTGTCCAGCTCTCTAAACAATCTTTGCTTGGGTTGGTGGTCATGGGATCACTGGTCGTTGGTCCACCACCACCGAGTGGTTGAACCATCGTTCATGTTCAATCTGGAGGCCATTGGCCAGTAGTATGTAGTCAGAGCCGTAGTGCCAAGGGCTGCTCTCTTTGGGGATCACCGTTGAAATCCGTTCATCCCCACTAATCCGTCAATCCGTCAATCCGTTAATCCGTTTGAAGTCTAACCGTTCGGTGGACTTCGACAGATGATGCTCAACGAACCGTCGACCGGTCTTCACGGATATTGCGTCTCTAAGACAACTTCTGTCCAGAGGAAATAGTCAGTCATTAAAAACGTAGCTGATTAGTCTCGTATATTCACCCGCATTAAAAGAAAAAGAAATGGCTTTCAAAAGCAACGAAACGCGCGCCGCGATGAGAAAGCAATGTCGAGAGGCGCTATCTGCACATATCCGTACCTTTTTCCCGTCTCAGGCATCCTATGGAGAGGAACTGACGAATTTCAGATAATCGACTTGGCCTTGATGTTGCACCCAGCGAAGTTCGCCACCAGCCACCAGTCGAGGACGGATACGCCTGGTCAGTGACGGAATTCAAGAAATCATTATTGCAGTCGAGCCTAAGCAATGGGACCGTCGGTCTATTTCGAGCTATATGTGAAGAATTGGGCCGGTCGCTCGAAGCAGTTACACCGCAGACCTTGCACGATTCTGACTCGGGGCGGGACGATGATCCAGGGGAAGATGTGAGATATCCTCTACCTGCCAGATTTCCCGGCACTAAACAAAGAAATAGGAAGATGTAAGCGCGCATGAGGAAGAAGACGGGTCATTTACAGCAAAAATCCGCCAACTGGAAGGCGCGAACCGCGAGCTGGGGGTTGAGCTCGATCGTACTCGGGCCCGGCTAGACGACGCGCACAGCAAAAGCGATCGGTTTCAGAAAAAGTCTCGTCGGCTTCGGACTGAGCTTGAAGCCAGCTCACTCCGAACCAGTCGGCTAGAGACTGAATTGACGCGTGTCAGAGAGGGAGTCACCGAGGCGATGAAGGCTTTACAAAGCCATGGGAACCAGAACAGTAGCTCGCCGGCGGGAGAACGCGATCGGAATTGATGTCAGGGAATATCTCGCGAAGTGGCACCGTAAACCTTGAGGAGAGGTTCTGGTGGACTGACTTGCTGACACATTGTTTGTTTCTTATGTACTGTAAGCACATCAGATGCGAGCATCCGTAGGAATTCCCACTTATCTTATCGAGTCTACTTATCTTATCGTAACCTCGACAAGCAGGAGTGGGTGGATCCCAAGTTGAACCCCCATAATAGGAATCTCATATTTTTCATAGTGAAAACGCGGCTGTACCCCAACCACCACGCGTTTTCACGCGTCGATAAGCTATCACTGATGATATATAAACCTCCTGAGAAGGATCAGCCGCGGATGAGCTGTTCTAGCAACGACAAGTGTGCGTTTTGGGTTTAGACAGAAAAGTAAAAGGAGACGATCATAGAGATATATATATACTTGGGATTAAGAGAAGAGTTTCGCCCAATAACGCCAAGCCGTGGGGAGTGACCTGATCAATACCTCGCAACCCCAAAAAACCAAGCAGAAAGAAACTTTGCAGGGAAGTTACTCCAGTGACCAAGTTGAGCGACATCAGAAAGTATATCAGAGGTCTCTACGCAGACAATCCTAATGCGGCTAGATTTTCACGGCAAAGACACCACATCCACGCGACGGGATTTCCCGCACGGATACTACGCGCGAACATCATGCGCTTCTCATGCGCAGCCGAGAAAATCAATTTCGTGGCACGCATCTTTGTTTACCACGTTCACTAGCATTTTCAATTCCCCCCCAGCCCCCAATTGCTCGAAGAATTTGCTCTGCCTGGTCAGCCGCAGTCTTGCATGACAGACAGGTGGGATCACACTCGCAGCAGCTCATCAACCGACAGTCGGTTCAGATCCTCGGGGAGACTCTGGGCCTCGGGGAGACTCTGGGCCTCGGGGAGACTCTGGGCCTCGGGGCTCCATTTTGTTCCCGGAGAGCTTCTTGTCATCAAGCTTTGGACCACGTCGGCCAGGGCCATCAGCTTCAGAGTTGCGGCGTCCATCTCGGTCGCGTCGATTTGGCAACTGTGCTCCGCCCCCGCTACACATTCCTCGTCAGTATCACCCCCCGAAGGTGTTCGCAACCTAGACTGCTCCTCACTCACCAATTTTGACGATACCGGACTCCGTGAGAAAGATCGTGTCGGCACTCATGGTAGCCAGTACTCTGCCCTGCCCACGGAGATGCTTTATTCCTTTCAGGACCTAATAATCATTAGCCATCAGTTTCTCAATAGCAGTGACCCTTTCCTTCGGAAAGAGGAGGGAAACAGCCCGCACGCCCCACACCCACCGGCCAAACAATCGCGGCGAGGGCTCCTTCGTCGATGGAGCATCGCGACCCCAGTACCTGGCCTACGGATAACTCAACCGCTTCCCACACCAGGAAATCCTGACCTCCATGACGATAATGCTCGAGTAGGTTGGGGAAGCTTCGATGGGCAACCTGGTGCATCGTCTCCACCAACGACTCGGCGGAAGAGGGCTCCTTTTCAAGGCGTTGGATGTTGACCAACTCGGCCTTGTTGCTTCGGAGACGGGCGAGGAAGATTGGCCGCCCGAAAATTTGAACGGTCGACTCGTAGGTCAGCCATGGATCTTCGTCGACTTGTCGGATCTTTGGTACTACGTTTGGATTCTTTCGCTGAATGGGAGCGGGACGAGCCAAGGGGGATCCTGCGGTGAATGTTTCGGGCTGGGAGTCGGATGGGCATGGCCGTGAACGAGAGGCCTGTTCGATTTCGAGATCCAAATCGCGCTTTCGCTTTGGACCAAGCCACATAGTCCGTGGTCGAGCGGGGTGAGCCTGATTGGTGTCCATTTTGCAGGCGCCGTATGGAGAGGGTTGCCAGTTCAGTGATATGTACCCAGGTTATGGTGCGATCACTTTATACTCCAGCGTCTGCAAATCTGATCCGGGACACGTCTGCTTGCACAGCGATGGCAACTCTTTGTGCGGGTCGTTCAAGGCCTGTCCTCGTCACATGTTGACAGAATTATAATCTGCAACCCATCCAACGACACAAGAAATAGGGAGGGTGCACCATACATGGTGGTTCGTGGACATGAAAGAAACAGCCAAAATGCCCTTAGCTCGGACAGTGCCGGAGTACTGTATCATTGGGCCAACATCTTGAATTTGCTACGTAGTAAGTACACACGCGACAAGACACTCCAACAAACGACGCATTGCTCTTGGCATGGATGATTTAGGATTGATGTTGATTGAATACAACAAATGCGCACTGGAAGGAGGCGGGATATCGCTGCATGCCCGGGTTTTCCCTCAGTATCGTTACCTCACTCCCTCACCAAACCATGCGTGCCACACCCCACTACTGGAATCGTTCTGGAGGCTGTCCCCTCCGCGCCGACCGACGGAGCTCAGATAGGTCAGACAACCCTGAAGGGTCGGTTTGTTGTGCAAGTCGAGCTGACCGTCGTTGAGTCGATACAATTGGTTGGTTTTCCACCGCTAACCCATCCGTGGCCGAGCGATCCGGAGAGGACCTATCCACGGAACGGTCAACGGAACGGGTTGATCGATGGATACGTTGCTCGGAAGACACCGATCCGTCGACCCGTGTTTCACCACTAGGGCCGTCTATCCTCAAGGAGCAAAAGAACGCGTCAAAAGCTCCGTTATGTTTACTGTTTTTCAGTCAGCGACAGCACACAAGCCACAATCAAAGAGTGTTAATTGACGTACCATATTGGACAAGGGGGATTATTCCCAGGTGGACAAATTCCGAGCCAAGTTTCCATACAATCCAAATGGACAAACGAAACGCATCTTCCACATTTCAGAACTACAGGCTCGGCTTGGGCTTCCTGGAGGCAGATCAGGCAATTCATGTGTTCTGAGGCGGGCCACTCGTTGAAACTCTTGAGCCACAACGAGTGCGATCCGCGTTCAATAGAATAAGTGGCTGGACGGGTTGAGGAAATTCGCCAGGGTACATTATTCTCTCGCAGCATATCGCGTGTGACATGTCGTCTGGTGATACGGGTTGTCTCCGGTCGCACAGGCGCAGCCACTGGTATGTAAGGCAGATTACCGACAGCCGCATCATACCACTGTTGTCCGATTTGGTCGGCCTGGCGTGTCCGATGCCATCGCCGACATAGAAAGTGAGACGCAATGTCGCGCAGGATAGGGAGGGCGGAAGGATCAAATTGCCTTCTAGCAAGGGCTTTCAGCTTATTGCGACCTTCATCAACGTCATTCACTGTCGGGTAGAGTTTGCAATATGTCCCTTTCTTGGTGAGGCCACAACAAGTCTGCTGGTGCCTGCGAAGACCCATTTCACAGATGACCAGAGGATCCCATCGCTCCTGAGATGACGGCATGATGAGTATAGATAGTTGTTGATTTGGCAAGAGAGCTCGAGAAAAAGAGATTGATGAAGACGGTCTCTTCGAGCGCGCAAGAGTATTTAAATTCATAAATCACAAGTCTATTCTTGGAGTCTCCCAAATAACATACGCAATGCTGCCTGCTGAAACAGATACAATGAATGGCTATGAGGGCGATAACGCTAGCACATGCTGATTGAGATAACGGGTGGGTTGTACCTACATCCCGGAGCAGTCGACCATGGCCCTAGGAGCAGTTGAGCTTGCGGTAATCATTTACCCCGAGGAACTCAATGAATCTCCAGATAATTAAGCAATGAAATCATTTTGCTCATTTCTCTCGTCAAGACTAGAGCCATGACCTGGCCTGATGTCACAGGAGTTCCACCTGGTGGCTTTTGAGGTACTTTTGCTCAATCTAGGTATTTTACTACCCACGACGCTATATAATGAGTGTCATCCTCTTTTGCAAATGTACTATTTTCCGGTTCAGCTCTCTTTCAACATGCATCGGGACTCTATCTTTCAATCGACACTCAGCCAGATTGTTGGAAACCCTTACCATCAACCAACATGCCAGGGCCTCAGGGACGATGGAATTCAATGTCGGAACGACGTGCCAAAGATTTCTCGTATCAATAGTGCGATCCAATTAGGCCTGTTCCGAGGAGACCCTGACAGCCTTCCTCCTGAATCAGTTCTTATGAGTGCAGCAAAATCTATGTTATGTGCAAAATGCAGGCCCGATAACTCCCGAGCCAAGCAGTGTACTCAACGATGGATTCAAGAATGGAATGCCAAGCTCAATCAAGCAGACATTACTCCCACAACCCTAAATCCAAGCATCTATGACATGGATCAACTGGTACAGCATCGTTTAGCTATATCATCTCCTGCGGCATCCATACAACGCGCTGGATTGATTCCTGGAACGCCGGTTACGTTGGTGTTTCGAAGTCAGAGACAAAGACATCAGGATGACATTGTGAAGGCCAAAGAAGCCCCATTTAAGGCTACAACCAAGGCACGGCTAGAAGTTGTCTTTTGATGCGTTGGATTGGGTTCTCGTGTCAGAAGGGATCCAAGGTCATGTGGTCGCTACCGATGGTCTCCTCTCCCTGCGAAATCGATAGTGCACGAGCACAACATTGGTAGCATGACAGAGTGCATCATCCTCACTACCCCAATGGCCCTGCTCACCCCTTCTGCAACTCAAACACGACAAAGTTGCTCGAGCCATTCCGCAGCCTTGTCGACAGAATCCGCCAATGAGGGTTGTCCACCATCCCGTGCATCTGTTGTTAAGAAGAACAGTCAAAAAATATACATTGTGGAACGATCCACAGTGCCCACCGAATTGACCTACCCGACTTTGAATACTCCAAGTCACCCTTGTCTTGATTGAGATTCGGAGTGGGCATCATCTCTGGAGATGGGGCAGTCGACCTCCGCGCACGGTCATATTCGAACGCGGGTCCAAGGATACCAGCCACCGGCATGGCTTGCGATGTAGTTGAGGCAAGGGCTGGTTCGAATTTATCCATTGCCCGCTCTAAATCTCGCGTGAGTGCACGGGCACGGGATAAATGCTTTCGATCTTTCATCACTACTAAAGAAGGGTGTACTGTACTATACAATACGCGGAGACCGAGATTATAGACTTCCAGGAATAAACAACAGAGCAGAATTAGCTTCCTCTTATACTGCCTTAATCAAAGGAACAAAGCGAGTTGTCATGCTATGTAGTGCGGAGTTCGATCTCGTTGACAAACACGGGTAAATGCGCGAGCCCGCAGGAAACCCAACGGCTAGCATGTAGGTAATATTTACACGTTGGTTGACCGTTATCCAAGTATAACTTAGCTGCCCATTTCTGCGGGTCCTGAAACATTGCTTCTCGAGCCGACGTCCACCGTTTCTGCATCCTTTCTAGGCTCCTGCGCCTCTGTTTTCTCGACCACGCTGTTGAGTATGACCTCAAATGACTCCGAGCCTCGGGAACTTTCTTGGATACCGTGTTCTTTCAGAAGATAGTCCGTTACAGCTCCCATCCGCTGGCTGACCTCATAAATAAGATCAGCCAATTTGCTCACTTGCTCTAGTTCGTCAGTGACCTGCGTCAGGGCCTTCCGCGTGGTGGTCAGGTCTTGGTCGAGCTTTCCCTGCATCTTCTCTGCACGAATTGCCCGCGAATTCACTGCGGCAAGGATACGAAGTGTTTCCTGTCGGAGTTAGGAGAGCCTTGTCAGAGATACTGCAGTGGTATTGTACTGACTGGAGCATCCATGGCTTAGCTGGCTGAGCTCAAGGAAAAATGAGTGTTACCAGGTAGGTCCTGAAACTATGATGATCGAATGAATCAAGCCCTGTAGTCTCGATTTATCTGGAAGACAAGCAAATTAGTACAGTTATACTGCTTTAGTTGACCAGGCGACCAAGGCATTGTCGATTTGACAACGTTGGTTTCTGCGGGCCAGGGCGGCCTTTACGTTGAAGACCGGATCGCTGAACGGGCCCGAAAAAGAACACGCTGTCGTCTCTCCGTGCAAGGTTACATACCATGTCGACGTGGTGACGTGACCGTCACAGAGACACGAGAAGAAGCCACGGCGAGATTATCGATGGCGCAGATGACCATAATCTTGTTCATGCCAATATACATATAAGTCTATAGAGCAGCGATTGTTAGTTTGTCATAGCGCACACAGCTGTCCCCAGGCACGGATAGATTACTAGATATCATTTCAGTTCTATTGTATCTGCAGTCCTTTCTTTACTTGTGAGACCATGCCTACACTCCTATCAAGAATCCTAAAGAGGGTGGGACTGGAGGTAGTACACATTGTTGTTGTCCGCCACTCTCGTCAAGGCGACCGACGGATTTTCCAATCCTCCTTTCCTCGAGATTACTGGACGGTGAGTGAAATACCGGAATGTCGTGTTTGGCTACTGACTTTTACCAGGATGTCACTGTGACCGTTGAAGATGACTAAAGCCCGTCAATAGCCTCACCGAACTGACTCGCAGGTCACTAGCGGTGGTTTACTCCATGCGAGGGAAATCGGTGGTGGAATGGCCCTGGATGGCCCACAGGGCATAAAGGATGACCGTTTTAAGAATATGGCCAATATAGTTGAAGAAGATCCAATTATAAGTATGCGTGGCACATGCACGTGTATCGTTTAAGAAGAGTGTAATGGCGGGGTGACCGTGCGGTAAAGTAACTGCCGTTGAGATATCACCGCATTAGATGGCAGGTCTCTCTGAGGTAGACCTAATAGAAGCAATACTTGGACACGATCGAAGAACGTGCTGGCACTATCGTTGAAGGCTTCTTCAACAACCACCGACTTGACCAACCAACGACTTCCGCTTTCCTTATCGATGTGCTTTTTGTTTAAACGTTCTCACTTGAACGCTTGAGTTTAAACATGCGTTCTTTCAACGTGCTTTGATTTAACGTTATCACTTAACCGTTCTCACTCAAATGTGCTCACTTAAACGTGCTTTGTTTGTTTAAACGTTCTCACATAAACGCCTGTGTTTAAACGTGCTTTATTTCAATGTGCTTTGTTTAACCGTTTTCACTTAAACGTTCTCACTTGAACGCTTGTGCTTAAACGTGCTTAAACGTGCCTTGATTTAACGTTCTCACAAAAACGTTCTCACAAAAACGCTTGTGCTTAAACGTGCTTAAACGTGCTTTGTTTAACCGGTCTCACTTAAACGTTCTCACTTAAATGTTCTCACATAAACGCTTCCCTCGTTCTCAGCTTCCTTTCGTACTACACGCTCCGCTTTTTAAACGCTGTCGTCATCTGCGCCTTCTTTCTTTTCAAACTTTATATGCTTCTTTCTCATGCACACTAAGCGCCCTCGCTATCAACGCTACTGTTTTAATTGTCCTCCTCAATCCAACGCCCGTTGTCGTTGGACCTTCAAGATAAGACCGTTTGACACCGCCGATTTCAACACCCTGGCTTTAACAGATTACCTATCGCTGCCTGAGTCGCTGTGGGAGACCATAGTTCAATTTTGTCCAGGTACAGTATGACGATCTTCAACAATCTAATCAACCCAAAGGTTACAGTTCCTCTCGTCTGAATGTTGTGGGCTCAGCCCTCGAAAGCAAGTCTAACGGAAGCCTCAATCTCAACGGTTCAATTACTACAACTAGTACGTGGACAGCACAACAGGGTTTCACGTTGCGGTGTGGGGGAGTTCGGTTGGACGGTAAGGTGGAGGTTGTGGGGTGTAAGGTTGCGAAAAGGCCCTTGCACCAATAGCTAAGAAACTAGCTAACAAATTTCGTTTGCTCCTCTCGCTCGGACGTCCAAACAGTTTGGGATACAAAGCCTCCATATGGACACCACGAACGTCGATCTCAAATGAGTCCTTGCTACCGACCTTCTGCGTCTCGACGATGTTACCATTTCCCCATTGGGGCTCTTGCAGCACCCGCAAAAGGACTTCAGCACACTCATGGGGCGAAAGAGTGACATCATCTTCGGTCACTTTCTTGTTCCACTCGGGTTCGAATATAGGAGTCTGTATTGTCAGCCTCGGCCTGGGGACGGGTCATTCACGCTGTATCCGAATGGGCCTTAACTTACAAGGACTGCACCGGGACACAACGCAGCGAATCTGATCCCACAGATGTCGCGAAGCGCGCCCATTGACTTCACGAAGCTGATGAGTCCCGCTTTGCTTGACATATACAGGGGCGTTTCGATGGAGTGCAGGTAACCCGCGAGACTGGCCACTGCCAAGAAGTTACCTTCGATCTCGCGGTGCTGAGTCCAGTAGTCGATGGCAATCTGCGCCAAACGTACAGGCGCCACATAGTTCACGGCTATCGTAGAGTATTGGCCGACTGTCGCATCAGCAGGATCGCGAGATTCAGCCGAGATGCCTGGCGCATTCCAGAAGCTGCTCCAGGGTGGCTCATAAACACCCGCCACGCTTGCAACAATGTCGACTCGACCAAAGTCTTCGAGTGTTTTGTCCCACAGGCTTTGGATTTGAGCCCAGTTTGTGACATCGGTTTTCTGGAACAAGGCGCTCGGAGCTCCGGGCTGACTTGTCGAGTGGGCATACGCATTCAATGTCGACTCGGCTTCGGGCCTGAGATTCAAATCGGCTAACATCACAGAGCAACCTGCTTTGAGGAGCAGCTCAGTAGTCGCATGTCCGATACCCGACCCAGCGCCGGTGACGAGGGCTACCTTGCCTTTTAGCGTGTAGTTGGTCATTGTTTTACAAAATCACCGACAGTTCTGAGAGGGGAGAGTGTGAAGAGCTTTCTCGGGAGATCACCAACATGAGATATACGCGCATTGTATGTCGATCAATCAAGTCAGCTCCATCACATTTCGCCTGAATGGGTATAACCGCTTTGAGAGATGGCAGAGCCTTCCCGGTTAGGTAAATTACATCAACTCGGATCTAACTCGGAAGGGAAATTATTCTTGAATGGAGACCTTCCATATTCAGCAAACGACATGAATCATGGGCCAGTTTAGTTTCTATGGCCAGGCGCTGAGATACAGGGACTAAGGACTACAACCCACGTGCACTGTGCAGGGAAACGCACTCTGTGTGCGCAATTATAGCCCACGGCTGTGACTTCGGAAATGCGATAAAAATTCATTTGTCGGTGTCAATGATATCGATCGTCAAAGCCTTGGACGATCCAACACCCTCTAAGCTTGCTCGTCCTTGAGTCTGTCTCTTGTGATCTTGACCCTATCCCCTTGCTCTCCAGACTAGGTTGTCCAATAACAGAATCCATGACCACATCTACATCACGCCCCCTTTCAGTCTCAAATAGCTCCATGTCGAAGCGGGCACAGATATAGGCGACTGTGAGATACAACTCTGCGTTAGCAAGATTGATACCGAGACACACTCTGGTACCCCGGCCGAAACCCAAGAAGTAGTTTGCCCTTAACGAAGGGTTGTCAATCCACCGTTGTGGTTCGAATGTATATGGTTCTGGGAAGATTGTGGGATCAGTATGAAGGAGGTAGTGTGATTGCATGACACTTGTCTGTTGTGTTGATTGGTCTGTTAGCAACATGAGCTGAATAGGGGTTTGAGTTATTCTCCTTACGCCAGCTGGAATCGTCCAATCCTTGTATTTGAGCTCTTCCTCGGGGGCGTATCGCGGCATACGACTCGAAACAACGTGAGACAGCCTCACGCCTTCGGTTATCATAGCAGACTAGAGTACATGGTTAATACATATGCTGTCGTGGGAATCATTCTCATGGCGGCATCAACTCACGAAATACGGAATGGCTTCTAGCTCAGCAAGTGAAATGCGCGAATCAGGCCGAGGCATATGCTGCGCCAGCTCCTTCCTCACTCGATCCAAGACATGTGGGGTGTCAAGAAGCAGGAACAGAATCACGGCTAATGATCTCGCCGTCGTTTCAGTTCCCGCCATGACAAGCAAGCCCGCCTCCGCCGAAAGGCGAGCAGGGGTTTTGTCACTGGGCGGTAGGTTGCTCTGAAGAATATCCTGGAATATAGACCGGGATGCAGATTTGTCAAGCTGACCGTTCTGTTCCTCTTCGACTGCAGTCTGTATCATGTCCTTGAACAGGGCTCTGTTCCGTGGTACAAGGGCAGCAGCTGGACTGAGCTTCGTCACCAACTTAGGTGGAAGCAACATAATGACCGCTTTCGCTACCCATGGGAATTGACGAGCAAAAGGTCCCATCTGCGCCATCTTGGCATAGCCCTCAAGCTCCTCCTCGGCCCAGTCGGGCTCACCCAACTTGTTCCAATCTTTTCCAAATGCATAAGCAGAGATGACATCCATAGTCAGAGCACCTGCGGCAAAGAGCAAGTTCACGTTTTCTCCGGTCTTGCGGGCTTCCGCAATTCGATCTATCAAAATATCGATTTTTTCCCACGACGCGGCCTTCCAGAGCTTGGATTGATCGCTTGCTGAAGAACGGGCTGAGCGCAGCGCGCCTCACCCGGTGGACATCATGATCGACTGTGTTGAACAATGACCATCCCATCGGACTAGTCTTGGAGGAACGAAAAACCACTCATCACGATTGCGCTTGCGGCGTCCGCTGGCGTAGATGTCGTCAAGATACTCCGGGTCTCGGATGTGGATGTGGAGTGGATTGATTCGTACGATTGGTCCGTACTGATTGTGCAGGTCCTCGATTTTCCAGAGGAAACGCAGCTTGTGAGGAAATAGATCGTAGTAGGACTCGTACCAGAAGGTCGCGCCTGCAAGTTTCGGGCCAGGAAATTTCGCGAGCGGATGTAGAGTGACGCGGTATATGTAGACCGAAATCCAATACGCGATAAAAGCTGTCGTTCCGAATGCCAGTAGGTGTGACAAGCTGGCACGTTGCAGCAGTGTCAAAAGGCCCATCGTGGCTTCAATCTTTCGTGTTCAATGGGTGCTGAGAGAGGTGAGTTGGGCAACTTGGGCTGGTACCAAACACAAACACGACGGCCCTTTTGTTCATGCATTATGTCAGTAATTTGATCACCGCCAATTAGCAGAGATCAAAAAGTAATTCAGCATGTTCCTTTTAGGTGAGTCCATAATAGGAAACATCCGAAGAATACGTGTTCTGCTGATCGGACAGCCCGGAAATGCCCCCGGGGCCGCCAAGAGAGATCGACAGACGGGGAGATCAGTCTACCGGCATGACTCGTTCCTGGGGTTGCAGGGTCTAGAGAATTAGCTTCTCGTGTTCGGCTGGAAAGTAGTCACTCGGGATTTGACTGGCTTTGAACTTAAGACAACAAACTTAATATTAGAAGATTGCCCGAGAATGTACTTGAACAATTGAGGCATGGAATGTGGCACGTGACCTGCTGGCCCCGGGCCCGCACGTGCGGGGTTGCTTTGTGATTATATAAGAGATAGATGGATCACGTGTTTGCGGTGCGCGTATCACGTGGCTCTCCATTTCTCGCTTCGGTTGTGATACCGGGGCGACCAACCGGTATCAGTACCCGTCCCAGGTACCGGACAGACTGCCTTGTACATGTGTGCAGTACCCCTTACTAGTCCGGCCCACCTGGGTGCTCCAGGGCTCCAGGGCTAGTCCTCGTCTGGAATCACAATTCTCGCCTCTGTTCCTGTTCCTCCTTACCTTTGGAAAGCTTTCTACCTCGCACAAATTCTGGCATACACCATTGTCTGACTTTCCCGGTCACTGAACTCCATGTTTTTCGTGAATTTCGGAACTTGAAAAGCAATTATTCTACGATTCCTACTCACTAATGCGGATAACAATCCGAGCTTTTTGGTATTACTGTTCTCAACCTCGAACGTCGCGCGCGCAGCCAAAATGTCCATTGCAGTCCTGCCCGTCGAATTGATCTCAAAAATATGTAACCATCTGGATTACCAGCAATTGGTCGCTCTGAGGTTATCATGTCGCGCATTGTACCAAAACTCACTGGAGAATTTTGGGAAGACCTATTTCCGAAAAATTCGTTTCATTGTGACAAGTGAAGGTCTCCACGAACTGGAAGCACTATCCAAGTCAAATGGTCTCCGCGAGCACGTTCAAGAGCTATGGATGATTCCTGTGGTGTTCGATGGCGCTGAAGGGTCCCTCGGCATGATATCTATATCGTCAAAAAGCTGCCGGCAGGTCAAAGGCGACGAGCTGGAAAGCCGGCGTGCTGTCCAAAAAGACATGCTTGCGGACAATCGCAACCTGCTGGAATCAGAAACGTTCAGTCTTCGACTTCGGGAATGTATGGATCGATTCAAGAACATCCAAACAATCGGACTCGCACATTACAGAACGGAATTTTTGCTTGACCCCCGACAGCAGACAGTTCCATTCCTCGGAAGGCGACAGATGATGAGCCGCATCGACTTTCGATTCGATGTTTACAGCCTGCAAGAGTCTACGCGCACCCACCAGGATAGTCAGATACGGAAACTGAACTCCTTGGCGTTATCAAAGCTTTTTCTTGCGTTATGTGGCTCAAGCTGCAGACCCCGAAAGCTATCCACTTGCGATTCTAAATTCTGCTGTGATATCGGCCCCAGGATTGCCCTCTCCGAAGAGCAATTTGATTCTCTACTGTCTACTTTAGAAGACCTCGAGGATCTTCATTTATGCATCGATCTCGATGAGGCGGCTTGGCTGAAGCTTTTCAGGAAGATTGCACCTCAACTGGAAGTACTGACCCTGTCGCAACATCATATGCCTTTTGATCTTGTTCAAGATGACATGCATGCCTATCCGGCTAAAAGCTACGTTGGAAACATGTTCCATGACATTAGCTTCACTCGACTCCGAAACCTTCATATAAAGAAGCTTGATATCGATTTCAGCTCTTTGAGATCACTTTTGCTCAGTGTCAAGAAAGGTCTGGTCACTCTTACAGTCAAACGGGTTAGAATGCGCAGCGAGGAGTCAGGAGCCACAGAAAATCCTCGATCACAAGATGCTGAGTCCCCTGACCGCCAGGAAAATGAAAGATCTGTCCGATATACATCGCCATTATATCAACCCACAGTGCCATCCCACCAACCAACCTCGCCATACGATGAACCTACAGTGCCACCATACCAACCAACCTCGCCATACGATGGACCTACCGTGCCACCATACCAACCAACTTCGCCATACGATGGACCTTCAGTCCGATTATATCAACCAAACTTGCAATCATATGGACCTACAGTCCCATCATTTCAACCAACACCGCCATCATTTTCAACATCTTCACCGTATAGACCGACTGTATCCCCACAAGAATATGGACCAGCCCCTCTATCAGTCCTACCAGCATCAGAAACAGCATCAGCCGAAAGTGCACCCCAATCACCCCAGCATTCCTCGGCTTCCGATTCCTCTGAGGCGTCGACAGAAGAATATTGGAGCAGAAAGTGGATGTCTACATATCACCCATATGAGCCATCCGAAACAGCTGGAGGTTTTGTCTGTCCCACCCGGGAAACCGTAATGGCATGGAAACGCAACGAAGAAAAGATCACTTCTGTGCCCAGCTTTTTGAAATTTTTACGGAACGAGTTATCTCTAGAAACACTCTCCCTGGAAGATATTATCTGTGACGACAATTATTACGATTTCGAAAGAATCGACAGTGCAGATAAACAAAGGGGCAAAGTGGATTTTGACATTCACAAAGCCAATATTTCGTTGAAGGATTGGATTTCCCGGTTAAGGCCAATTGCTAGCTGCCCGGCCGATCGCATTATTAACCGCAAGGAAGACAAAGGTTAGTGGTACCTCCCAATTTACACTCTGTAGTTACTGATGGAAGCTAGAAATGGCGGATTGGTTCGACGAGATGATAGGGAAGGACAGCGGCTCATCTACTAGATTAGACTGTGACTGCAAAAGGAACAAGAAGCCGCCCTGGGGATGTCCTTTTGGATGTCATCGATATTAGGAAAATGTCAGCTTGAATTTATCTCAATTATTCGCAGAATTATTGAGCTCTATCATTATATACTAAGAAAAAAGGTTCCAAGTTTACTATCAAGATACGTGAAAGGGACATCAGTCACATGAAACGTTTCCAACCTTGGAACAACTGGAACACTTCGCTTGCTCATTAGAATGAATAGGCACAGAGATGAATATGCTCTAAGATCAAAACTGGGCCCCGGGGATACCAAATGAGCAGAGATCCTCACAAACGAAGAGGCCCGATGAAGACTTGCTTGCACACGGTGAGTCGGGAAGAGTCCGGGGTTTAGGGCGTTTTTGCTGCCTGATCAGGGTCTTCACACCTCCCGCTACGGAAGTTGCACATCTCCAAATATACACCTAGCCGTCGGTGGTTAGTTCAATGTAGCGCCTGTCGTCTTAGGGAGCCATAAGGATTTCTGCAACTTACCATTGATCCAATATGTGAAAGTATCTGGAGATAATTAGCACGATTCACTAGTCAATATTTCAGAAAAAGAAACTGTACCAGCATTTATGACAGCCAGTGACTGGGTAGCATCAGTTTGAGCGTTGTCTTTTATAGCAAGTGCAACGATCTCTCCCCAGCCATACGCTATATCCGCTAAAGCAATTTAAAGAACCATTCATTAGCAGACCGATATGTTGGAAGTCGTATCGTGGAGTACTTGCACGATAAGCACCAAATTGGGTATGCCCGTGGGTGAATTCATGCGCGAGGAGTCGCTCCGGTGTGTTGTGTATCATGTGATAAAGAAAATCACCGTTTTGCACAACTGCTGCTTTCTTTGCAGGTTGAAACCAGACTTTCGTCTGAAATTGCAACACAGACCACACCCCAGCACAAAATGCCATCCAACTAGGTTGACCCGGAGTGTGAGCGGCTGTTAACGTCACTGCTTCCGCTTGTCCACCGCCGTATCCAGCCGCAAAACCGTTTGGAATCGTACAAAGAGACGTGCTGTTTTTCTGACTGCGAGGACCAGCTGGTAGGGCATTGGTCATCCAATATTCTACACATATTAAAGGTCAGATATGGTTCCATGATGATCAACGTTCGAATGAAGGGATATTTCTGGATAATACGCACCTTTTTTGATATGAGAAGGGACGTTAGGGTCGAGGACCCATTCGCTCTCGTCGCAAATGAAATTCCAGATGGTCGTGTTTTGGATCAGACCACTCGCAAAAATAGCAGCCATTTCTAGAATATTTATTTCGTAAGGTTGGAGGCAGTGGCATTTTGTGCTGAATGGGTATTTGTAACCTACGATTCACTCGTATAGCGCGGTCTCTGACTCTTGTCTTTGCAGCGACATCATTCCACTTGAAGGTCCCATAAAGAACCATGAAGAGATCTATCATCCGTCTTTGCTGAGGATGCAGGGTTGGATTGTTGTTGTTCATGTTGTTGTTGATCATGTCGAGTGTCATTTGAGTAGCCAGCGCGCCGTAATTGGCCTGCCTCATGATCGGTATTAGAAAAATGTAAATCCCACCTCTGAGCTCATCCCGGTGCTCATGCCCCGAGAATTCTGGACAAATTCACTTACCACAGCTTTTAGTTGATTAATAGTGGCATCCCAGTAACCTAAATTCCAATGGTTCAAGCAGCTCGTGTGCACTCGAATTCTACCAGAATTTGGCAGGGCCGTAAATTCAGCATCAGTGGCTCTTGTAAAGACATGATGGAGGCCATCCTCCGAGCCTAGTGGGAAAATAGAGTGATTGCTGTAAGGGTGAGCTTGCGCAATCAACACAATTTGCGTCAAGAGCATAAGCTGGGCAAGTAGGGTTCTGAAAGCCCCTACAGGGCGAGCAAAACCCATCATTTGAGTCAAACGAAGGTGTAATGTGCAGAAGCAAAAGATATTTGGAAATGAGTGTATGATGTTGGGACTGGAAAGTACTGGAGGATGGCACTGTCATATGTACAAAATACTCAGGTACGGGATAGACCAGAAACCATGATAATTTTTCCAATAGGGCTATTACCAACTCACTCTAATACCAACACGATGTGGTACAGTAGAAATTCTCAAACTTGTCAAAGTAGCGTTCCAGTGAAATCTACTCTGAGTACTAATTTAATCGCGCAACATACTAGTCCCTATACAACTCCCACCGGGAGTGGGCCCCGGGTTTATAGATACGCCTAGCGTATATGTAAGCGAAGGGCCACAAATGTGGAGTAAAAGGACCCTTAGACCCTTTAAGTGTGGTATACAAAACGTTTTATTGGACGAGTACGTCTTCATTGTTGCCCCTTATCTAGTGGAACCTATAGTCGATCTGGAATGGAATGTGACCCGGAGGTTTTCCGGCTCCTCGGATATCGGATACAGTACTGTATAGCATATGAAAGTCAACAACGCCAGCCAAAATCAACAACGCCAGCCAAAATCAACAACGCCAGCCAAAACCTCGGAGGTGGTGCTAAAAGGGAACCTGGTACCGAGGACAGAAAATTGGCTAACTACCATTCCCTTCTCCACTTCGCAGTATGGGTATATTCATTTCGTACAAGCTTTAGCTCCTGCAGTGGCGCCGCAAATGTTTGAGGCAATCAAATTTACCGCCTTCTTCTCGTCCTTTCCTAATTCAGATTAGTCCAGCTTCAAATATTTGGATATTTCGATTAAAACTGCAGAGGAGGCATGGTAGTAGCTTGATCTGAGTATTTTGAAAAGCCTTTCGGAGAGCATGCTATGGAGAGTATAGGCTATTATTGCGTTAAATGGATGGTATATCGAACGTTAGGAAGTCAGGGATATTTTGAACCGGCAGATTAAGTGGCAGAAATTAGGCGCCGAATGTACTCAGGCCTGTGCGGCCACTGTACTCCGTAGGGTCTCCGCTAGAAAAATTTTCGACTGTTCGTCCGGATAGCTCCGATCCTTCCCGAGCGGATCTGTCTGGACCGGAAAATCTACAACCCTCGTGCTAGCCTGTGTGGAGTATCTCCGTATACTGTACTATACTAGTAAGAAGTAATACGACTGAACATACGACTAAAATGAAGGCATCTTTACCCGGATATACCGCACTTGGATATAGTGTAATTAGGTCCTGGGGGCGTTATCCGCTATAGAATGGTTCATTTGCGCTCCGGCTAATGAACACGACTTGTGTTACTGCCCAGGTGCAGGCTAAAGGCCTCCAAAAAACCATACCTCTTTGCATGGTAAGGTTGCTTATCGGATCAGATGATCGAGTAGCCAGTGACACAACTTTTTAGTGCCGTCGACAGTATGCCCACTACAATGGTGGGAGGTCAAATGCTTAGGTTACACCATATATACCTTTCGGATAGATTGGGGGCCAGATATGTAACCATGCATGGTAGTACTTATCTAGTGGAACTGAAGCGGGACTGTTATTATCCTAAAACCTAACTTGGATGTACGAGTATGCACGATCCACTTCCCACATTTTTACTTGAAAGTTGTGCCCCGGGGCTCTAGCTGGTCTTCGAAGCGAGTTGCAGAGACATAAGACAGGGGAGGAACGAGGAAAACCCGATAGTGCATTTTACTACTTTTATCCATTAATATGGGCTAAACTATCCACTCAAAATTGGGCTAATATGATGTGGAAATTGACCTCCAGTTGCCCAAGATTTTTATGTCCTTGCAATCTTCCTTCCGCACCGTTCCACCGTCTTACCTCCATGGCTTCTATCCGTTCGATTTTACTTGTGATTGCCCTGGCTCTCCAAGGCAGTGAGGCACTGCCTGATTGTCAAGGCTACATCCACAGTGGTACAATCGCTTATTTCAACAGCGCTCCCATCACCTTTAGCTATGAGCTTGCAACAGCCTTGGATTGCCAAAGATGGTGTGAGAAGGTATCAACATGCCAAGCATGGCTCTATGTTGACCAGTCAAATCAATGTGACCTGCATCGTACGAAGGCGTTGAGCGTTTCGGATAATGCAGGATTCATCTTTGGCGGGTGCACGCCTAGAGCGGCCAATGAATCTCCAACAACTTCTACTCCTAGCTCTTCGTTGCACTCCGCTGTTATCAGTACTGCAAGAACATCAGAGATTGCTTACTCGGTTCGTTCTCATTCTTTTCAAGCATGTTGCTCTGGACCTACGGCTAACGTGATTCTGCTCTCGAAGGCTCATGCTAGACGCGAAATCCTCCGTCATAAGCAGAAGGGTCACCACCAAAAGCTTTAATTTGGTGGAAACATATCCGTTCTTTGGGTGGTTTAGGTCACTGCGAGGGAATTGTACTGGGTGTCGGCAGGACTTCGGGTTGTTCGTGTATGGAATAGTTATCATGTGTTATTTTGAATAAGAGGTGCCCAATAAAAGGAAAGAGCTTCGGTACCAAGGAAAACCTTCAGACGGAGATACAGCAAACATAGTATTAGAGAATTCTAATTGCGCTTCGAGAATAGCTAGCGCTCTTTCGCTGGGTTGTATCCAAGATTGGTTCCGCTTGCGGTCCTCGATCTTTTTCACCTGTTTCAAAAAACTAACTAGCCTATACTTTTTTAGCTTGCTACTTACAGTGGTGTAACATTAGTATTTGACCTCCGGTACTTCGGCCTAGGACCCACTTTTTTATACTGCCTGGCAGAAACCTCGGAATTTAATTCAATTTAATAGCTAGTATGCCACCCGCCATACTTAATGACATCAGCTACCCTATGAGGCATTGTCTCCGATAGATGCTTAAAGAGATCGATATCTAGCGCTTCCCATGCTTCTTGCGCAGCTTCTAGTAGTAATTCTAGCGTAGGTTCATTATTAGGAAGCTGCATAAGCTCTAGGTGACGCTTCAGGATTTCCGCTTTAAGCAGCGCCCAGAGGTTCTCGATCGGGTTCAAATCAGGCGAATAGGGAGGCTATTCCATGATATCGCATTGGAGCTTATTTAAAGCGTCCCGTACGATATATGCCGTGTGAATAGGCGCGTTATCTTGCTGAAAAATAGCATTAGAATCAATGCTATTAAGGAGCGTAGGTAAGACGCGCCGATAGAGCTCTTCGATCGTACGTGAAGAGACGCTACCTCTTCGAGATAGGGGATCTCCGAATAGGGGAATAAGGCCTGATCGACGTGGAAGTCCGGAAAAAGCAGCCCAAAACATCTGCTTAATTTGCTTCCCCCGCGCTAGAACCATTTGAACCTGATAGCCTTCTTCTGAATACTGAAAAAGCTGATCTTTCGGACGCGCAAAAGTCTATTCTTGACGCTGGCCAATGCCACGTTCAACCGTACATTCGTTAGACCAATAGACGCGGGCCCAATCCTCTGATATAAAATGCTGATATTGAAGAGCCCAGCGAAGACGTTTCTCGGTAGACCTGGCTAGGACCCGCGGGTACCCTCCACGACCCTGACCCTCACCTCCCCATGCGGAGGGTTAGGGTCCGAGACCTGGACCCGAGGGGACCCTGAGGGTCGTCAAACATGACAAAAAGGTAAAAAACGTGACTGGACGTCAATTGCATAAATTATGTAAAAACAGGCTGTATTTCATTGTAATTGTAAACTAAAAATCCATCACTGTATGGCCTTACAGAAGGATACTACAGTACATATCCACTCCTTAGTGCATACCATAGGTTCATCCTCGAATAGAGGTTTAATTTTTGAATGGTTTACATTACATCTATAGCACAGTGTCTAGTCATGGTTCTAAGTCAAGAGTCAAATTATATACCCATCCAGTAGTCTCGACTTCTTCCGTATCCTACCTGATACACGATGCTGCGTATCAGGGAAGGATAATGATAGGTTCTCCTCCGGGTTCGCAAATCCATCAGCATCAGAATCTTCCTCACCACTAGAAGTGACCGCAGACCGCTTTCCAGCGGCGACTGCTGATAGTGGCGGTGCGTTCGGGGTTGTTTGCATAATTGATATAGCAGCCGGTGTGTCAAGACGCAACTCAACATCCTCCTCCTCGTCATCACTGATAGCCTCGAAGGTATGTGTCTGGACATCAAGTGCTTCTGCCGAAGCTGCTCTCTCATGGTCTAAAAGATACTCTTGGAGAATCAGCCGCTGCTCCTCCTTGATATCAAATCTTGTTGTACACATATACAACATGATATCACGAATAGTCTCTGGATTCAACGACCCCCGGCGGTAGTGGCATACATCCCGGGCAGAGTTAAATAGACGCTCAACTCCGGCACCAGTCGCTGGAATTGACATAATATCACGGGCAATGCTTGCAAGAACAGGGAATTCTCTCTGATGATCTTTCCAAAAGATCCGAACGGATCCTTTAATGGTATCTAATCAGGTGAGGTTAGTTATATGATTCATAAAATAGGCTTACTTACTTACCACTCTGGAGATATTTGGTGAGCTCGTCGTACTGCGGAGCAATTGATCGTGGTGAAGAATCGCCGTCAAGGGCCCTCTCTAGCTCCGATTCAGTTATTAATAACTGGCTATTAGGCTGTATCATATCTGATGGTACACGTTGGCTATATCTTTCGAAGAGAGACTGAAGACTCTCGCGGTATACTTTTCTATAGTCCTTTCCTATCTCAGGATCTAGGTCCCAATCACTTGTTGAAAAGAACTCCATCTTACTCGACGGCGCTAGGATCATCCCAATTGCATAGAGATTACCTTCGATATTATCGGTCTCGCCGTAGTATTTCTTCAGTTTCTCCTTCGCAGCCTCAAGGGAGGAAAGCATCAGCTGTTTCCAGTGAACTTTCTTTCGACGAAGCTGACGTATTGATCTTTCAAGATGATCAAAAAGCTTGTTATAAATCCTAAAGACAAGGTGGATAACTTGAGTCTTTAGTACGACAAACTAGCGTAGTAAGCGTAAAAAAGGGCTGGAGAATGCAAAGTAGATAGTCAATCTGTCGCCACCCCTCGATACTCAATGCAAAATGGGTTTGGGTAAAGTCCTTGCAGTACTTGTCAAATGTGTTATGAAGCCTTGTCGCCCGCCGGAGCATCAGGAATGTCGAATTCCATCGTGTACGGACATCCTGGATTGGGAGAAGCCTTATACCAGCGTTATTAGATTGAAGATTCAAGAAGGCTTCTTTGCGTTGAGGGCTTCCGTTGATATAAACTGCAAGACCGCGGACCTATAAGGATGATTAGCGTTATGAAATCAATCATGATTCGTGAATAGAAGCTTTAAGCTTACCTTATTTAGAGTATCGGCGATCTCATGTTTCTGCTGGCGCGCACGAAGTGAACGTACACGATCTTCAGACCATTCTGTCTCGGCATTGTCATTCTTCGGTGAGGCCTTGATTTTACCAAGTAAATCAATTAGACTTAATTGAATAACATGTGCAAGGCAAGGCACTTGGACAATCGTAGAATCTGTCTCAGATTGTAGCGTCTTAGTCGAATTATTCACCGCTGCGATAAGTGTCTTATTATTAGACGCATTATCAGTTGTCACCGCCAGTATACGGTCAGCGATCTGGTGCTTCTCTAGGATCTGGAGAACAATCCTACCGAGGTTCACTCCGGTATGAGATCCAGAAATTGGCTCGAAGCCAAGGAGAACCTCGTGATAGTCCCATTCCTGGTCTAGGAAGTATCCTGTGATAGCCATGAATGCTTGCTGGAATGGAGAAGTCCAACAGTCAAGCGCAATCGACATTTTTGCACTAGATGGAAGCTGTTGTAGTGTCTCCTGTTGTTGTTCTATAACGAAACCCCGAAGGCGGTCGCGAATCACCTTTCTTGATGGAACGCTTGGTGGTATGGGTGCTAGCCGTGCGTAGGAAAGGAGGTCATGGAATTCTTGATGCTCGACGAAAAGGAAGGGTAAATGCGATACAGTGATCAGGTTCAGAATCTTCTGCTCCCATATTTGCTGGGTAAAGGTAGGCGCCGGTCTTCTCTCGGCCTAAATGATAATGAATTCAGTATTAGTATTGACATTGAATGTAGGCTAGTTTAAACATACCGCGTCACTAAGTAGTTGCTGGATATTACCCCTCTTCGGTATTCGCTGTCGGCACCTTAGCCCATCGAGATGTTTCTGCATCGATGAGGTTCCAGTATGGTTGGTACTTCGATGCTCAAGAATTGTACGGCACCGTTTGCATATAACGCCTGGCTTCCCATCTTTGGCATTTGCAACCTGTTCAAACCCTTTCCAGCACTCTGCACGACGGTTCATATCCCAGTTGATCCGCTTCTTCTTACCGAAGTCGGTTTCAAGCCACCACTGAATAAATTCTGCGGTCATTGTAGTTGTGAAGACGACGTACTCGTTGATACGGTCTGGTTTGGTTCGCGGAAGAATGTCTGGGGCCTGAGGTGCCACGCGCGATCGATGGGTTGGAAGGTCTGGAAGGTCTGGAACTGATCCAAACTGACTTTCGGATAGTAGTTGACTGTGGCTTTCGCGTTGGGATAGGGAATCGTTAGGAACAAGGTATTGTAGCGCGTCTAATTGCACCCCGTCGAAGCTAGATGATGCGTAGACGTCGGAGAGCTGAGACATGTTAGATTTAGTAACTAGAAGGCAGTACTATGGCTGAGGAGGAAGATGATGAGGAACTTACTGTTTAGTTCGTAGAAAAAGATGCGCGATATTCTTGGGGCATCCGTTCGTCCCTGTTCTACATGCTAGAATTGATCTATCATCTTTTATATCCACATAGCTAGATCTGATTGGCTAGCATAGTGGATAACCTGATAAATGAACCTCAACGAACCTCAAATAGACCCTCGCTTACCCGCAGCGACCCTCAAGGGAACCCTCACTACCCACATCGACCCTCAAAGAGACCCTCAAAGAGACCCTCAAAGAGGACCCTCAAGTTAAGAAAATAGTCTTAATCGGAACGGCCAAGTCTAATAATTGCAACCGTTGAACCGGAGTTACGACATACCTAGATAATTTGTTCTAAATTCTTAAAGACAAAGTAATAGAAGAAGATATAACAGTTCAAATGATGTAAAAATGAGGGGATTTGAACTACGTCTTTATAGTTTTCTTAAAAAATAGTGGTTCTACAAATGAAGGTACACATGGGTTACAGTACCTACAATATATATATCTACAACTTTACACGCTGTTTTGTCGACAACCGGCACTGACCACTCACCATATCGATATCATCGAATATTACTTGTAATTTGTAGGTGACCATGCCTACGGTTTACTTTTACATGAATATTTCTTTATAAGTCACTATATTGATAGAGTATTCAGTGAAATATCTACAAATTGACGGAACCGCTGTAAAAAACAGAGATGAATCATCAGCAGAAAGAGGTAAGGCGTCGAAAATTTATGCAAATGCGGGTCGTTGAGGGTCGCGGAGGGTCCGCATAGTGAATCTCAACGACCCTCAGGGTAGGTTGAGGGTCGGAAGGCTGGAACCTCCCCTCTTGAGGGGGAGGTTCGAGGGTCCGCGGTAGGGACCCATGCGGAGGGTCGTAGCCAGGTCTATTTCTCGGCGTGTATAGGCGTCAATACCGGAAATCAACTTGGGTTGTCCATATTGATACCTCGGACTTAATTCCGACGGTGCGGCTTGGTTCCTGATCTGCACCAGCCTCATATCACAACAGTTTCCAACGCTGGACTCTGGCGAGGTCTAGCACTGCGGAGGCGGTGAGGTCGAGTGGCAACACGCGATCTGCGATCGGGCGATAGGAGCCCCAACATGGATGTTTCGCAGTGGCAGTGGGCTGGTCCTATGTACAATGGCATGAAAATCAGTAATGTTGTTTGTGTTATGGAGCACAAAAACTCCCACAGATAAGTGATATTGCGCAGCAGAGGACGCGATTGTTGTGATATGAAGCTGGTGCAGATCAGGACCCAAGCCGCACCGTCGGGATTAACTCCGAGGTGTCTATACGGACGACCAAGTTGATTTCCAACCAACTTGGCTCATTGTTGGATATACAGCCTCATGTCTCCCTCTGAAATAACAAGTCAATTTACGCCTCTGAAACACAACATAATCAATCATATGGGAAATTGCCAGGTTTGGCTCTTGTCGCCGGAATATGCGGCCCCGCATCTTGAGCAAGCCGTCCGATATTATTGGCGGCAGTTGCTTCCATGCGAATCGATCAGACCTATCCACCCTCTTCCTGTAATCTCCCCAGATATCCACCTATAGTACCTAATACTCAAACATGACTAGAGTCCGGTCGATTAGGTAGTGGCTCTAGACTGGTGGCAAAGGGAAGCAGGGCAATCTACACGGCCGTCTTTGCCCACGGACAGCACTGCTAAATCAGTGGCCCACAACTATGTACTATATTCACGATTTCCATGTGCCCAGCGCCGGGGAAGAGTTTCCGGCAGGCCGAGTCTTCATCGGATATTCCGACTATTACCATAGGGAAGGTGGTTATATGGGGAAATGCGGAACATCGGGTAGATAACACATTCCCAATACCCAGGTCCCCGCATAGGATTCTTTTTTAGAAAGTCCTCTCTTTAGTAGTGAAGGCGTCCGAGGTCACCAGAGTTGATCGACGATCTCTTAGACTGTAGTAAATCACGAAATCTTTTCGATGCCGTGTCAAATGAATCGCCTTGCAATCAGGGCATGGGCGAAAATCGTAAGAGTGCGGAACAGGGAGCCTTCCAAATCTGATCATCACGTGCAAAAGGTACCCTAACACAAAACCTTACTGTATGTGGACTTGCAAAAGTTTATTTCCTTTTCAGAGAACAAAAAAAAAGGAGTGAAGGTCCATTCAAGATCTGCACTGTAACACCCTACGGTCGGGATCTGGAGTAACCCCACTTTTTGAATAACGGTCTAGACCCATCTTCGCTCATCAATTCACGATGGCTTTATGCAGCTTACCCTGCAGACCTGAAAATATTATCCGGATCTTAGTCCAATGTGGAATGAGTGGATCGATAATCCATCCGTATTTTTCGGTTATGGCGCTCTGCAGCGAACTGGCCGAGTGAAGGCAGACTCGGCCAACCAAATTGACCATGGAAACTGCGGCCGTAAGTTTTTCGTAGCGCCCAAACTATGATCAGCTACGTACCATGGTTCCGGGTCGAAGTTTGGCTATGCAACCTGACACTGTATCGATTTCCAATATTTAACTTCTTGCACTCCCCTCCTATTTACTTCAAACTACATTCCTATCTCATTATACCATGTCTCTTTATGTAGATCAGGACATTACGCCTATCCTCCGTTCGCGGGAGGAGAACCAAGAGAGGTATGTGAAACCCTAATACCTAATACAAGAAAAAAAAAGAATGTAACTGATAATCTCCACAGAGCTTTTATTGCTGCTTCAAGGCGCAAGGATCGCAGCTTGGATGCCAGGCTAGAATCTGCGAACCGGGCTTCTTTGCTTCATAAAAAGCGTACAGGCAAAGACTTTCGCATCACCAAGGATATTGTCGAGAAAGAAGCCATGTACGAAGAGATTGATGAGAGATATCAAGAAAAGCGGATCAAAATGCTCCAAGCCCAGAACCTGCAGATTGAGGAAGAATTCCACCGTCATCTTCTGAAATCTTTCGCTAAACGAGCTAGCTATTCCAATGGATCATCAATCGCCAGCCGGCGAGCAAGCAACATGACCCCGCTTCACCCAGTCGGAGGCTCCCGCAAGATGAGCCTGGATCTATCCAACCTCCGCTCCTCATCCTTCTCCAAAGAACCGGGATCAATGGCAAGCCCAATGTCAACAAGCGACGGCTACGTCCTCTCACCAGCAGCCTCCTACGACCCAAACATGCAATCCTACATGACCTGCATGAACGGCCCCGAAAGCCCCTACGCAAACATGATCCCTGCAACAGCAACTCCGCCAGCCAAACTACCCGCCTACGTCCAACCAACCTGGCAACACCCGTCTGCGACAATGCCGCAAACCTCAACCCCAGACCAGATCCCCACAGACACACACGTCCAAATGTGGCAGCAGCAAATAACGCAGCATGTCCCGAAAACCGTCCAAATGCGTCAATTCAGAGAGAGACTCGTCTCCGCCCCAGAATGCCCTCTGCAAACCCCACTCTCCCCCGGTCTCACTCCCCCATCCCACGGACACAGTCGTGGCCAGTCCCAGCCCTCATCATCCTTCCAGAACCTGCAACTACTCACTCAGAGCCATCATCTCCACGCACCCAAGGTTGGGGCCTTGTCAGCTGAAACCCATTCCACGCCTGGCCTCTGTTTCACGTCTCATACATCTGTGTCCCCCATCACTGCATCTGTCCAGATGAAGACCGAGGCCGATGCTATGCTTTCTGGACAGATGGATTCCATTGCGGACTCCAGTCAGTTTGCGCTGAATTTGAATTCGGATGTGCCGTTTGATCGTGACCAGGAGTTTGGCTTTGACGACTTTGTTGCGGTTGATGAGTTCACTAATGTTTCTACATGATTCTCATTACATTCACGCTGGATACGATGTTGATATTTGGGTAGTTACATCTTTGGGTTTTCTTTTCTGACTATAAATTGGACTGTATAAATTTGTCCAGTATCATATGCTGTCTATTTAATACGAAACGTAATGATACTTACCATTTGTTCCTCCATTTGAAATCAACATTGGGTAAGCTTTGAAATACTGCATTGAGGAATTTGCACCTCAGAAATAGGTAGGTTCAATGTGAGCTCATTTGGATAGAATAGTGTAGCGAGTGAGCACGGTGTGAACAGAAAGGTAAATGACGAGGTAGACGTATTGGTTTAGTGCCTATCCTCATACTTGACGAATCGAAGATATCACAGACAGAAGACAAATAACGCTCCGCGGGGAAACGACAATCATAGCTGTTCCAAGGCTGGCGACACTTGTATCTTTTGATGAGTGCATCAACCTTGACCGGGTTATTGGGCGAAGCTTCCAGTGGCTTCGATGAGGCGCTTTAGACGGCATTATATAGATGTAAAATACCAGAATACACCAAGGCTCACTTATGGAAGGATTGAAAGCACGTTGTTGAATCCGGAACTGTAGCGACATCTACACTCATCTAGACTTCATAAAAAAGCATCGTTTATGTGGAAAAGGCGCCAATAAACCGTGATTATGTGATTCGAAGCATTCAAAATCATTGGCATTGGCATTCATCAACTCGACCGAGCATGCAACTTTGGATAATTACGTCATCGAAAACTGATGAGATGATATATCGGTGGAACTATTCCCCACATATTTAACATGTTTGTAGATTCCATCATTCCATCGATTACCAAGTTTGATTGAGAGGAGTATATAACCGATTAGTCTTCGCTTTAGGAAGATGGAACGACCGAGGCCTGTCCCCTCTATTTCGGTAAGAGATATCATCTTGTTAGCCACGGGTTTTGAAATGTCCAAGTTCGGGTATCCCATGAGTGCAAGTTATGGAGAGAAATTTGTGGTGTGGGGAACACTCCGAATATGAGTAGATCCACCGGACTTACGTGCGGTTTTGGCCCAATTAAATAGCGTTTCCATGGCAGATCTGGTATGCAGTGAAAAACCTCAAGCCTTACATGGCGCCTCATTAATTAGTTGCCTTTTTTTGCAAAGAAGTCTAGTTGTTTGCCAACGGCGTGAACTTCCAGGCTTCCCTTCCCAATCAAACCTTTGAAAGGTATATGTCGAAAGCCAGTTGTGGACGAAAATTCCCATACTTTTGTCAATTCTCCACAACTGATTTAATACAAAGAACCGGTACGCAAAAAGATGGTACACTGTTGGAATATCATTGGCGGAAATTGTGGAAGTACAACGTCCTTCGGAGTGTAGTTCCATCCAATGAGCATGAGAGGCATCTGATTGAGGGGACCCGCGGCAATGAATAGGATACGCCCTTTGTTTCTCCACTTATTCCTCATCGCTAAGCCGCCTTTAATAAACCGGACAAAGAGGCCACTAAAAGGATTGCTCACAAACACAACACACCAAGATGAAGGTCCAGAATCTAATCGGTATTAATTGCCACTCTTTTCTCACAATAGAGTACATAAGTTTGACCAACATAATATTGATGTCTGATGGCGTACCTCTATTTCCTGTTATTGCAAACAGTTGAACCCTTTTAAGGAATGATCATCCAGAGCCACTCGAAGAGGGGCATGTATCACTTGGGATTAGCGCCGGGTGGCGCGGGATAACGGACCGACTACTTGTCATACCTTTTTTAATATGGATGTTCAGGATATCTGTAAATATCATGTTTCCTCCTATATCCAACAAGAACACCTCACCATCAAGTGACATATGCCACTGAGTGCAACCCAGATATCTATAGTTTGCCCACATGAGTTTATTCCAATCTAGCCATCGATAAGACAAGCCTGAGGTCAGTACTCAACTAAAGCCATAGTTAGCCGGCTTCTTGATAATGACTATTTAACAGTGTATCTATAATAACAATGAGTTTGTCCCAGGCCGATATGTTTGAAATCTGTCGTGCTAAATTGATAGAGGAGGTCCCACGTCGGGACCCGCATCTCTGCATCATAGTTGCACATTCGAATCTACTGGAGGCTCTTACAATTTATCCAATGAACACCTGCGATGGAAGCAGAGCTCGGAGAAATCCAGCACCTCATTATTTGGGAGGAGATACAAGAGATGAACACACTAGCCAATGACGCCGGCGATGGGGCTCGCTCAGATCAAGCGAATGTTGAGAATTGTCCTTTATTCTATTCTCTTGGGAATTCAATTGTCGAAGTATATCGCAAACTCCATGATTCTGACCTCGTTGTTGTCTCACGTGGATAAGCCAATAGGAATCGCCTCACGTGCCGATTACCCCTGATCGGCAGAGGTTTATTATGCCTACGGCATAGTAAACCGGGTCCCAAGCATGTATTTAAAGAGCTTTTCTTCCAGGTTTTACCTGGACTAGACAAATTTACTTATTTGATCCTCACCCATACCCTTCCGTTCAGTAGATCAGGATAGCTCCTTCATGCTGCATTATTCTAGCCTGCTAGTCTAATTTAACAGTCAGCAGTCCGCTGAAAAGTAAAAAACTACAGTCAAAATTTGACTGCTTCGATTGACCGTTGTGGTGATTGTAGAACCCAGCCCATAAACACCTGCGGCTGTGCAGTCTATAAGAGACACTAAGGATTGATGGAGATTGTATTGACCAAACCTGTAACTTTTTCCTACGGACAAAATGGATGCCCCGAATACCTCGCATCACCAAGAAAAAGAAGGAGATCAGCAGCCCAGTGAATTGCCCATCTTGGCCGGCCGGTCAATCGGGGGAGGCGAAGTGGGATGGTCCATCGTGGTCTTTGGAATGAAATACAAGAGACATTATGCCCGAGGGTCTTTTATAGCCCGGCAATTACACTGAGGCTGTTGTCATTGCCGCCCATGACCATCCCGGCCTGAGATCGACCGCCTTTAAAAGAGTCCGTGAACGGTCAGCTCAACTGTTGATGCTCGATCTCACCTGCTGCTCACCCCGAATTACTCAATTTTGTGTGGAAATGGGCAACAGATGAAGCCTTGAAACAAAGACTTGCAGAAGCTATCCTTAAATACTGTTCTGCAGATGTACCTCTGATCCATTGGATGCTATGTATTAAGTAGGAATGGTTGGAGTTTTACGGTGATGTTATTGTGACTGAAAGCTATTCGAAGAGTGGGGGTGCAGATAATCGATTTCGAGTTTTAGTATCAACCGACACCGACAAAAGCCATTCTTGCATTTGTTACGAGAGCTGTAGATGTCGCTAGCTCTCACAGACCACCAAATCTTGTCCTCGGAGACCGCCTCAACAATATTTGAGGGATGCTGTCGTCTTCCATTCTGCTTCGACTGGCCGTCTTGATGTAATCGTTCTTTGCTAATATCTCTTTAATCTAAAGTATTTGAGTCTGGGATTTGCCACAAGTGCATCAACAACCGAGATAAGTCCACCCTTGACTGCCAATATCAATGGATTTTCAAACCATTTATTCCGGAGGTTGGCATCAGTTTGGTCATGGTGTAATAGTGCCTGGGCCATCTGTAAGTCACCACCACGAGCAGCAATGCAGAGCGCAGTGTCGTGAGATGCGATCGTGCTTTCATTGATGTTCAGACGTGCGCCTTGTTGCACTAGGAGTCTTGCCACATCGAGATGGCCATGTGCGACCGCTCGAGAAATGGGCGGATCTATTAGACCCCTCCCATTGATCTCCACGCCCCACATATCCAGTAGGCAAGCAACCGTGTTCACGCGCCCGTGCGATGCGGCAACAGAAATTGGAGTGTGGCCTGCAACACAGATAGATGTTCATATTGATCCCTGCCACCGCAAGCCATCGTAGGAGCACGGTAGCCAATCTGGTCGCGACATGGTGTAGAGATGTAGACGGCGTCTCGAGTCTCCCACGACCTCCAACAAAATATTTGTAAAGCCTGTATAGCTCTAGTTCCTCTGAGCACGTCCATCCAACCATGAGAGACTCCTCCAAGAGCCCATGTGAACGAATTGAAATGCATCGAATTCGAGATGTCACTGTATGGCTTGGAAAATATTATTTGTGCGCGGAAAGGGATGTTAGTCATTGGAACTCCGAGACGTGAGTATAGACCTCGTAGGACAGTTATTCGAGCCCGTAATTAGTCGGCGCGCTCCTAGGTTTTTAGCTTGAACTTACTGAAGATGGTATCAATCTTCCCTTGGCAACAGTCAATCAATTGCTCTACCAATCGGAGAGCAGCACGTTAGTAACAACTTCTAGATTGGGAAGACTGGTCGTGAGTTCTTACCGCTAAGAAGATCTGGCTGAAGTGCCTCCTGCCACAAACCGACTTACTGTGAAAGAAACAGTGCTAGCTTCGGGCTGGCCTTATTTGTTAGTCGCTGTATCATGTTAATTCCACTGCATAGGGGCACTTGGATGCGATCACATTTCATACGATTGGCCACGGCACGGAAAATCCTTAGCTGTCAGAGCTTGGTCTTCCGGCACTTTTGACCCTTGTACATGGAACGTTCCTGGTCGCTGGCGCCGACTTTGACGCCTTGGATGTGCCACTCTTGAAAAAGGGAGAAGACGACGGGTCTCTTGAATGGGAGAGTAACTGGAATATTGATCGGACTGGAGTTTGACAAAGAAGTTTTCGCGTGCCTGAGCGAATTGAGGGTTATAAATTACCATTTATATTGCGCACGGCAGCTTGCGGAACAAGTCAGACGACAAGATCAGTCCTTTGGCACTGAGTGACCAAAATGAAAGACCATATTGCAAAACATGCTGTCCAAAGATGCACACAGTTGCAATCCTGAAGAAAAGACATATACTTCATTGCACCAGAGATCCTCGGCTTGCCTATTATGTTTAGCTGACATCTTCTTGGAAAGAGACTCGCTTTCTCTTGCGTCGCTCAGGCAGGGATGGCTGCTGAGCGATAACCATTTGTTTAAGATCATCCACCTCGCTCTTCAGGATTTCGATATCCGTAGCCAATATTCTCTTAGTCGTTTAGTAACCCTTGGAACAATAGAAGTACACTTACGGTCCTCAACGGCCATACTTATAAGAAGCTAGCTATGTATCTCCCCGCCGATTCTGCAAAGATCTTGAATGGCCGTAATTCGTAAACCAAGTGCTGTTCGATATGTTCATGATGTAATTTGGCAAAAGCCTATATCTGAAAAACCTCGGAGTGCTATGTGTAACTCGTTGAACGCAAATAGTGTGGTCAATATGGCAAATTACCAGCCATCAGTATAAACTGTCGATTTTGATCACAACCTCACGAGAATGAAGGAGATTTCAGTCGGAAAGGCAGCACGTTGGAATTGGCACCGCTCTCTTTGTCGCCGCAAATGCACCCTAGCTTCCTTGTTATTGGGCCATCGCGAAAAGTGACACTACCATTCCCCACAACTTTCTTCGTTGGTTAATCGTCCTTGTTATAAAGATATAAACAAGAAGCTGCCCTGATATGCCTGAGCTATAAAGGCCCGGTTCCATTCTCTCGATGATTGGTAAAAAACATAGGAGCCATGGTACATGGTGGTTGGCACTGAAGGGCCAAAGACTGGCTTTGGTGGCTGTGCCCCTTTCGCTGCCCACCTGAAGGTCGTGGTCACGACCACTGAAGGGAGATAACAATGAACACGCCATGACCTGGGAAATCAGGCGGCTAGTCGATAGCCTCAAAGAAACAATCACCCACTAAACTGCCGCGCTTATTGCACTAACCAAAGCGGACCTGCTTGAAATCAAATGGGACAGGAGCTTTCGAACCATCAACGATGAGTTGCAATTTTCTGGCAATTTTACTTAATCTCCACTTTCTTTTCTCAGGCTGTCACATTCGACCGGGCCTGTTTCATCCCAGCTCAGTGGACGGCTGCTTTGGCCGCAAGGCGTGCGAGCCGCGGATGATCCACTCCCCACCACCATCCCCTCCCTCCGCCCCTTCCCCCCGAGCTACCTGGTGGTCGGCTGTTCGGACGACATATGTATGACTCATGCAAAGGTACTTTCGGTTCGTCTCGGGAACTTTTTCTTTACTTCGCAACGTCCTTGTTTAGGCATCTGTGGTTGCAAGGGGAATATTCCCCGTCATATATAAAGATAGTCACAGTCATAAGTTAGTGAAGGGGCAACATGTCAAGGCATAATTGAGTACAGAGAAATCTCTGTGGTCGTTGATAGGTAAATACACAGTACAGTAATCCACGCTAATAAAAAGACAAGAACGCAATAGCAGCCCAAGCCTTCCCCTCTAGGCATACCGATTTTCCGCATCAATAAAATTGTCAAACATCGAACCAGCATAGACGTTCGGATCGTAAGGCGCAGCAACTCTGTCAGCAAACACGAGTAGGGCTGTCCTGTCATTTCCCTCACATACGCTTGGCTCGATCATAGTGTAGCTTTCACCGTCTGTCGCAACTGACTCCTCCAACCATGCCTCAGACGATAACGTGGACCAGGTGCTGGGGTCGTGTTTGCGGTGGCTGTCCAGGACAATCTGGGTCATCGTTGCTAGTTGCAGACCGTTCTGATGATCCGCGCACTCGGCATGTGGAAAGACGATGTTTTTGAGTTTGCAGACTTGTTCTCTAAGATAACTGAGCTCTGCTAGAAGGACTTCGTTCTTTTTGGTTGCGTCGCTGCAACGGCGCTCGATCTGTTTGTCCTTTTTTTTCTTCCTTTCTCGGAATTTGTTGGCTGCGATGCGGTTGCGTTCGAGGTACTTTGCCAGCTTGGGGCTGGCACAACTGTGCTGTGGGGATACAGATCCCATTAAGTATGATTTTAATGGTAGCTTGGGGTTGTCTGTTTTGTTTTTCGCCAGGCTACCTGGGTAGTATGTATAAGAAGTTATGTGCCACTCCGATTGATCGTGGTATTACAGACGATTAGATGATATTGCTCGAAGTTACCATTGACTAGCTATCAAGTATGTGACCAGGGGGTTTAAAATGGCCTCGACCAAAACCAATGACGTATTGCATTTTCAAAAAATAAGGAAAAAAGCAAGTTTCAGAGCTACAACCTGCGCAGAACGGAAGAATATTTTGGGCGCTGACATTGTGGTTCTCATTGTATTTGCACAAGTACAAGTCAAGTGTAGTGCTATGAGCTCGAAGTAGCTGCCGCGAAGTACAAGGAAGGTGTCAATTTATTCTCCTATTCTACAGGTTAATGGCCTAAAGGAAGTAGAGTTGGCAATGATTGGATGGGTCACTACAGCGGTTCTAAATTGCCTGCCTATCTAGGGAAAGGAGGATTTTATTGGCTGGAATAGAGTGCCTAAAGCTTTAAGCGCCTGGCCGGGTTGTGGGGCCGCAGAAAGTGGTTCCGCGATCCGACTATAGGGAGGAGTTTATTAGGGTTGCCTCACGTGATGCCCGCACAGAGCCCACCGGCCTACGGAGGGGTTTCTTCCTCCTACAACTGCCTCACGGGAGTCAGTTGCTCGACTCTGCTGGTAGCTCGTCATCTCTCACGCAGTCAAGACACCTTTTTTCCCTCCCACCTTCCCTCTGTACATAGAAACCATTGCAAATATACAGACACATTGCCTCCCTACAAGGGAGCGCGGATGGGCTCTATCTGACGCTACGGTCTAAGACCGCAGCGACAGGTGACCCGTCACGGCCAAACTATACACGTTCCTGATCCCTTTTCACTGGGTGAGGTCACCAATAAAACCCTACTTTATGTTTGAAGAACTCACCGGCGGCATTTGTTTGCAGAGATGCGGTTTCGTTTGAGGTTTTTAGTTCGTGTCGAGCTATAATAGAGGCTCGTGGTAACTGGTTTAAATGCCATTTTTGCTGGCTGACTAACCTTATTTCGGCTGCTGCATCTGCAATCCTGCATATGGTGTATTCCAGGCCGTAGACTGAGACCTGGTTTGGAAACGACGTTCTCGAACATGGCTGGCGGGTGTGCTGTTTTGTATTGATGACACGATACGAATGGCCGCACAATCATCGATGGCACAAGTCATCAGTGGCTGTGAGAACCTTATACTTGACCGTTAGAGAATAAATCGAATTGAAGTTCGAAATTGTGCAGTCAGGACTGAATTGTTCATTTGCTTGAACCAATGACGTCTTCACCGACTGACGAATTGAACACCTATATAACCCCCTTTTACCCCGATCTTGTCGTCCTCAACTAGATGGTCAGGGCCAGTCTATGACGACGATCTACCGAAAACGCCATCTGTGTGACTATAATCGAGCAATACTTTCGAGCTGGGGACGTCTCTCATGGTTCCGTGAAATTAAAGCCGCATTTTCATGGACCCGGCCGTACAATCGCACACGCTCTGAACATTCGCTCTGCTCTCTTGTTGGTTTTCTTTTTTTGGCATCATGTCCCCTCGCCGCCCTAATCCTGCTCAGGCGTCACAACCTTGGACGTCGCATGATTCCATCAAGATGATGCCAGAAACTCATCTTGGTAGCTTACAGCCCTTCCATCCTGACGTTTATCAGTCGACCTCATTTTCTCATAACGCCACTCGTCAGCCGACATACCCGCTTCAATCGCAACAACAAGTGTACCGTCCCTCGTCGGGGCCTCGCGATATTGTATGGTGGTGTGAATTCTTAGACAATGTTACACCGGGACCTTCGACACCGCGGCTAGATCCCATTCGAAGCCCTGGCCCCGTCACGCCACTGGCGCTCGATGCAGTTGACTACGAAGCGAATGGTTCTGTGAAACATCAAAATGCCCCACGCAAGATCCCCCAAAGCAACAACTGATATCGCTATCGGACCTTGTGGATAAATCCACTGCCGTGGCCATTACCTGCATAAATAGAAAGGCCCGCCAAAAGAATTACAAATCCGACAAGGGTCAATGAGCGTACTTTCCGCATGATGCTAAGCGGGTTCCGTGTTAATGCACAAAAACAGGGTGTTTCGGACTATTTTCTATTGTGGCCAGGAAGGGATTACCAGACTATGAAATGCTTTTTGTTTTGTTTTGTCCTCCCCCCCCCTTTTTTTTTACCTTCGCGGATAATCAACCGCTCTTAAACCCACTGGCTCTGCCCGACGGCTGCGCACAAGGTCATTCACCGGAACTTGGCGGCGTGGAGAAGGAGTTTAAGACGCCACAAGAGGTACAGTAGATGTGCCAAGCGGCGAGGCGGAGCACCGACAACAGATAGAATTCATTCATGGGCAAGCGTAGAATAACCTTCCTCGAATCCACCACCGATACTCCCAAATCAAGAACAAACACATTCATATCGGCCGTGTCCATCGGCTCTTTTAAGGCATTATAGAATTCTGATGTCAGAGATTTAGCCATCAAACCGCAAAAACCAGAACTAGTGTAGAGCTTTTGGGCTTCACACAGATTTCCACGATATATAACACCTCTGTTAGATCCATACCCTGGAAATGAACGACGGACAGGTCGAAGGCCGTGCATAATAATGAAGAATCTGAGAATAGGCAGTGGAATCGATCAAGCGAAAAAGACTGGTGGTGACGTCAATGAACAGCCGATGGAATTTGGGTTTAATAAAAGAAAGTCAAACGGCTTCATCACTATGACATCTACTTATTGATTATCCATAAAGAAAGTTCATTTCAATATATGATTGGAAATCCCGCAAACCACACAGTTGCTCTTTTCTTTTTTACGGCGAATGCGGAGTACAGTGCAGTGATGGGGAGGCCTATTCCGAGTCTGGTCGACCTGATAAAGATGGGACATCGGAACGCTCTGTCTTGTCCGCTATATCGACATGATGAGAAACGGTCGAATTCTAGCTCTCTAGACGCGGACTCGGGAAATCCAGGAGTTTCCTGGATCTTGCATCTATCGCAAAAAAGGAAAATGACGTATCCAACGAGAGCCTTGGCAGACAAACCTGCCGCAAACAGTATCGTATAATCAGAGCTATCGAACACATGAGAATTGCGCACATATTCTCTCGGATGCATCAATTATTCAAAATCAATCGCGTATGCTCATTGGCTCTTGGTATACTCTCTTAATCTCTACAGTGACATAAGTTTTTATAAGTTTTTGACATCCCCTACCCCACACCTGTCCCCAACAAAAGCTACTTCATAGTATGGGGTCATAACCTTGTGCTACCCTTGTCAGTAGAAGGGGGGTTTCGGCTTAGAAGGATGAATCTGAATGAGTTAGGTTGTGACCCACGGGTTATAATCCGTAAACACACCTGTTAGTCCGACAGCATGTAGTAGGGAATATCTACGGCAAAGAGACAACAACCCTTTTTGCCACCGAAACCTATGAAATCTTTACTCATGGCAATGATGTTATTTTTCCCTTCTTTCCCGGGCGCATTATAGCGTACTAGAATCACAACAGTATATTCGTATCGTGAAAAAGAAAGGGGGGACCAGTAAGTTCTTCCTTGCGGCTTACTTTGCCGTTCCTGTAGAGCCTCTCAATACGCCGTCTTTCATGAATTTTTTTACTTAATCGCAGCCTCTGTATAATATACTAAGAAAATGTTCTCAAGGAGGAACAACTCTTTCTTGGCAAAAACGTTTTCTTGGAATATCTAGCCAACCAGAGGTCGCAGGACCTCAAGAATTAGTTTACCGTAGTCGTAACTTCAAGCGCTACCATCTGATACCTGTTTCATAGGGAAGATGGCAGCGGCGATTGCGACTGGTGCGAATGCACAGAATTTGCCCCCTGTTAGGAGAGGAACACCAAAAATCACGGCCCTCGCGGACCCGCCCCGATCCATGGACGAGATCGCGGAAGGGGCCCGCAGGGTGCTTAACCACATCGAAAACAGTGGCACGGAAGACCGATATGTCACTAGATATATTCGCTCCGTCCGCCAGTACGCACTTAACGCCCAACGGGGCGACGGCCAGGGGATGGCCAAGGTGCTCGAGGCGCTGACCAAAATCAACCTCGACACCGAACGTCTGAACCAGCGAATCGACACCATCGAAAAGACAACAAGCACCTTATCGACAACTTTATCCCACACCCGCGGCGAACTCTGCTGCAGCGTGGCGCAGCTTCCGAGCCGGAGAATGGCAACGCGATCTAACCAAGGCTGTGGCACCCAACACCCGGAGCAACGGCACGTCGTCTCCAGGTGTGCCGGAAATCGAACTTCGCGAGGATCGGGAGGTCATCGTCAAAATAGGGCCAAACCGGGAGCAGATCCGAGGATTGACGCCGAAGGATCTGGTTGAACGGGCCGAACGACAAAGGACGACAAATGCCCGACAGAAGAATTCTGGGGTACTGGCTAAGCAGGCCTCATTTGTCGCAGCCCGCAAACTGCCCTCGGGTGACGTGGCGATGATAGCTAACAGTGCTGCAGGGGCAGAGGTCCTTCGCAAGCACCCAGCATGGTTGAGGGCTTTTGGGCCTGGGTCGGTGATCCAGGAACCGTCGTGGGGCGTCGTGGCATACCACATCCCCGTGAAATCGATGAAGCTTACACCGGAGACGATGGCCGACGTCGCAGCGGAACTGCTCAGACAGAACAACTGGGGCGAAGACTCCAAGATCCAGTATCTGGGATGGCTGACGCGTCCGGGTGAAAGGGCGGAGGGTTCGATTCTGATCGAGTTCACTAGTCCAGTTGTGGCTAATCGTGCTATCATCACCGGGGTCGTGTGGGGGAAGCAAATCCATAATGCATCACGATTCTGCCGCGAGGGGCGGATGAAGCTATGCAGAAAATGCCAAAAGCCGGGGCATATCCAGTCACACTGTCCCAACGTTTTCAAATGCGGCCACTGCGCCGACGCACTCCCGACCTGGGAGTGTCCGTCGACAAAGGGGCAAGCGATACCTGTGAAGTGCGCCAACTGTGGCGAGGGACACCGTCCTACAAGTCGAGAGTGTCCAGTGAAGACTGCGGCGATGAATGAAGCTAAACAAGCGCTGGCCAACTGCCCTGCATATCACCGCATTCCTATGCAATTCCGAGTGGCGGCAAGCACCGGCAAAGAAGCAACCTCGACCAGGGCAGACTCCATGGCGTCGAACGGTCTCGAAGCGTCGATACACGCCTCGGAGGGGCAGCGGGGGGAAGAACCCGCGCAGAACCTCGAGGATGCTGTAATCGACGGGGAGGTTGCAGCAATAGAAGTAGAAATATCACCAGAGGAGAACACTGAGCCTATCCAGCCTACTCAGCTCAAAAGAGACCCTCGTCGCCCAAAAGGCTCAAGAACGAGGCCAAAGAATCCCAAACCAACAGTGATACCACTAGCATGCCAAGGGTCAACAAGGCTCCAAGCGGCCTTGAAAAGGCGCCGCACAGGCGAGCCGGACGACACCATGGATGAGCAACCAGACGACAATGAATGGCTCAGCATTCAACCCACTCCGGCCGATCTCCCCCACCCTGACACTCAGCAGGATAGCCTGGAACACCAACTTACCCAATTCATCAACGAGGTCACCACTGTCAACGAGACCGGTAACACGTCCGAGCCCGATGACGAGGAGGAACTGGACCCGGAGGGACCCGAATACCGCAAATTGGTGGTTCTGAAATACAGGCAGCGAGCGGCAAGCGATACCAATCGGATCGTCTCCGCCGATTTTTGTGACGGATACACCGACAATCGAAGACCCAAATGATGAAGTATGGCACGAGGCCAGCGAACGAAGTGATGACGAGCAAACTCACCAATGAAAATGTTTGAGATTCTTCAATATAACGTACACAAATCGTGGCCAGTGATGGCAACGTTTCTCAGAGACAAAAACGTCCTCGCACTGGACGTCGTCGCGGTGCAGGAGCCATGGAAGAACGAACTACAACACACAACACATCAACCAGCGACGGCAACATTCCAGCTAATTTACCCACCAAAAGCAGCTGCCGGCGGATCAACCCAAGGCCAGGACGATCAGGTCCAAGCCCCGGATCTCCCCCAACCGGGAGTATGCCTGTTTGTGTCTAAAAGGCTTGACCCGAGCACTTGGTCGTGTCAGCTCGTCTCACAGGACTACCAGTTACTGAAGCTCAGAAAGGCTCATCAGGGCAGAGAGTGGAGAGATCTCTTCATACACAACATCTACAATAGGCCGGGCAACAATACCCTTAGACATCTAAGAAACGAGCTGTCAAAACGTCCCCATGGAGAACACATCATCCTTGGAGATATGAACGCGCATCACCCGAGATGGGGAGGACCAGGGACCAGGGCCGATCAAGAGGCCAAGCAACTCCTAGAGATCGCCAATGAATGGGGACTCGAGTTGACGACCCAACAAGGCAGACCAACCTGGTCTCGAAACGATCAGTCGTCAGTGATTGACCTCACCTTCATCACATCCAACCTTGTCAACAGGCTTATCAATTGCGAGAGAGCGGATGACATCGAACATGCATCCGACCATTTCCCGATCAGAACTGTGCTGGATATTATTACACCAGTCGCCGTACAGCAGAAGAGAAGAAACTGGAGCGCCACTGATGATCAGAAACTTATCCAGAAGATCGAAGGAGGTCTACAGACAGGAGGCTTATACCAGGCAGATCCGCAAAGGATAGAAGCCACATGCCAGGAGCTGATGGGAGTGATACAGTCAGCAATCGAGGAATCAACCCCATGGGCAAAACCATCCGCGTGGTCGAACCCCGACTTTGGCGACGAGTGTAAAGTTGCGGTCAAAGAAGTTCGTCGCCTCCGTCGCAGACATACGAAAATCAAAGACCCCTACGACTGGATGTGCTACTCGGAAGCACGCAACAAGAAAACGCGACTCGTCAAGAAAACCTTGTCAA